CTATCGTCCTGAAAGGTATTACATAATAAGGCTCCATATGGAGCCCATCGTCGTGAAAGGGTTAAAAGGAGACTAAAAATCGAAATGTTCCCTGGGATTATATCTACTGTGTCCCTTAATATTCTAAATCGCAGGCAAGAGATGTACCTCAACAGAGCCAGAGTCGACCTTATTTTGAAGACCCAATTGATATCTCACAACTGGAATAATGTTGACTCTCCAAACTGTGAGTGTGGGTCCCCTGAGACCTTTAGACATTTATTTTTTCGCTGCCCCATGAGAATGAATAAACTTCATCAATTCAATGAAGCCATTGAGTTAATTGTGGATGATATATCACGTTAAAAAAACCAACAGGATAAAATTGATTTATATCTCTTTGGTGATCCCGAACTCACCCATGATAAATTAGACAATCTATTTCAGTTGACAGCAACATTTTTTTTAGAAAACTGTTAATGGTTGTGCATGGTTGTACATAATCTGACTACCTTAGACCCCACTTACTCAACCCCTATGTGTAATTGGTCGCCCCATCTATGTTGCAGCAGGTCCCCGTCAGTACACTTCATTTATAACATGCCACATCTAAACAGTGGGTGTGTTTTATTTTTCTGGAATTTTTCGTATATCTATATGTAACATTGTAATTGAAAGCGGACATAAAATGCCATAAGGCGATTTGCCGCATGATTGTGTATTATGCCATGAAAAATATATCAATGAAATAAACCTATTGTTTAAAAAAAATAATTCCCAAAATCTTGATGACCTACAATAAATAGAAAAATGTTATCAAAGTCCCAAACTTCAATCCTGTTTTTCTCAAAACATGGTTTGAGCCACTTAGAACCTTATTATACTAATGGTGCGATATATATACAGGTGTAACAGAAATACACTATTTCTGTTAACCCTAAATTCACACGCTCGGTAGCATGTTGTTCAGATTTACTATTTCACTCGAATTTATTAATTGCCACAAATCAAACGAGGCTGACATTTCATATTTTGTTCACTATCAATTTTATCAGTTTGGATGCCACTCTGAAATATTTAATCATAAAGCCTTTGTTTATGGAAGACAAAAATACTGCTATTTTCCTAAGGTGCACATGTCCATCTGTGAGAATTCTCTCCTTGGTGAAATCATCCGACACAGACAAAGAATATTTTATGATGGATGTAGTTTAGTGCAACTAAATATGTATTTTCAAAGCCATGAACATTATTTTTATAAACGTTTAATTCCCGTTAAATGTTACACAGGGTGACAGGAAAAAAAGGAGACACCCGAAATTTGGAATACACACCAAACTTGAATCCACTTGATCTATTCTCAACCAATCATCAAGCTTGAAGGAGCAAGTGCTTAAAGCGTGCACAATAATTATGCGATTACGTCAGAGAAAGTGACCGTACATAGAAAGTCGTCTATATTTCGACGACAAACTCTGATTCGCTCGCTGAGTTCAGAGATTTATTGCAAACTGAAAGAGTGAGGATGAAGCTCTCTTTTCAGAAGCGAAGTCGAACGAACGCAAAGGGTAAGAACTGTTCTGATGTGTGCAAAATTTCATTGATGTCACTTGTCTAATTTAGGAGATATTGGCTACTTCAATGTTCTCATTTTTTCTGGTCACTCTGTATATAGCATAATTGATTCTGTATTTATTTTACAGCACCATTTTCTGACAATCAACACTTGTCCAACAAGATCCACTCGTACTTAGTCCATGTATATCTAGAGAGGATAACAATCAAGGGACTGTATATAATTCCAGGAGTCAAGCCATCTCCATCAAAGATTGTACTCAGTACATGTAAGTTTTCATAGTAAATAATGTATAACTTTAAGTATATTCAACTGACAAAGGATCATGATGTATACCTGTAATTGGTCTTTTTGATGAATTATGTTTGAATCGATAAAGAAATTATTAATTGAAAAGATGACAAATATTGATTTCACTTTTATCATCATTTATATCTCCATAGCTTTTAGTAAACCTAAAGAATTTAAAAAAATAATAATAATTTCACTGATACTCCCATTGCATAGTATTTACTATTCTTCTGACTATGAACTCCCTTAAAGATAATATATGAGCCTGGCCATAGGAAAACCGGTCTTATCACAAAAATTAAAATTGTGCTACAGAGCCAAAAATGTGCCCAAGATTAAGAGGAAATGTGCTAAATTCAAATCAGACTTTTTGGTCTATATAATGCAAGGAAAAATTGTTAAGACATAAGCCATGGCTCATTTGAAAGGTCTTTTTGTGCTTTTTACTATAAACAAAAAATCAAAATATTGAAAAAATCTGTGATAAGACCCCTTTTCCTGTGGCCTGGCTCATATACTGAAGTATTTAAACTGATGAATCTATACATGAAAAATATTTACATCATTCTTTAACAGTGTCACCTCTGAAAATCAACAATTCTGTGAGAAATCCAGGAATATAAACTGAATAAACAATCTGTGGATTGTTTATCATCCATTAGCAACACCAAGTGCTCGAAGGATATTCCATATCTGTAAGTTTAGATTTTATTTCAATATTTTTTTTATCTATCCACTTTATTTCAAAATCCCTGAATAAAACAGAACCTTCAATGTTTACTCAGTTATGCTCTTCTGATCTTTATGATGGTTCACTTTAAGAAAAATGGCATTCATTTTTAATTCAGTGTCCATATTGAAAGTTCCTTCTCAAGCAGAGGTTCTATTCCCATGAGGTATCAACCTGTAAAATATGAACTCAATCCATCAACTGGTATTTGAGTTATCACCTACAAAGACAGACAAACAAGACACATAGACAGACAGCTTCTTAAAAAAGATAAACAATAGATTCTGCCAGGTTTCAAGCCTGCTCCCTCGAGATTTAAAATATTTCTAAAAAACCAGCGCTATATCTGATTGTGCTAAGCAGGATTTGTTCAGATGAAAATTTTCAAATGAAAAAAGTATCAATGTTTTATTCAGTTTACGTTTTGGCATCAGAGATCAGAGGCGTAGCTAGCCCATTTTTCGAGTGTACGCCCGTATGATTTCCCGGTTTTATCAAAATTAACAAAACGATGGTTCCATAAAATAGGAAGAACCTGGGTGTTCAGAAGATAGGGGACACACTAAACACTCTTAATTCAATGAAGGAAATATGTATTGTTTGATCATTTTGACATAGCTTTTTAAAGGGATTGAATTAACTGTATTAACAGATAATATTCGGGAAACAAAACAGACAGATTCTATATAATCATGCAATCGGCGATCGAAGCCGTCTATCAAGGCGATTTTATTTTTTAGGCTACCTAAACTGAATGTATGAGGCTCATTGTTTTAAGCTTTTGTGGTCATTCTACATGAAATATTATTATTTTTCTGTGTTTGTTTTTATCTAGCTCACAAGATGATTAACAATAAAAGAACACCGGGAGCTCTTGGGGCCGCCATTGAAGAATACACAACTACAATGTCAACTCAACTGAAACGAAATAAAATTCTCTAATTTTCAGTAGCTAACTGATTCAAAACAAAGAAAATGGAATAATCGAGAACTTTTTTATTTATTAACACGAGTCTTCATAGATCTCCTATCGATTTCTATCTCTTGGTAAAATATTTATTTTTCATCACAATTAATCAGGTAAATCTTATTTTTCCTTAAAATTTGAGAGTACGCCTGGGCGTACTTGGCGTACACGTAGCTACGCCTGTGGAGATGAGTGAACTGACTACATAATAAACATTAACTTCTACCTTAACATCTTTAGACACTAGGCAGGCCCATAGCCAGGATTTTCCAAGGGCAAATTTTCACTTTTTGAAAATTTCCAGGGGGGTTCACTTTGGCAATTTTGGTCCAAAAATGGCCAAAATCACTTAAAATGTGCTCAGAATGATGAAAAACTGCATGATTTTGAAAGAATTTTTGGCCAGGGGGGTTCGCTCGAACCCATCGAACCCCCCTGGCTACGGGCCTGCTAGGACATGTACTATACTAAACACTGGGTCCCAACATGTTACACAGCAACTATGTCTCAAGATGACCTGCCTTCCAATTGAATATATCTAATGAAAATCTGCTACCAGAAGGTAGGCCAACATCTTCCACATACAAAGTGACTGCGTAACCAGTAACATCGAGAAACACTAAAAACAACAGTGAACAAAAACTAGTAAGAAAAGAAATTGCACTAATGTATTTCTAGTGCAAATTGTCTAACTGCGTTACCTGTATTATATCCTATGGAGGCATAGATGGTTAAATGCTGTAAAATTAAATTAAGTTTGCAGATAATTTACTTCAGTTACTTGAAGCAAGGCCTGTCAAACACTTTTCTCCAATTCTCCAAGAGGGAGGGGTGTTGTTTTAATTTCGTTATACCCAACCTATATTTGTTTGACATTCAAAAAACTACAACTCTTAAATGGCAGCCTGGAGAAAAGTATAAAATGGTAAAATCAATCTGCACAAAATCTACCCCCCTGCTTCCCTAAAAATCCTAAGATATTCAATGTATGCAAATGGTCACAAAAAGTAACAAAAATGTCACAAAAAGTGAAGATTTCCAAAATTCTAGCAAAATCACAGAGTGACAAAGAACATTTTTCTTGGATCAATGAGTTACTGTTTGTTGCACATTCTCAGAACATTTCATCAGAATTTATCCAAAAATCAAAAATGGAGATTTTAGAGACCTACAATCACACTACGCCTCATTGATGCAGAAATATCCAAAATCAACTGAACTAAAAAAGGAGACTTCAACATTTTAAAAATTATAACTTTTACAAGCTTGAATATCACTGCATCATTTTTTAACAGTCAGAATTTTAAAGATATTTTGAAAACATACATGACGAAATATTCTATGACCAAGAAATAAATTATATAAAAATTTAATTTTAAAATTTTCTTTACCCTTTGCTGTGCCTCTAAGTCCAGTGATTAAAGAAAAACTTCAAAGTGTTAAAATAATGGTTCTTACCCGGTACTGTTTCACCACCACTACCAAACAGTATATACTGTGACCCGTCACGTCTCCTATGTATAACAGGACTCATATACAGTTCTTTATCCTCAGGCATCTTGAGATATTTTTTTCCCAACATTTTCCCAGTTTTCCCAGAAATCATTATCAATCTCCCGGATTCACGAGTGGTGACCTTTGAAGAAAATATAAATGAGTGTTAGTCATATCCATTATGAATATTAGTTTAGAGTATAAAGTGTACACTTTACCCACGGGTCAACAAAACTACATGAATGTTGTCTGAATATTTGGAAAACATCAAGAACGGATAACAGAGAATGAATGTATCTTAAAGCAAATTGTTGTTCTCTAGTTCCAGGTTAAGTGCAGACCTTAACTGATATTTCAAAATGCCGCAAAGGGGTTGGACTGACTTTGATTCCCTCTGTGACAGTACAACAGAACCCAGAGTAAAGGGATATGCAGCACAACTAATCAAACTTTATAGAGAAGAAAACATTAATGTAGGAGATGAAGTAAATGTCGTGAAGAAGCCATTTAGATTACAGATATCTGTTAAGAAATTGATAATTAAAATAGATCAGACTTTGAAAGAGCTTGAAACAAGGCAGCAAAAAAATATTGCCACATTCACCATAGGTAAATCTACTGTTCAACAGAAAGAAAGTAGAGCGTTTAATGTCTTGCCATTACCATTTGATCCGGTCAATGTGGATACCTGGAAATTAGGAAATGGCCCAAATGAAAGATGGAGCAGTGACTATAAAGGAAAAGAATGTGATGGACTAATTGTTCTGTGTGCTATAACTGAAGAAATTATACCAAAGAAACCTGAAGCTCTTTTAAACCCTGTAGAGTTATACACACTCGCATTAGAACAACAATTAATTCACCACTATCTCTTAAACGAAGGTAATAATAAACTTGGAAATAAGTCACTTGATACTGGTGGAAAAAACACAAACCCATATGCTGGTGTAGTATATGTAGCATACACGTTTGTGAAAAATAATGAAGGTAATGCTGAAGGAGGTGTGCAAAATGCTGAAGGTAATGCTGAAGGAGGTGTGCATAATAATGAAGGTAATGCTGAAGGAGGTGTGCAAAATGCTGAAGGTAATGCTGAAGGAGGTGTGCAAAATGCTGAAGGTAATGCTGAAGGAGGTGTGCAAAATAATGAAGGTAATGCTGAAGGAGGTGTGCAAAATAATGAAGGTAATGCTGAAGGAGGTGTGCAAAATGCTGAAGGTAATGCTGAAGGAGGTGTGCAAAATAATGAAGGTAATGCTGAAGGAGGTGTGCAAAATAATGAAGGTAATGCTGAAGGAGGTGTGCAAAATGCTGAAGGTAATGCTGAAGGAGGTGTGCAAAATAATGAAGGTAATGCTGAAGGAGGTGTGCAAAATAATGAAGGTAATGCTGAAGGAGGTGTGAAAAATAATGAAGGTAATGCTGAAGGAGTTGTGCAAAATGCTGAAGGTAATGCTGAAGGAGGTGTGCATAATAATGAAGGTAATGCTGAAGGAGGTGTGCAAAATAATGAAGGTAATGCTGAAGGAGGTGTGCAAAATGCTGAAGGTAATGCTGAAGGAGGTGTGCAAAATAATGAAGGTAATGCTGAAGGAGGTGTGCAAAATAATGAAGGTAATGCTGAAGGAGGTGTGCAAAATAATGAAAGTAATGCTGAAGGAGGTGTGCAAAATGCTGAAGGTAATGCTGAAGGAGGTGTGCAAAATAATGAAGGTAATGCTGAAGGAGGTGTGCAAAATAATGAAGGTAATGCTGAAGGAGGTGTGCAAAATAATGAAAGTAATGCTGAAGGAGGTGTGTATAATAATGAAGGTAATGCTGAAGGAGGTGTGCAAAATGCTGAAGGTAATGCTGAAGGAGGTGTGCATAATAATGAAGGTAATGCTGAAGGAGGTGTGCAAAATAATGAAGGTAATGCTGAAGGAGGTGTGCAAAATAATGAAGGTAATGCTGAAGGAGGAGGGTCTTTTCCATGCCAAAAGCCCTCACCCAAACCAGAAGCTATTTGTAAAGGTTGCAAGAAGACATTCAAGGGAGTTAGAGGTGTCAAATCCCACCAGACAAGTAAGAATGCAGCGGATGCATGCAAAGCACAGTTTCAAAAGGATAAAGTTAATCCATCAACTTCTGCAGAGCAATAACCAGAAAACATGTGGCTTTATCCTAGAATCACACCGGAATAGCCTGACAACGGTAAAGTCAGATACCATTGTCACAAATGGTGAATATAAATGTTGCTTCACTCGCTTCAATCGCTCTTCAATCACTTGGTCCTCGTTTCATGGGACTTTATCGTCGCTTATTTTGTGCATGTATTAAGCTCTTGTGATGATGTATCATATGAAATCCCAATTTCAATTAAATTGGGGTCGTGAATCGTCAGGATATAGCCTCTTCGATATCATCAATGACAACAGAATCTGAATTTTAAGTAATTTACCATATGCCGTTGTCGTTGCAAATTATCCCAAATTCAGATTCCATTGTCATTGACGATATCGAAGACGCTATATTGTGGCGATTCTATGGTTTATCACAAGCTAATTATGTAGTGCATATGGGAATGCCAGACTAATGTAGATTCACAACTAAGCAGAATTGATTATGATACATTGATTGACTTAGTTAAAATAATTAATTGCAACTCTTGGGTAGTCTTTATCAGAATGTATTAACAGGAATAAAAAAGAAAAAAAGAAATAAATAGAAGGAAATAGAAAAAAATAGATAAAAAAAGATATATATTCACATTATAACTGTGTGCTTAACACTTTTAACCATAGCAACATTGAGGTATTATTTTTGAGAACATGTAAAATACTGCTTTTCTTATTTTTTTACAATCATTGATGTTTTTGTAAATATTAATCAAATGCAATCATCAGTATGTAAAAAATCAAAGCCTGCTAGGGTGTCATTATCACTGATATGTTTATATGATTTTAATAAATGAAAAAAATAAAAAAAGCGAACTCAGTCATATAAATCAGAAAATACCAAATTTTGTACAAAGGACCAATAAATTAGATGAAGTTTGTATAGTTTTAGATTATATGCTTGTTTTATGTGCATTTATTGCATGGTGAGATGCTGCCATCTTTGAGCAATAAAAAATTGAAGAATTTTACATTCAGTAACCTTTGAAACTGAACATATTCTATAAAAGCTTAAGATATCCAAAAGCCACGTAATGTCATAACAGTTAGCCCCCAAAGCCATTGTGACTCGAAAAGTCCCAAAAGATTGGGTATCGATATGGCGAACTTTTTAAACACACGTTTCTCTTAAACCAGTCATCAAAAGTTTTTGAAAATCTTACAAATTGTCAATTGAATGGCTATCTTTTGAATGGTAACAATATAATTTGAAATACAGTAGAACCTCTGTAAGTGGAACACCTCGCAAGTGGAACGCTTTTTCAAAGTCCCGTTTTAAAAACCCATTGACTAAATGTTAATTGAACCTCTGTAAGTGGAACACCTTCTAACTTGAACAGTGAACACCCCATATTAAAAAATCAACCTGCTAAGTGGAACAGTCAATTTTCCATAAATTTCAATATTGATACTTATGTAAACAGAATTAACCTCCTACAGTGATATCTGGGTATGAAAACAGGTAATAAGTGATAATTGCCAAATTAGAATTTTAACTGATCACCATATAGCAAATTGGATTAACCTCCTGTAGAGATCAACATGTGATGCTACCACTAATTAATTTGATTATTAGCAAATTAGGATTTCATAAGATTATCATTCATCAAATTTGATTAACCTCCTGTAGAGATGGACATGTGATTCTACCACTAATTAATGCCCCTTGCTGTTTGTTTCAAAGTTGATAAGTAAGATTAAGAATGACAGTTGAATTATTAGCAGTAGGAACAAGTTTTTAAAACTTAATTGCTAAATGTTTGTGCCTGAGACCTGAGACTGGCAGAATGAGGAGGATTAAGAATGTCAGAAAACATTTTTGGCAGAATGAGGAGGATTAAAAATGTCAGAAAACCTTTTTTGGCAGAATGAGGAGGAATAAGAATGTCAGATTTCTTTTTGAGTAAAACAAATGGATAATTTATGGTACATGTATATAGCTGCCCTGCAATGAACCGAGAATCATATTTCCAGAAATACAGAAAACCCTATATTAATTTTGATCTTGTATGTTCTTAAATCCCCGTGAACCCAAAACCTCCGTAAGTGGAACACCTCCTAAGTGGAACGCTTTTTGGCAGAATAGAGGGTGTTCCACTTACACAGGTTCTACTGTAGATATACATACTTTCATCTATATTGTTTTAAAAAGCACATCAAACACTTGTTTTGTTCTTGGTATCGTGTTTCCAGAGTGAAATGAAACATCTTTCCGAACCTCATTGGAACAAAACGACATAAACACAACATGTTTAGGTCTCTCAATATTGTAATTGTACAATGGCAATTTTGGTTCATTTTAAAAAAGTATCTTGTTAATGAAATAAAAGTTTTTTTTGATTTTTATCTATTTTGGGGGGATTGTGTTTTAATTTTTGAATACTTTTTTAAAATGAACCAAAAATTCCTTTGTATAACTTTAATATTGAGAGGTCCAAAAACATGTTGTATATGGTATTTTGTTCCAACAAGGTTCGGAAAGACATTTTATTTCATTCTCAAGAATTGGTAGAAAGGAGCAAAAACAATTGCACTAAAAAAACAAAAAATGTTAACAAAAACAGTTATATCAAATATTTCTAAATAATTTTCGCATTAAATTGTTGTTAATCAGTCAACATTACATAAAATACCATGTTTTTTACAGAATGTTTTCAATGATTGGTTTAAGAGAAAAACATTGTTGAATTCAGTTCTCCATATCGATACCTATCCTTTGTTAGTTTGCGTCTGTCAGCAAGTTACTTTAGCCTGTTAGCAATTGATGAGTATATAGTGTACATGCATAGAACAACCTTTCGACTCAAGCTCACCATCCTTCAAGACTGGGCCTCGTTGAACTTATGGAAAGAATTGAAATACCCTCAGATCAAGGATGCTTGCACTCTTGAACTAATATCCATTATCCACCATATTTTAGGTTAATTCATGACATATTGTTATGTGCTGCCCTCTTTATAATGAGTTCATTTCAAAAGCACCAATATAGCAGAATATATTGCATGATAGCACAATATAAGTTCAGCATTACAATTGGAACTTCATACTACTTTACTACTACTTTATACTACCTAATATTGGATATCACTTTCCGTAAAAAGTAGTTTGTATTTTTTGAATTTTAAACAAATATTTCAATGGTCTATTATTCAATTATTGCTAGGCGCATTATTATCTAAACTTGTCTCATTCATAATGGTTCTCACCTCAGGGGGTATAGATGGATTACCTCCATGGGGTAGAAGTATTTCCCGCACACCATCATTATCAAAATCGGGCAGACCTTGCACACCATAGTTGTTCCAGCCTTGTTCTAGAACTGACATGTCTTCATGCCAAATGGCCTTGCCTAAAATGTGGAATGTGAAGTTAAGTTGTGCATATTGAATGTAGATACATTAAAACCTGTATTTAGGATGAAAGGAGGATGAAAGTTGTCATGGTAAAAAAGTTTGGCGGCTATACAGGAATATATAGCCGACCTTCAGCTCCATCGACTTCCATACAAATGCTTCGCTAGGTATGTAATACAGTAGGTAGTGGTGTCAATTAACCGCTTGAGCATTAACCGGTTAACCGGGGGTTTTTACCGGTTAAAGTCGGTTAACCGGCGGGAAATTTGAACTTATAATTTCAAATGAAATCTTCATCTTCGATCTTGAAAGTTGAAAAAAATTGGAAAAAATGATATATCGGCGTTTATTTTTTTACGTTCGTCAAGCTTTACGCTATTCTATGTAAGTAAGCGCGGGAAAGCAATGTGGCAGGGATTAAAGTTGCTGATTGGATGTTTGTAAGGAATTATCGGACCTATCACATGTATGAGTAGCTCACATGAAACTGACGCTTGAAAACAAACAGATTAAAATGCAAAGTAAGCGCGGGAAAGCAATGTGGCAGGGATTAAAGTTGCTGATTGGATGTTTGTAAGGAGTTATGGGACTTATGACATGTATGAGTAGCTTACGTGAAACTGACACCATAAAACCAAACGGATTAGCATGCAAAATAGAAGCGGGAAATAACAGAATTATACACGGTCAACTAACCGCCCATAGAAACTCAGACCGGTCAAGGCATTATCGGCGGTTAACCGGTTAACCGGTTAATACTTGACACCTCTAACAGTAGGTATATAAGGTAGTAGTAATGAAAGGCAGAATCAGATATATAAAGGTGACAAAATTGGAACAACATGTACAATTGGCTGACCAAAAAGATCCTTGATAATAAATTGGTAAAGTTATCAAGAATTCAAAGTGCAAAAATGAGGTAAAAGTATTTAAATTCTCCCCGAATCACTGCAATCCACTTAGGGGTTTCAGAAAATAGACATGACAAGGAATGATATGAGCCAAAAATATTCTAGAATTGAAGCAATTTTTTGTTTTCTTGCTCACTAGATCTGATTCTCTCTTTAATTCTGACCTCACCTTTTATTGGGTCTATTGCAGTCATGGTAGCTTTACGACCTGATGCTATACAATCGAGATGGCCATCTCCATTGAAGTCATCTATGCTACAATTGATCTCAAATGGCTCAAACGTCGTATTGACTCTCCATAGTGGCTTCCCGTCAAAGCCTCTTAGTGCAATTACTGCCCCCAAACAAGGGCTCTTTGAACCTAGGAAGGAAATGTAAAAACCATAGGTTCTGGGCCGATATTAAGATGGCAACACCAACAGAATCAATAAAAGAGAAACATAAACACAGATCGATTACCATGCCATCTTTATTTAAAAATGATTTTTTTCGCCCTTATATGGTAAAAATAGAATCAACATTAGAAATAGGAAACAATAGGCATTAACATGCAAGATTTCACCACCCGTCATTTTTTCAGACACCGAAGCAAAACAGGTGGTGACATAATAGAAAGATTATTAGGTGCGTTCAACTTACACTGCACTTATTGTACTCAGTATATAGAATTCAGTAGAAATAATATTTACTTCATTGGATATTTAGTATTATTTAGTTTTTACAAAATGATAAACATACAGGGTGTTCAGTTTTTACAAGATGTTCAACAGAGTGTTCAGTGTCTATATTGTTTGGGATACAGGGTTACATGCAGGGTATTTAGTTTAAATTACAGGGTGATCAGTTTGAGGGTGTTCAGTTTTCTATAGGATGGTTAACATATTATTTAACATACAGGGTATTCAGTTTCGACAGGGTATTCAGTGTATGGGTTGTCTAACATACAGGGTGTTCAATTTATACAGGATGTTTAATAGGGTGTTCAAAGTCCAGATTGTTTACAATACAGGGTTACCATACATCAGGGGTTTCATTGGCAGCAGGCAACAGGCGATTTTCACCAGTTGTTTTCACAAAATCGCCTGTTGTTTTTTGGTCCATTTCAACTTTTCCATGTTGAATTTATGATTTCCATTAATTTTGCCTGTTGTTCTCATTTATTTAGCCTGTTGTGAAAAATTCTAGTGAAACCCCTGTACATACAAAAAAAACAAAATAATCACCAATTATCTTAGCTTGTTGTGAGAAATTCTAGTGAAACCCCTGTACATACAAAAAAAACAAAAAAAACATCCAATAATCTCCTGAAGAAGAAAATGCATAATGAATGAAAAAGGTATTCTTACCTATCTTCTTACAAATATAATCAGGGCCCAGTTCTGGATCATATTCTTGCATATGGACGCCCTCTGTAATTCCAAGAAGTATGTCATCTTTTCCGTCCTTGTTGACATCATATAGACGCACACACGATTCTGTTCCTGAAAAATTAAGGCCATGAGGGTAAGGACCAAAAAAGTTTCAAAATCTTCAGTTTGTGCTTAATGGAAAATTGATATATTTATTTTCCTTCCAAGTACAAGTACAAAGCATGGTCTTATAAAATGTCCTATTCATGAATGAAACTAGAAAATGGTAACTCCAAGGAGTAGCAAATCCCAACAAACACTATATAAATCATCAATCTGTACAGTCACAATGAAATATTTACCATCTTCTTTTACCTTCAATAAATATTTTAAATCATTGTAGTATCATGTAACCATACTTTCAAGATAACTCTAAGTAATGGCAAATTCTGCTCTAGTCAGCCATTTTGAATTTTCAGAGGCGCAAATCAGAAAAACAATGCCATAATTGTGATCTACTCTGAAATTTATTCAATTTGAGTATAATATAGCCATACTTTTAAGAGGTCAGAAAAAATTGCGAAATCCTGAAACAGGCAGCCATTTTGAATTTTTTGAGGCCCGAATCAGAAAAACGTTACAATATTTGCAATCTACTCTAAATTGCCTTTCATTTGAGTATAATAAAGCTATACTTCAAAAACATCTCAAAATTAACGCAAATTCCTGTTTTCCCGATCCCCCATTTACGGCCCTGGGGGCCAGGGTGAAAAACCCGGGATATATATGAAATAGATAGATGTTGTTAATAAACTACCAAAATTTCAAATAATAATATTTATTATTTTGGTTCAAAATGAAAAACATAAGATTTTTGCAAAACATTCCCGCCATTTTTAAACTGGCGGCCATCTTGAAAAAATTTTTTTTGCCTAAAACTGTTTACCAATATACATCTTTCCACCAAATATAAAAAAAATCTGTCAACTAGTATCCGAGTTATCTTCTGGACAGACAGACAGACGGAATGACTGACTGACGGACGGACGGAGGGCTTCACTATATCCCTACAGAACTTCGTTCGTTGGGATAACAAAGAGTTTTGGACTAATACTAAGCTCCCCTAATTAGACTGATCCAGTGGACTCGTCTGGAGTGGCCATTTTGTATTTATACGGGAAGGTATATGTAACCCTTTAAAATAAGAGCTTTTGAACAATTTCCCAATTAACTGAAATATGAAGGCCAAAATGGTACAAACTAAAAAGTAAAACCCAGGAATGAAAGCAGCATTTAGGGGTGCAATCCAAAGGGTATTTCACTTCTTTCCATTCTTCTGAACTGAGAGCAATTTGATGAAGCACTTTGATAAGGATGGGTACAATCAGTCAAAAGGAAAGAAGTAAATGACTACCCAAACCCTATCTCATCATACCTCTGAAGTCTTCAAAGCCCGAAAGTAACAAGGGCTTTTGTAGGATTTTCTATTTACCTAGTCCTAAGTTTAGTTTGTTCAACTAAGAAGTGATGGATTATGCCACTTGACACGGTGCTTCACTATGCTTAAGAAATGTCAAGTTTGTGATAACTTAAAGTAAAGGTAATTACTAGAGCTAATTGATTGAATTAAGGGTGGATCATTTGATTTCCGAGGGGGAGGGCAGAGCCTCGGGGTTATCTTTTAAAACTCAACAAGTAGGGCCTAAATATTTTTCAGCTCTAAGGAAAGACAAGAAGAGCCAATAGTTTAAGCAATAACATCATAACTAAATAATGCTAATAAAACAAAAAATACATAAGCCAGGCTCAGAGGTAAGTTTACAATTCACCCACCTTACATCGTTACATGTCAATGTATTACAAGATAATGAACAACACCTACTTTAGACTTTTGAGGGTTGGCAGCATGCATAGTTTAAACACCTAGTAATGAGTACACTATTACATACATGTAAGCCATGTAATTGATGGTTTTATTGGTTAAAGAGTTTTATGGCTCAGGCCCGTAAGCCAGGGGGGTTCGCATGGTTCAGGCGAACCCCCTGGCCAAAAATTATCTTTTCACCATTTTGAGCACTTCTCAAGTGATTTTAGCCATATTTGGGCAAAAATTGTCAAATGTGAACCCCAGGCCTGTCAACTGTCCCGCAATTAGCGTATTTGTCACGCATTTGCTGAAGAATTTGAAGTCACGCCAGTTATTTTTGCGTGACAGAAAATGTCACGCAAATACGCATTTTACCTGGTAATTGTCAAGCAAAAATATTTCAGTAGAAAAATGTCTAAAAAAGATCGTCTACACAGCAAAAATACGAACGCTGGAAAAAAATGTACGCATTTCGTTCGGACTTTTCACGCAAATTACGTATATGTCACGCATTCCGTTCGAAAATTTTCGTACCTACCCCCCCCCCGTTGACGGATGTTTGAAACGCGAGCGTAGGGAGCGCGAAAAATTTGAGGTGTTCAAAATTTGGCAAGATGTAATAAAATTTAAACCAAGGTGTTCAAAATTTGGATCAAGGTGTCCAGATTTGGACCAAGGTGTCCACATTTTGAGGGGAGGTGTTCAACATTTCCAAGTCACTCATGTGAGGTGTTCCCAAGTTGACAGGCCTGGAACCCCCCCTGGAAATTTTTGAAAAGTGAACCCCCCTTGGCAAATCCTTGCTACGGGCCTGTGGCTGCATGCTTTTGCTATAAACGCTTACTTCGAGTAATCTATATCTACGAGCTCTTGTGACCCATCCCCCACTGCCACTACTGGGTGAGAAGGTGTGTAGTCAAGTGGGGTGGGGGTCACAAAGCTTGTAGTTAGACTTATTTCGAGTTTCAAATTGCATATTTAAAATACTGAGTTCAGTAATATTGTTAAAGTATAGGAAAAAATAACCCACCAATATTATCGAATTCTCGTATCCAATTCTGTGTCCTTACTGGTCTATCATGCGTGCTACCACCAAAGAAACCATGCTTTTTCAATAGGGGGTACGTCCCAAATCCAACCCCAATCACCAAAGCTATAACCAAAGGAACAATGAACCAAGCAATAGTGCATTTTGATTTTCCTGAGATTCTCACTTTCGTTTTATTTACATCTCTCGTAGTTTCTAAAATTGTCATTTCAATTGACTCTCCTTTTTGTCTGCCATTTCTAGTTTTCGTTTTTCCAGCACCATTAGTGACAGCACTGTATACCTCGTCGTCTTCTGCTTCATTGTCACTTAAATCTTGCGTCAACTTGGAATATTTGGCGGTGGTCCTAACACTATCGGCGCCTGCAACAATAACATTTTCTGTAACTGCCAAAAATCATGTGTACATATATGCACAATTGTTTGATACAAGTGGATATTTGTTTAAAGGATTGGTATCAATATGGGGAACTGAATTCAACAATGTTTTTCTCTTAAACCAATTATGATTGAAAACATTCTGTAAACAAACACGGTCCTCTATGTAATGTTGACTGATTGACAACAATTTAATGCGAAAATAATGTATATATTTTATATACATGTAACTGTTTTTGTTAACATTTTTTGTTTTTTAGTGCAGTTTTTTGTTCCTGTTTACCATTTCTTGAGAATGAAATAAAATATCTTTCCACAGCTTGTTTGAACAAAATGGCATATACAACATTTTCTTAGACTTCCCAATATTATAGCTGTACAAAGGAAATTTTGGTTGATTTTACAAAAAGTATTCAAAAAATTAAAACAAAAACCCCCGAAATAGATAAAAACTAAGATAAACCTTTAATTTCAATAACAAGATACTTTTTTTAAATCAACCAAACTTTCGAGACCCTATCTACTGCAAGACTTATGCCTGGCGTAACAGTCACCATGTTATTCAGAGTTTTTAAGTAGCGCAAGGATCCTGCCATGACCGTGGTAGTGTTATCATGAAAGCCTGGTATAACCGCGACAATGCTGTATTATATTGCAATGCCTGCCATGACCGTGGTAGTGTTATCGTGAAAGGCTGGTATAACCGCGACAATGCTGTATTATATTGCAATGCCTGCCATGACCGTGGTAGTGTAATCGTGTAAGCCTGGCACGACCGCAACCTTTATATGAAATTTATGACATTCATGTTTCGTCCATTGCTGTTATCATTTTTTATGGATTAACCTTATTAATTGATCATTATAGAAAGTATGTGCTTTCCAATCGAACCTTCTTGAATAAGAGTAGAGATATAGTTTGTTCGCAAATTATTTATGAGTTAAAAATTAGGGTTTCGTTGTGAAATTGATACACATTTTTAGTAGTCTTGATTTACATATTCAAGGTAGTTAGACACGAAGCAAATTGTCATTACGGTGTTCTCATGCTACTTTAAATGTTATTTAATACAACCACCAGTCATGATACCGGCCCTGCAACCATTGTCACGGTCATATCAGGCTTTAACCTTACCATGATCATGACAGGCCTTGCAATCATTATGATGGTCATATCAGGCTTATCACCACGGTCATGACAGGCCTTACAAGCATTGTCACGGTCATATCAGGGTTTAACATTATCACGGTCATGACAGGCCTTGCAACCATTGTCACAGTAATATGGGGCTTTACATTACCACGACATGACAGGCCTTGCAATCACGCGGTAGTATCTCTTCGGGACGTATCGAAACCACTCCGTCCCGAAAAACCGTTAATTTGAATTTAAAACCTACCCCAGTGTTTGAAAATCAAGGATTGTGAGTCTCACACTTCACCGTTTTTCTTCAAACTTGTTCCGTACAAAGCTTCACAGAACTACCTTTCAGTCGATACATTGTTTTCGTGTACAAAGTACCTCGTTTTAGCGGCGTTTTGGTCCCCAGCTGCGAGATAAAGCAAATTTTCATAACTTTCAACTGCAAGTCAAGTTATCTCGCCAGTCTTTTACCCATTCTCGCTCATAATTTCAGAATGGACTCCCATTACAACCTTCCATCGCTACGTTTTGATTTTTGGGCATCAAACGCAGCAGTTTCTAAATCATCCACACATCTCTTAAAATTTGACTAATACGTCCCGTCACCTTCCACTACGCCCCGTCGAGTCTGACTACAAACGTGGAGTTGTATTCTAAAACATTTTGTTCATCGTTGTGTAATTTTACATAGGTTTGCCTTGGTCGATTCTTAACACCAGTCTTAAGTTTAACATACATACGGAGTTTAACTATAACTGATTGCATGAAATTGATAATTTAAATGTTTGTGAAGATGTTGCTTTTTAACTTTAATTATATGTAATTGTCCTGTATTTGATTTTGTGAGGAAACCAAGTGTCTGGTTTGAAACACAATAAAATCTGGAATCTTGTTTTGCTAATGTTCAACATAAATAATTTATAAATTATCGGCCGAGGGCAGATTAGAGCGGATCAATCAATGATGTACAAAAAGTAACGTGTAAAAGAAAACACGCTATACTATTGTGATGACTATTGCTCTCGACAGAAAGCTTCAATTTTCATTGCATCATATTTATTTATTTACCTGTATTTAAACAGAGTGGTTTTAAACATATGCAGTTACTACTTAAATGATAATAACACTATTTGCTTAATTCTATGAAGAATGTTTTTATAGTTTTTAATATTCTATCGTCCAGCGTATTCTCTCCGAATTATTGATCTGGCTATGAATTTTATGCACTAAACATAAACATGTATGATGTAATACGTATCAGAATGATACTATACAATATTATATCACAAAGAACATTTTGTCATGACTATACATATTTTCTAAGTTCATCATCATGCCACAGTGTAAATGTACTGTATGACATCCAAGGTAAAGTACTAACAAAGCCGGTGTGAAAGAAATTATGGTCCCCTGGGGATTATGGTCCCCTTTCCTAACGGCCCTTTCTGGCCCTGATTGTGTATAAATAATAAGGAAAATAATTGTAATCAGGTCACCATATAAATCAATAGAGACTAGGACCATAATTTGATAGGACCACCTACGCTTTTACACCAAAAATCTGTCATCTGATAGATTCTAGTTACAAATTGACTCTTGGTACAAATATTTCCACTCTAGACCCCTGGGAAATTTTGCCACGCGTCTCACTTGAAGTTTTGGTCATTTTGACAAATATGCCGTTTTCATAAATGGTTTATAACTCAAAATTAAACTGTTGTATTTCAGGAATATGTATTTTTTCTTCATCATGTATGATTTTCAATAACCCTACAGGCACCACTTTTTTTTAGCTAAATCCATCGGGAAACTTTGCCACGCTTAATTTCAAAATAACGGAGATGTTATCAAAATTGAGCAATATTGGCACAAAAACGTTTCTAGATTCATATAAAGAATGCATCATCATACAACACTAATTGGTTTATAAACAACATCTACTGACTTGGTCTGATAATGTAATATAAAGATTTTAACTGTTGTGTGTCAACCTTTCTTCTGTATGATTCCATTGGATTACATTATGAAACGTGTACCATATAAAATGATACATGTCTCTAACGTTATACTGAAAATAATATATTGACATCACCCATCCTTTCGCATTTTAACATTTTTTCAAGGATAGGGCACTTTAAACGTTTCTTAAAAATATTTTCAATTGTTCAGTAATTAAAATCTTTATATAGCAATATCGGGAAATCTAAATTTTAGGGAGATTTTGGACCACCCTATTATAGGTATATTGAAAATGGACAAGAATGGGTAAATCTTAAAACACAATCCGATTGGTATTTAGAATCGACAATGGCAACCAACAAACGGACACAACAGATGGACAAATTGTTTTAGAATGCAACTCTACGTGTATAGTGATAGACTCGGCGGGGCGTAGTGGAAGATGACGGGACGTATTAGTCAAATTTGAAGAGATGTGTGGATGATTTAGAAACTGCTGCGTTTGATGCCCAAAAATCAAGACGTAGCGATGGAAGGTTGTAATGGGAGTCCATTCTGAAATTATGGGCGAGAATGGGTAAAAGACTGGCGAGATAACTTGACTTACAGTTGGAAGTTATGAAAATTTGCTTTATCTCACAGCTGGGGACCAAAACGCCGCTAAAACGAGGTACTTTGTACACGAAAACAATGCATCGACTGAAAGGTATTTCTGTAAAGCTTTGTACGGAACAAGTTTGAAGAAAAACGGTGAAGTGTGAGACTCACAATCCTTGATTTTCAAACACTGGGGTAGGTTTTAAATTCAAATTAACGGTTTTTCGGGACGGAGTGGTTTCGATACGTCCCGAAGAGATACTACCGCGTGGCAATATAACACAGCGTTGTCACGGTTATACCAGGCTTACACGATAACACTATCACGGTCATGGCAGAATCCTTGCGCTACTTAAAAACACTGAATAACATGGCGACGGTTACGCCAGTCGTAAGTCTTGCAGTAGATAGCATGTGAAACTTTCCTTTGTATAATTACAATAGAGAGACGTTGAGACACGCCGTGGCTACAGGCACACACATGTTTAATTTATTACATATGTGCGAATCCTTTCCCTGCACTTTTATTCCACACTGAAGGACCTGCAGAGATTGGGTGAGGAAAGAAAAATTCTAAAAACTATTTTGAAATCTGACTGGGAAATGATTTCAAAAACATAAGTTTTAGAACAGTTTATAATAGATTATAAAATATTAAAACACAAAATGCGTAGAGATCAAGTATCATTAATACTACTATAGATTTTCTAATCATTGATAACTATTCAATTATGACGGAAATATGCACAATTTAACGAAAATATGTCACCTTCCTTTCCAAAAATATTTTTTAGAGCAGCCATGTTTTGTTGACATCCGAATTTACGACTTCCGGGTTCAACATTTATTAAATGTTTGTCAACAAAAGCTATGGAAAATATCATCAATGACAATCATATGATAACTGTTCATTGATTTAAGTAAAATTCATATTTTGATGGATTGCTTATCGTTTTTTTAGACGACTCATGTGCTTTTTCACGACAAAAGAGAAGGACTACTTTACGTTACTCACATTTTGACAATTTTCAAAAATTTCAAAATGACTTCAAAAGAGAAGGATTCTGAGTTCAATAAGTATAGATCACCCTTGGTGTCTAGATATGCGAGTCCTGAGATGGCATACAACTTCAGTGAAATGAAGAAGTTTTCAACATGGCGACAACTTTGGCTTTACTTGGCAAAATCAGAGAAGGTATTTTTTGATTTTTTAGAATATTGTTCTTGACCACTTCAAGGAGGATTGGCTCCCAGAGTGCAACATCGATATTCTGTCCCATATATGGGCATGTCGTGCTACAAAATTTGAATTCCAACAGCCGCCATTTTGTTAACTTCAACATTTGAATCGTGAATTTTGGTCTTATTTCCTAACGAAAAATTCCAAAACTCACAGGAAATGATCGAGATATTGATTCGAATCTTTTGAACTGTTTATTTTGAATTTATAATCGGTTATAATTTCAGAAAATAACGACATCTCGGCGTTTTCATTGTTGGAAAATATCGACTTCGATTCTGGGAGCCAATCCTCCTTGTGACCACTTCTAATTCTATGTCAACATTTGCCCTATAAATGCAGTGTAATTTTTATTTTAGATTCTAGGTCTTGAAATAATGGATGATCAAATTGCAGAGATGGAGGGTAATCTCTCTAATATTGACTTTGATCTGGCAGCTGTTGAGGAGAAAAAGCGACGCCATGATGTGATGGCGCACGTTCATACATTTGGAGTGTGTTGTCCCAAAGCTGCTGGGATCATCCATCTTGGGGCGACATCTTGTTACGTGGGGGACAACACGGTAAGAAACATATCATTATGTACATATTTACCTGGTCCTCTCAGTGTTTGATTCTTTAACTTTTAGATTTTCTTTTTACAACTTCTCTTTTCATTTCTTTTTATTTTTCAAAAATGTTCATCTTTCAAAATTTTTATTTTTCAAAATTTCAATTGTTTTAAATAAAAATTGGTCAATGTGATATTTCCCTCTGTCCTATGGTCCCTTTGTTAAGAATATATTGCTTGCTGATTGGTATAAAAATATTATCTAATCCAATACTGTATGCCCAGTATTTTTTGCGTACGATTTAGTTTCGCGCTTTTCGCGAGTGTTGTAAAACCTCAAAAATTTATTGTCGCAAAATTGCAGATCTAATCCCGGGAATCTGTTATTACCCGGGGCCCTGATGCGTTTCGTTTTGTGTAAAACGTTTCGTCTAGTGTTATTTTGAACCAATTAAATTGTTTGATTTATGTGCAAAGACCGAACCGCAAAATCGAACCTCGCACAGATTACCCCTAGTGTACAATTTCTTGGCTTTAATACCAAAAATGATGATGCAAAAGAGGTTGATATGCAGCTTGCCGATGACAAAGATCCTAGTAATTGTAAATGTCATCTAAATATGACATCAGGTAAGTGCAACTACTGTACATCTAACTTAGTTTACACAGCTCATGAATTCCGAGAATAATGAAACTTGTGAAATTCGCGAAATTTAATAGCCACGAAATTGTGTTTTCAACGATTTCGCGAAATTAAAATTCGCGAAATTAACCGGGCATACAGTATTTATCATAGTAAATATCTCTCTATATATAGTTGCCAAATTATTATGTCCATCCGTACGTAGGTACGTCCGTCCGGGCAATAACTCAAATACCGTTGGCCCGATTTTGTTCATATTTTGTATATACCCTATTGGGGTAGAAGTTCTGCTCGAAAGCCGATTTTCAAAATGGTGGCCATTTTAGTGCCTATTTTACAGTAATTTAGGTGCAATATGTAAAACTGTAATAGCAATATGTTTTAAATGTAAAAAAATTATAAAGGACATTAATAATGCTACAAATGTAGATATTAAAGAAGCACATGGCAGCCATCTTTAAAAATGGCGGCCCTTACTTGTCATTTTACGATTTTTGCTGTAACTCAAAAAATAGTGGAGCGATTTTGTTCATATTTGGTATGTGAATACTATAAGCATTGCACACTGTCTAAAGACACTTTTGGTAGAAGGCGGCCATTTTGAAAAATGGCCGCCATTTTAACGTATTTTACTATAACTCGAAAAGTAGTGGAGCGATTTTGTTCATATTTGGTATGTGAATACTATAAGCACGGCACACTGTCTATTTCTAATGACACTTTTGGTAGAAGGTGGCCATTTTGAAAAATGGCCGCCATGTTAACGTATTTACTATAACTCGAAAAGTAGTGGAGCGATTTTGTTCATATTTGGTATGTGAATACTATAAGCATGGCACACTGTCTATGACATTTTTGGTAGAAGGCGGCCATTTTGAAAAAAAATTTGAAAAATGGCCCCCATTTTAACGTATTTTACTATAACTCGGAAAGTAGCGGAGCGATTTTGTTCAAATTTGGTGTGTGAATACTATAAGCATGGCACACTGTCCTATGACACTTTTGGTAGAAGGTGGCCATTTTGAAAAATTTTTGAAAAATGGCCGCCATTTTAACATATTTTACTATAACTCGAAAAGTAGTAGAGCGATTTTGTTCATATTTGGTATGTGAATACTATAAGCATGGCAAACTGTCTATTTCTAATGACACTTTTGGGAGAAGGTGGCCATTTTGAAAAATGGCCGCCATGTTAACGTATTTACTATAACTCGAAAAGTAGTGGTGCGATTTTGTTCATATTTGATATGTGAATACTTTAAGCATGGCACAATGTCTTATAAAACTTTGGGGAGTAGTCGGCCATTTTGAAAAATGGCTACCATTTTTATGTGTGTTTTTTTACAAGTACGTGTGCGATTTTTCAAAAATTTTAGAGGTGGCTTCTTAAAAACATATTATTTCTCCTGATGACAACTTGGCTAGTGAGCAACCATTTTGAAAATGGTAGCCTTTCTGGTGTGTTGTTTTATGATATTTGCTATTCGTTTGTAAAAATGCCATTTCTGTTCGATGGGATTCGTTACGCTTTGGCGTTGCCGTTGTTCTGGTATATTTTAAAATGTGCATTAACTAATATGTCTGTATGCCTAACTAATATGCCTCTATCCCTAACTAATATGCCTTATAGTAAAAATGAAATAATTCAAGAAAAAGGTGTTTTACAATTTTCTTATTAATATGATTTCTTTAAAACAGGATCTCATCGTGATGAGGGATGCATTTGATATTATACTTCCAAAGCTTGCTAGATGTATACAGAGACTTGCAGGATTTGCAAATAAACAAAAGAGTCAACCAACTTTAGGCTTCACACATATGCAGTAAGTCAATGGCGAAATAGTAAAGTACATTTACGAGGTTACAGGGTGTTTAGGAAGTATTCACCATTCTGCATTTTACTTTCCTTGTCTGAGATAGCAAAGATTTCAGTGACAGATCATCATAACACATTCTGTGCATTTTTGCCTCCTCCATATCTTTCAGATTCTGTCTTACATGATTTCATGAAATCCTTTTTGAACATAAGCGATTCTAAAAAATAAACCATGCTTTCCATTGGTTATGGTAGCATTTGTATAATTTTACTGCAAAATTGAAACTTATTGCTAATTTGAAAAAACTTTTCCAAGTTTTGTTAATAAAAAAATTGCTACCAACTACACAACTATGACAATATAGTGACAAAAAAGAGGAAGGGTTTTCTACAATTTCTATATCTTTATATCTCGAGTTTATGTGTAATTGTAGACCAGCACAACTGACTACAGTGGGAAAAAGAGCCTCAATCTGGATATCTGACCTACTTATGGACCTCAGAAATCTTCAACGTGCCCGCGATGACCTCAGGTAAGGATATTTAACATTTTATAAGTTTATCATAAAGAAATTTAATTGTGTATTTATGATCCTTCTCTTGGAAGGCAATTATTTTATTCTATTCAGTACAAATATTTAATTTCAGTAACTGATCAGCTGTATATAAGCTGATCATACAATAGCTTAATATAGCAGTATTAATCTGTATGCTTTTGCTATGACATTTAAAATCAAACGTGGCATTTATATCAACAAATATGCCATCCCAAGATCAGATGAATTGCTAGATTATAATGATTTGCACTCTAGGCAATACCTCTTATATTTTATTGTTTAAAATATTTGAAACAGGTGTTTTATGAAAATGAAAAAAAAAAGAATCAAGTGGTTGAAATTTTACTAAAAACTGTGCAAAGTCGCGACATACAGTTGTACGTTTTATCTTCCATATTTTGTTTTCAGGTTTTGACAGTTTTAAATGGACAACAATAAGTTGATACTACATGTACGAGTAAAGTCCATTTTAATGTATTATTTTTGTCAATAAAACAAAAAATGAGGATTCTAAAGACCACAGTGCAATATTATATGGAAGAATATTACCATACTTTACATAGTGACATTTGCTTACCTTGAATTGCTTGTGGTTTGACTAATAAAATGTATTATTTAAAAAAATTAACATGACTGAAACTCCTTAATACAAAAGGCCACAACTTTTATTGAACATAAAAATAATTTTTTCCAATATTAGGGCACTGTTGTCTTTTGATAACTAGTAAATCTTTTTTATAGTTTTATTGATGAAAATAAAACATTGTAATTGACTTAACATGTTTTTATTTCACTTTCAGATTCCGGGGAGTTAAAGGAACTACAGGCACACAAGCCAGTTTCCTACAACTGTTTGCCGGGGACCATAAAAAGGTAAATACTGTGTTTTATAACATACCTATGATGATGTATAGTGCAAAGTACACAAGACAGCAAACCAATATAAGTTTTGAAAAGCCAGCGCCCGCTAACTTTCTGATTGGTCAAGGCGCTGACGTCATAACCAATCAATCTAAGATAAAACTGCGCAAGCAATTTTTCTAAACTCATTTCAATCATTTTCAAACCATTTGTTTGTCAATTCTATAAGAAAACGGTACTCTCTGACCAGTCTACATCATTATAGGTATGTTATAAATCGTTTATGTCACTATCGTGGCACATATGCCCTCGGTTCTCAGAGATCAATGTCCCTCCCAAGGTCGGGCCATATATCACTGAGACCTCAGGCATATATGCCACGATAGTGACATAACCTCTAAATATAATTCAACCAAAGCATACAATCCCCTCCCCTCTTCCCAGTTCATTGGACCGTATTTATATCAGTTCATAAGACCTTATTTTATCGGTTCATTAGACCTTATTATTTATATCAGTTCATTAGACCTTTTTTATAACAGTTCATTAGACCTTTTTTATATTGGTTCATTAGACCTTATTTGTATCAGACCTAATGTTGACCTAATGGCTGCATTAACCATGTTAATGCAGGCATTAAAATATAGTAAAGTAAAACCAATGCCCTTTGGAACCTCTAAAAAGTGTTCCACTTGGGAGGTTTTTATTAGAGGTTCATTTAACATTAAATCAGTTGGTCTTGTGAGGTGTCCCACTTTTAGAGGTTCAATTAACATTGAGTTGTACTGGTTGGGATTAAATATGGGTTTATTGGGTATATAAAACCCATATTGAATCCCTCCAAGTAAATAACCTCTATTTACACAGAACTTGTGAAAAAGAGGAGAGTTTAAAACGCTTCATTTTGAATGATATTACGACATTAGTAGTAACAACCAACAATGCAACATATTGAATATTTCATATATAATACATATTTATTTGTTATTTGTGTCTGATAAATAAAATTTAAAAAAAAACAAAGCAAAAACATTGAGTCAGTTGATCTTGGGACTTGGGAAAAGTGTTCCACTAACAGAAGTGTTCCACTTTACAGGTTTCACTGTACACCATTTACAGTTATGTTTTACAAAATTATATTATACTTTAGTATTTTACATTATACTCTATTAACAATCTGTATAATTATGTACTTACAGTATTATTATTATATTTTTTATATTGCGTTTCCAGGTCGAGGAACTTGATAAACTTGTCACAGAAATGGCAGGATTTAGTAGGTACAAACATTTAACTTATGACTTTAGCCTATTTCTACATAAGGCCATAAGAAGTAGATTCTTTGTTTTGCGTCCTGGCAAAATCCAAATCATGCAAGGGTACAAGGAAAACAAACACAAACTCAAGAAAAAACACAAACTTGTTTGCTGAGAAATGTATACATTTTATGGGCATAAAAAGGGATGATATACCAGTTTGCAGTGATTACAAACACATGTCTATACCTTTTATACAATATATTTAAATATAGCTATTATTTAAGGGTTAAAATAAGAAAATTCACAATGTTTGCCAAAGTAATCAATAACACTGTCAATTTTGACGCACATCAAATTATCTGCAATTTCATCTGATTCTGATTGAACGAAATGCGATAGTACTGTCAGACCCTTGTGATTGCTATTTGGATGTGTTTGTTTTTTCTGATTTACTCAAATTCGTGCAAGCAAGGGGACGTAAAACAAAGAATCTACTTCTTATGGCCTAATATAGAATCAAATAAATGATCTCTGAATGCTTTGTTAAGTCGCATGAATTAATCCAAACAGTCCCGCCATCTATGTTCCATCTAAGTATTGCAGTAAAGTGCTTCCATCTTTAGAATAATCTTAAAACTATGAGGACTTTGGATGTCCCACATCGTTTAAGATTTTGTATGTCCCACATCATTTAAGATTTTGTATGTCCCCCATCATTTAAGATTTTGTATGTCCCACATCATTTGATATTTGTATGTCCCACATCATTTGAGATTTTGTATGTCCCATATCATTTGAGATTTTGTATGTCCCAAAACATTTAAGATTTTGTATGTCCCACATCATTTGTAATTTTGTATGTCCCACATTATTTAAGATTTTGTATGTCCCACATCATTTGAAATTTTGTATGTCCCACATTATTTAAGATTTTGTATGTCGAACATCATTTGAGATTTGTATGTCCCACATCATTTGAGATTTTGTATGTCCTACATCTAAGATTTTGTATGTCCCACATCATTTAAGATTTTGTATGTCCCACATCATTTGATGTTTGTATGTCCCACATCATTTGAGATTTTGTATGTCCCACATCATTTGAGACTGATTGTCTCATCTTGTATCTAGTATCTACAAGCATTTTTGATGTTATAAGTATTAGTTATCAATGGCCCATTAATACTTATTCTTTAAGATATATTTTAATGGCTTATGTATGAATGAAATGTCCCTTGTTGTTATGGTCCTGGATCATGAAAATAGAACTTTAATGCTGGGGAGGTGGTACGGTATAAGACATTGTTTCTTTTCACATTGGATTATGGTTTGGGATAGTTGGGGTTTGTTTTCCTTATAACTGGTCTAAACTCAGATATTTTATTTTCCTTGCTGGGTTCTGTAACAGTTTTTGGTCATTTCCCTTTCACAGTTGTCTCAATTTTTTTTATGAATAGAAGATGAAATTTTAGTCTTGGAAATAAATGAATGCATGTGCACATTTTGAAATATTGTTTTATTTATTGGTCCTAGATTGTGATATTTGGCTCTCGATTGGAGGGTAAGTTGTGTGAGAAATTATTTCTTTTCACGATAGATCATGGTTTTGGGATACATGTATACAGAGGATCTATTTTTCTGATGACAGGTTTACATTTAGAGTTTGTTTTTCTTGTTAGGTTCCTTTACAGTTTTTGGTCCTCTCTCTCATGTCCCTTTGGCTCTTGTGCTTAGATATGTATAGGATATCCTATGATTTTGAGGGATATCATTTTTATCCACGAGTTGATATCAATATCTGGACGAGTGAGCGTAGAGAATGAGTGCAGATATTGATATCAACGAGTGGATTAAAATGATATCACGAAAAAATCATAGGATGTTCTAATTATCCCATAGTTGAGGTCAAATCATCCCATAGTTCATATTCCAAAGCATTTCACAACAACATTTAGTCTTATTTGTCTGAACTATTGCCAAAACATTAATCATTTCCATATTTGTGACGTCATGAAATCACCAAGTTAGTATATAACATGTAACTACCATGTAACAATGTGACATCATGAAATCACCATGTAAGTATATAACATGTAACTAACATGTAACAATTCACGTCACATTGGTGGGAGTTTTCAAATCCGTGGAAAAAAGTGATAACTGTGGAATATTCTCCGTATTCTGTGGAATATTCTCAGTATTCCACAGATATCGCTTTTTTCCACGCATTTGCAAAATATCATAAATATATATATGTGTTATTCTACAGATGTGACTCAACTATGGGATAATTATCAATATGTGTCTTATTCCCTTAGTAAATACAGAATAAATCTATAATTGCAGTTCATATACTATATGTGGACAAACATACAGCAGGAAAGTTGATGTGGACTGTTTAAGTACATTGGCGAGCCTAGGGGCATCTGTACATAAGGTAAGTGATCAGTAATTTTAGTAAACTTCATTAAAATAACAAGGAAATGGCCGAAAACTCTAAATAGTGAGGCAAGTTTACAAAAGGAAAGGCAATCATTTAGTTATGTAGTCAGTATTCTAGATCTGATAATGATACGTGACGTCAAAACAGCTAGAACAATACTCCTATTCGCGATAAAAGTTCAGGTGGTAATTTACATAAATATCTCCCATGATGCGTCGCTTTGGAAGGGACAAATTGTCATTGGCCCACCGAACGAATCGACTACTCTGAACGTTTCTCAGCTTCTGATCTTCCATCAGCCCTCAAGCATAGTTATATGATCCAATCTATTCAATAATCAGAAAGATAATCGGAGATTCAAAGTAACATTATTTATATTTTTTCGATCTTCGATGGCATCTGAGCAATTTCTGGGATATCAGTGACGTCACTGGAATTGGACGACATTTTCAACTACAGATTTCTTCGGATTTGCGGATTATAGTTCAAAAAGCTTTGTCAATATCTTAATCACATACATACCTTTCGTTTGTGCAAATGAAACTCTACATAAATGTTTAATAGAGTAGCAGTGCAGCATTGAAAATAGCACCCCTGTGTAATCCAATGGGAAAGAACCATGATATAGACGAAGTTGTACCATACATGAGAGCTCTTCAAACGGGAGGTAGCTAAACTGATCTAAACTAAACGTTATCTAAAACTAAATTCAAAAAGTTCACCATATCGATACCACTCCTTTGACAGGTGCAAAAGCAGTATTAGGCATGTTAGTTTCATATGTCGACAATATTGCTCTTAAGAGTATGATGTTTGTCACTTATGAATTGTTGAATCACTTTGAAAAAATCTACAAAATTTAAGCCCAAGGTACGCGCTGTGAAATGGCACAATCACTTTAGTGTAATAGTAATAAGTAAAAATAGTATTTATGAAAGGATTCATTATTTAATTACATGTACGTGAATAGATGGCTCTACCATGCACTAAACCTTTGGTAAAATGTAAATCTAAAAAGTCTTAAGCACCAGGTCAGTTTATTTTGATTTCGTTTTAAAACATAATTAATTCCATTTTAGATTGACCCCGACCCTAGCCCTCCCCCAAAATGTAATTAAACTTTTTTTTAAACATTAATGACTTCCCACTTTTCAAATATTGATAAAGAAAAGTAAAGAACTTTGACCTCCTCTCCAAATATGATTAATATTTTGAAGATGTACTGTATATTGATCTCCTCTATATGTCTATTAGAAGAATGATTTATTTCTAAATTAACTTTTACATTTTACAAGGGCTTGCATACCGACTCTGTCCTAGACCTTAAATGTAAATTAGAGGTGTAATTAAAGTTATTCAACAGATAAACTTAAGTCTGGTACATATTTATAAATACATTTTCAAATAATTCTAGCTTTTCATTTCATATATGTTTGTAATTAGTGAAATATTTTTTGAAAGCCCAAAAATGAGTTAGTCTGACTATATTGGAATTTTGATTAATCCAATATGGCTGTTGACAACTCATTTGCTACCTTTTAAAGTGACAGTGATGCATCAAAACTAATTGAGAACATCACTCATTTGGTAATCTGTACATACAACTGCAAAAACTACTCCAGAATTTACAGTCTACCTTTACATGCTTACTGACTCAAATTGATAAGCATTAATGTTTTATTTTGATAAGACATTATTAATATCAAAAATCAGTCAGTTTTATCTTGTTTTTCATGCACTCAAAATTCAAACACATTTTATCTTTGTATAGTGTATATTGTAACGTAACTGTAGCAGTATAAGCTATTACAGTATATGCTTTTGAACAAGTTGATAAAACAGAAGCTAACAAAGCTGTTTTTAACGAAAATTTAACCATCGTAATGGATCATTCAGAAATAGGAATGACACCTGAGCAAAAGGAGGTTTTACGTAGGTGCCGTATGGACATCATCCATAATCTAAACATGTCTGACATTATCGACTACCTTCAAACTGATGGTATCATAAGCCTAGCGAGAAAAGAAGAGATTTTTGCATGTACTACGAGTGAAAAACAGTGCAGTAAATTTCTAGATATTCTTCCACGAACTGGCCCAAAAGCTTATGCATCTTTTGTGAAGGCACTGGAATATGACTATGGGTTTATCAAGGAGAAGATTGAAGAAGAAGAGGCAAAAGTCAAAGCAGAAGTTGTAGCTGAGAATGATCATGATGCTTACAGTTTGGCAGGTAAGTAGTTTTCAATGAAAGGGGCACTTTTATATGATTGGGAAAATACATTTTAAGATAAATTGGTTCTACAATATGTATTTCTATGATTACATTCCATGGATTTTTACTGAAGTTTATGAGTTGCCCAAAGGTGGAATGCAAGTCAAGAGTCAGAAATCTATCACTTTGGCTTTCATTCAAACTGCCCGTCGAGAATCAGCTACACATTTTATTATTTATCTATGCACTATTAGTGTTTACTGTCAAGTAACATTTACCTACAAGAAGTTTGGTCATTACTGTAAGGCACATTCTAGCATAAACCTATAGAAACCTAAAAGTGAACTTTCTGAATTAAATAATAATTCTAATCTGGCTGAAACCCCTGTAAATTTCAGGGAGATACTGTTACTGAAAAGTTTACAATTGTTTTTTATGTCTAAAAGTAGTGAAATTTTCTAATCTGGTGGAAACCCCTATACATTTCAGGGAGATACTGTTACTGAAAAGTTTACAATTGTTTTTTATGTCTAAAAGTAGTGAAATTTGTGAATAAAATTCTAATCTGGTGGAAACCCCCATACATTTCAGGGAGATACTGTTAGTGAAACGTTTACAAATGTTTTTTATTTAGGTATAAAAGTGAACTTTCTGACTGGTGGAAACCCCTATAAATTTCAGGGAGATGCTGTTAGTTAAAAGTTTACAAATGTTTTTTAGGTCACGCAGTGAAGAGTCTTGTACAACAGAGTAAGCATTGCATCATACCTGAATCTGATGGCCGACGGGAATCAATCTTCAATCTTGATTGGGAGATTGAAGACACATTTGCAGATGATCTAGGCTATCAAAGCCCACTTGATGTTCAGTCTCTCACAGCTGGTCACAAGAGAGGTAGCACCCTTCCCACAATACCAGAGGTATTAACCCCAGATTTAGAAGAGAATCAAGTATATTTGGTGAAGCAAGATGTTTGTGCGATTGCTCTTGATCCATATGACAAAGCTGCTACAGATCCAAATGTTGAAGACACGGACGCATCAGGAGAAGGAATAGCCGATGCTAGGCAAAGAAAGACAAGATCATTGTCTCTTGGAGGTGGTGTCAGAAACATGGTTAGCTCATTTGAAACACACATTCAACAAGTAACTAATCCTTCAAATGCTGACATAAAAACCAAACCGACACCATATGCTAATGCTCACAAAAAGGATACTGAAGATGACAGCTTGATGAGTGCTCTACATACGAACACAGACAGTGGAAAAATAAATTTAAATAGCAATGATTTAGTTCTTGTTCCAAGTTGCCAGATTCCAGATCCCCAAAAAACATCAGATAGTCAAAGGAGAGTGACTGTCTATGATAAATATGGCCGCAAAATGTGCGTACCTTTTAGTGTCTTGAAGAAATACGGAGACCCCCTAGGTGAGCCTTGGTTCTATCCAATAGCAATATCCTCCAAACAAGCTGCCTTGTTTCTCACAGAAACCAAACAAGAGGGCTGCTTTCTTGTGTACAAGTCAACAAAATCCCCAGATAAAATCCTGTATAATGTCTCTGTTAGTAAGGACAATGGAGATTTGAAACACTATCAAGTTAAACTATATGATGATGGCAATCTGGGAATTGTCAATCACAACCGCACATTTCTGACCATTCATGATCTTGTGAGATTCTTCAAGAAGAATAAAAGCTCTTTGATAACACGTCTGAGACGACCTCTCAGCCAATCAAATCAACCATTCACACCTGGGCTACATTTCGACCACAAATGGGAGATCTCTGATGACAGTGTTTTGAAAGTGGATGAGAATTGCATTCTGGGAAAGGGATTTTTTGGTCTTGTTTTCGCTGGCCATTACCATGGTGACAGAGTAGCTGTGAAATCTTTACACAAAAATCACAGTTCTTTTACCCAACTAGATGACTTCTTCAATGAAGCAGATATAATGATGCAGATCCCAAGCCATGCCAATATAGTTGAATTGATTGGTGTTCGCTTCTCAAAACCAGCTTTCTACATCATAACCGCTTACATTGAGAAAGGCAGTCTAAAGTCTTGTTTAAGAGACCAACAGATTGATACAGAGGATTTAGATCTTCTTTATCAACTCTGTGGCCAGCTTGCCTCAGCTATGTCACACCTAGAAAACCTTCGCTATGTCATACATCGTGATGTTGCTGCAAGAAATTGTTTCATAACAGCTGACAATACCCTCAAATTGGGTGATTTTGGACTTGCACGAAGTGTCCTGGATGATAATTATGAAGCCCCAGAAGAAGAGAAAATTGCTGTCAAGTGGGCTGCACCAGAAGTGCTGAGTAATCAAATATACAGCACAAAGTCTGATGTTTGGGCAACAGCAGTGACCTTTTGGGAGATTTACAGTGGAGGGAAGACCCCTTATGGAAAACAGTCCACACACACAACAGCATGGCTTGTCATGAATGGGGAGAAACTTGGTAGTCCTTCTGAGAAGTGCCCAAGCTACATCTATAGCATTATGCTGGCCTGCTGGGCTACAGACCCCGACAAGAGACCAACGTTCAGTCGTCTGCTTCAACTATTTGAGAATAAATCAGCCATGTACTATGGAGTCCGTTCTCTACATGGTAGTATTGTGTCCCTGTCTGGTTCAGGAAACCTACATGTAATAGACCAACGACACTCCATTTTTAACCAGACAAATCCTGGCAGCCATGAAACAATAGAGCATAAGTCAAATTATGAAATTCAAACCATGAAAGAAAAAGAGGCATTAATCCCCAACAATCTAAATCCTGCAAAGCAAACTTCTGACGAGCATAGTAAACCCACAGTTTGCCCCTCTGATCTTGAAAAACAACTAATAATTGGGCAAGAACAAGTCGCTGGTTGCCAATCAAATCATGAAATTCAAGCTGTTATAGAAAAAGAGGCATTCATCCCAACCAATCTAAACCCTGGGAAAGAAGCTGCTGACAATCATAGTAAACCCACAGCTAGCCCCATTGATCTTGAAAAACAACCAACAACTGGACAAGAACAAGTCCCTGTTGGCCAATCAAATCATGAAATTCAAGCCATGATTGAAAATGAGGAGTTAATTCTCACCAATCCAAACCCTGGGAAGGAAGCTTCTGAAGAGCATAGTAAGGTTGCTGCTTGCCCAGCTGATCTTAAAACACAACCAACGATTGGACAAGAACAAGTTACTTTTAGCCAGTCAAGCCTTCAGATGCAAACAATAATGGTTAAAGAGCAATCCACACTTAGCCAAACAAGCCTTAAGAAGCAGTCTGCAGTTGGAAAAGAACAAGTCACTTTCAGCAAGTCAAATCTTGGGATTCAAACAATCACAAAGAAAGAGCAATCCATGTTTAGCCAAACTAACCTTGAGCAGCAACACTCAATTGAATGCGACCAGTTATCTCTTTTGCCATTGAAAATGGAGGAAGATGCATCTAGCCTAGGTCAAGCCACAATAAGTAGCCAATCAATGATTAAACAAGGACAATCTGCCTCACGTGAAGTCGATCATTGCAACAATCAAACAATGGAAAATGGGCAATCTTCCCCAAGGCACACCAATGCCGATGACTAATCAGATTTACATGGTGACGCAAAAAATACATACCACACACTAATTTTTGAATAACTTTCCCAATGTTTAAGGAACCTACATGATTATTTTGTGGAGATAGTTTTCAATGGAAAAAATATTGTTGTCCTTGGAGCACTGGTACTCACCTAGTTATGCTGACGATACATCAGCGTAACAAGCTGGAAGAACTTCCGGGCTTTGTTTTCGGTAAGATATTTTTATTTCTCGATTCTACACCACTTATAAGTCAAGTTGTGGACAATAATTTGGCTCAAAGTCAAGGAAGATAGTCTAGTTTGAGAATAACATAGAACCACCTGCATATTCTCAAACTAGACTATCTTCCTTAACTTTGAGCCAAATTATTGTCCACAACTTGACTAATTAGTGGTGTAGGATCGAGAAATAAAAATATCTTACCCAAAACGAAGCCCAGAAGTTCTTCCATCTTGTTAAGTTGACGTATCCTTAGCGTAACTAGGTGAGTACAAGTGTGGAGGATATCATCAACAACTTTCAGATTTAGAGATATCATGTTTTCCGTCAAGGCATGCTCTTTGAGAAATCATTAAAAATGTTCAAAAATGCAATTTTCTGAAACCGCAAGGTGAGAAAAAAATTAACCCTCTCAATCTATTTCATTCAACTTTAGGGTAACAAGTATGTCATTGTACGCTATGTTATCTGAATTTAATTAGACCCCCGCTGGTAAAACTGGTCACTCACATGCACTACTGACAACTAAGTAACTGAGATAACAATGAGTAACTCAAGAAACCAATATTGTATAATTTATTAATCAAGGAGACACTCTATGAAACTACACTGCTTTTAATCATCGACATCAGTATAAGGCTCCTTACACTTTTATTATCTAATTAAAAATCATACTTGCACTTTGTTATTCTATGTGCATACAGAACTCTGTATTATGTATAAAGCAAATATAATGGTTCTTGCAGTAACACTAAATAAATCATGGAAACAAAATTAAACAAATGAAACTGATGATTTTTTCCTTTAAATAAATAAAAAAATGCCAATGGTATAACCATTCGTTAAGACGAAATATTTAACCACTGTACTGTATTGTAAAATTGTTAAATGTAGGTTTACCATGTAACTGTACTGTAATTGTTTTTTTGCAATTGCTTTAACATGCTTATTCTTTGAAATAAAAAAATTATAAAAAAAAAATAAAATAAAAATATTTTACATAAGGAAAAGCATTTTATTCTAAAATCAAAATAAATTATATAATTATGTTGAAGTGAATTCTATTAATTCTATTAATTATTTATTTTACATGTATTGTAAATTGTAATTATGTAATTGGAAACTGTGTGTATTTAAGCTTCAGTAATTTCTTCATCAAAATGAACCCAAGAGGCATGTAAGTTTATCAATTGTTCCCATTGTATGTGTTTTACTTTTGAATAATATTTCATCCTTATAATGAATACAATGCATAACAGCTTTGTTTGTTTTTGTTTTTTATTTCAGCTCTCTCCTTGTTAGGATATTTAACATGAGATTAATTTTGAATGGCCTTAAAGGACCTCTATTGTCAATGACAGCGATAATCCAATCTCCCAGGGATGTGTTTGTTGTCATCATGATGGACAATATTATTAAATATTAAATCATGTCTTGGAGATTTGTAATCATGAATTTCCACCACGTTTTGTTTTGTAGTGATATACTCGGAGTTGATTTTGATATGGGAGAATTTGAAATCATTTCAAGATGGCAACACTCTATGACGATGAAAGCAAAAAAAACTATTATATCATATAAAAACTTAAAATATAAAAATTAACATTCAGAGTACAGTTTCTGTTATTATTTTCTGTTGGACAAAATTTATTTAAATATCATCTCATTCATCAAAAGTCTGGTCAATTGGTCTCAGTTGAAAAGGCAAAGGAAATACACAATTCGACACTCCTTGATAAATATGCCATCAAAGTAAAATTACAGTCTCTTGAAAGTCCATGGTATAAGTCCATTTTAATGCCAAGGCAGTCCTCTTGACTAAATATACACACATCTTGGGATTTACATCACATTTATATTACACATTATGATTTATACAAGTACAACGGAAAACATTGAGATAGTAAAAAATAGTATACAGTCTTTCCTGTTCTTAAATACAGTCTTTCCTGTCTTAAATGGGATTGATCCATCTTGTGTGTAAAGAATGGCAATGCCGAAGTGGAGCTGAGTGTCGTGTTTAAATTAAAGCTGTGTTGTATGATGGTGATACTTCAAATCAATGCAACTTTGTTCATATTAATGTGATTGTTGTTGATTTGGAGGTGGATTAACTGGATTAACATAATTACTTAATCCAATAGTTTGAAAACCATCATGAGATGTAAATCCCAAATTTTCTAAATCTTCATTTGTCTTACAAATTGGTTTCAGCACACGTTTCATCATTTTTCTGAATACTTTGTGCCTTAAAGCAAAAATCCAGGATTTCATTCCTGCCACGAAGCAGACTATGAGGAACGAGAAATTCAGAAAAATGAATTCATAGGCAATGTTCACATATCGAATTATATACGAAACTAGAACGAGCTGGAACCAACTGAGCCAGAATGAAATCACTAATATGGCAAGTGTTTTTGTCACCTCATACTCTTGTTTATGATGAGTTCTTTGATGGGAGCGAGTAATTGTTGAAACAGCTTCGTCATTGACAGGATTAACTTTAACCATTGATTTTCTAATGTGACAGTACAGACGGATATACATGATAGTGCTTGTAATAAAAGTTACTAAAATATGAGGCGTCATAATCACACCGTATCCTTGTCTCATGGCCTGAACAGCATGGCATGATCTACTGTAAGACAGATCGCTATAGATCGGGACTACAATTACTGCCGCATATATCCATATTCCGATTAGAAGTAATGACATGCGTTGAAATGTCACATATTTGTCATAGAAATTCCGGTATATGATTTTTATGTATCTTTCTATGGATATTATTGTGAATAGTAACATATTAAAGAGTGCACAGAACAGCAATAATATGATTTTAAGTCTACATAGAATGTCCTGCAGTTCATCTAGGTCAAATTGCAATGTTTGTTGATGTCCGCTATCCTCATTCATTTCACCTTCAGAATCATTAAAGCCAGTTGCATGTGTGTTAGTGTTTGTTACCTCAACTTGGCTGTTGGCTATCCCACGCTTGAGCATTCCATCACTGACTATGTTGTCATTGAAATCACTTACCACTCCAGCAGTTGAATTCATTGGGTTTGATGTGATATTCACTGGATTTGTAGTGTTATTATCAACAAATGTTTCTCCTGTTTTTGATATAAGAGGAATGACAAAGTTAACGAGTTGATCCAGGGGTATTGATGCAGGACATCCAATTAAGAACTCAACCAATGCCTGATTTACAATCAGTAAATTTGTAACTGTTCGTAGATTCTTAAATCTTTTATATATGTGTAAGAGAAGTCCATTCCCAATGCAAATCCACAGTCCAACCATTAAATTTAGGATTGTGAATAAGAGGAGCAGTTCCGTTTCCCGGTCCTGCATCGTGCACTGTTTGTTGATTCAAGTTCACAAATGAGTCTCTGCTATCTACTCTATTATTGTCTGTGTGTCTATATTGTTAGCTGTATGAGCTTTGTGACGTTAATGTTTCTGCATTCTCGCTTTTATAGACGTTAATTAATAACAAATTCCATAATAATCATTTAGTGCTACAGATCCAATCATTTATCTTGATGATCTTGATGATGTTTAGCGGTACAATGGTTATATTATAAGGACTTTCTTAGACACTCTGTGTGATGTGAAATTTTTTGTTCTAATTGATTGTACATGGTTTTTGATAAGTAAATTATTTTAAATATTGGCAGAAGTTTCATAAGAAAATGAGTGAAAACATGTTAATAATTTTTTGTATACATTATACATAACTTTCTGAAGTATACAAAAGTTAGGACTTGTACATATGCTTCCATTTTTCATATACTGTTGCAATAAAGTCATTTGATTTCTTATTTTGTAAATTCAAAGTAGTTCCAAACATTTAAAATTTTACTGTAGTTATGTTATGTCATGTGACTGTTGAATGACACAACAACACATATGACTAGCCAATCAGAATGAGATATTTTGTGAACCAGGTTTTGAATGACTTAGGACTCATTGCGCAAGTGGTCAGTGATTAATCTCGTTACACTCTGCCAAGAAGATGCAGCAACGCTAATTGAAAATAAGGATCATTGTTGCTTCCCAATCAAGTTATTGTTAATTTGGATTGAATAATTTTGTCGGATTATGGAGTGAGTGATAATTGGCTAATCTAATTTCACAATTTCTATTCATGTTGTTTCACGTGATAACGCACTCACGTGTCTGTCTTTGCAGGTGTCTGTTTCTCGTTCTGGTCTTGAAGAGCAGTAATTGTAGCTTCTATTATATTTCAAAAGCCCATAATTTTCGGCATTAGATATACACATATTTCTAACCTCAATCGATTCTAACATTCGTCCGATACATTCTCCCCTATAAGTCACAATTTATATTTGAAAAAAGAGATTGAAATCATGTCTATACTTTGGAATTTCTTCGATATGGTTTTGTCTTTTGTCTAGCACTTTTTCAAGAGAGAATGAGCAATAACTTTCATGGAAAACTAATACGCATCCATAGATTCTACATTTTTGAACCTTTCTGTACAAATTAGGTTGAGTGCTTTACAAAAAACAAATAATTACAATCATTTTGAGCTAATCTATTTTGTGTCACACTCTAGCCGAGAATTAACTGAATATGATAATTTGGAAAAAAAAATATTACACATGAGTATATGAGTAATCTAATTTTATTTTCAAGTTGTCAAACTCCTTCAAAGCAGTCAAGAATCAAAGGGTCTACTTTTATGTGTTTTCAATAAAAGATAAATATATCTACTTACAGGCGCATTTGAATTTTGCTTTTATATAGTTTTGAATTGTGCTTCTAGATATGTTCAGATATTCGACTTCTTGCAAGTATGAAGGAGCTCGAAGAACCATTTGAGAAAGACCAGATAGGTTCAAGTGCCATGGCTTATAAGCGGAATCCAATGAGAAGTGAGAGGTGTTGTTCACTCGCTAGACATTTGATGTGTCTGGTTCAAGACCCTTTGATGACTGCATCGGTTCAGTGGATGGAACGAACACTGGATGATAGTGCTAACAGGTGATTATAAGTTGTTCAGTCTCTCAGTGGCCCCCAACCCCCTCCCTGCTGAATATTATATTAACAACATGTATTATGATAAACATGCTTAGATGGACTACATGCTGTTGCACCATACACATTAGCTGTGGAAATGTAGAGGTTTCCTCAGCTGCCTCCAGCTTCCATCAGAGCAGACATCTCAACTAGGGGAATGAGCGATAAATGCTTAAAACCGACTTGCGACGGTCTATGGTAGGTTTAAAAAGCGCTTTATGGTCGACCAACGCTCACCTTTTCACATCACCGCTCAAGCTTGAAGAAGGGGTTAAAGATTTGCTAGCTATTAAGAGGGGGGACTTATTGGATACAGGGTGTGTCATGATTATGGTGGAGATGAGGCAAGATGACAAGGGATTACTGGGGCAACCAATTTGCATTTCTTCTCAACCACAGCCAACGAGAGCAACGTTTAGCTTCCTTTCCTAGGGTAATCATTGCTTTCTTGCGCTTGCGAGATGGTAAACCAAGCGACTTCAACATCCAGTCCATAGACTTGGCTGGAAAACCTCTGCAGCCTACTTCTACAGGGAAACAGTGTGGCTGCCATCCTCTTCGCTTGGCATCAGTTACTATGTCCTCGTATTTCAACTTCTTTAGTTCGTGGGATTCTTCTACCCGCTCCTCCCAGGGTACAGTTAACTCAACAAGAATGATGGTCTGCGTTGTTTCTGAGGTGATGATGATGTCTGGCCTCAGAGTGGTATTGACTACATGCTGGGGGAAAACAAGCTGCTTACCAACATCAACCTTCATAACCCAATCAGATGCTGAATATAAAATGCCTCTGGATGGTTGATTAACTGTTGGTTTTGCAGTTGCTTGTCCTGCTTTCACAAATCCGATGGTTAGTGGTTGTGAGGGTCGACTGGTCAGGGAGGGATCAGAGATCAAGGGATCAAGCTGTCTAGCAATCCCTTTCAAAACCTGATCATGCCGCCATGTGTAGCGATGTTCTGCTAGGGCAACTTTGCAAGAGCTGAGGACATGACGCAGGGAGGCTGCTCGATCTTGGCACAGTTGGCATGTAGGGTCATCACTCAATTTCCAGAGTGCTAGATTTGTACCTGTCGGCAAGGTGTCACTAAATGCTTTCAAGAAGAAAGCCACAGGTACGTTACTCGTCTGCAGGAGATCACTTCCTGTGAGTTTCCGACTCTCTACTCCTTCCCACTTCATCCATGCTCCTTGATTGCTCATGGTCACAGCCTTCACTCTTCTACTTTCCTCATCCATCTGTCTCACTTCTGAGGTAACCATCTTCCTTCTTTCTTTTGAGTTGGCCTTCGACCAAGGTATGCGTCCATAACTCCCGAGTCCCTTTCTGCCTTGAGCCACAGTACCAATGATGTCGCTCTGGTGCAGGCGAGTCTCTGCTTTGGTGATGGTATCCTGTGGGGACCACTTCCTGTTCTTTGGAGTTTTGGCTTCTGTTCTATTGGCGACTTTGTCCTTTGAGTCACATAGCAACATTATTGTTCTTACTTTGGCTACCTTGAACTCTTCCACCACTGAGTCTACAGGGAGTGCTGCTGGTGAGGATGAGCTGTACAAGTTGACGTCACTGAAGGACTTGGAGACTCCTAGCCATTTCCTCAGCTTTTTGTTTACCATCCTCTCCATCATTTCTATTACAGTGAGTGGTATGTCATAGAGGGAGAATGGCCAGCTCAGTCTGGGAAGGACTCCATACTGAAAACACCAAACCTTGATCTTTCCAGGCAGTGTTGTTCTGTCGATCGCTTCCAGCCATGTTCTGAGTTGAGAAACTAACTCTTTGGTGATCTTTCTGTCTCCCAAACTGGCATCAAAGTATTTTCCCAAAGCCTTGATGGGCTGCTCTGAGATGGTTGGTATTCCTCTTCCTTGCACAGTGAACTTAGTGGGTGATAAGTTGTTCAGTCTCTCAGTGGCCCCCAACCCCCTCCCTGCTGAATATTATATTAACAACATGTAACTTCATTAGTAAAGATTCAAACTTTTTTTCTGAATCTACAGTATAGTAAAACCTGCCAAGGGTTGGCTCAATATTTCAATGTCAGTCAAAAACATAATTATTAATTATGTTGGGAGGGGGTAAACGCTATTTAATTAGGTGACAGACATTGAATTTGAGTTTCCAGTGATTCGTCTTCTGCAATTTCTAGTTTGACAGGCATGGTATCGGTATAATCATTAAATATACTCAACTATGTATGAAACTAAATTGATTATATTTTTTGAGGACATTGAAATATAAATAGGTATAGGGGACGTTACTCCCCCCTCCATTCACTCCCCCCCTCCATCCAATATTAATTTATTTTGATTATTTTTTGTATAATGCATGGAAACTAACTTTAAAAAGTGAGCAGTGTCATTAGTGTTGTAATAATAATGTCCCTTATACCTATTTATTACAGGTTGTGTAGACCATTGTTGCCTGATTAATAGCAAAAACATTGACTTTTGCACGTTGGTGATGATGCGCCTTTATTAATATATCTCATATCTTAGAAGCGTATCAGTCCAAAAAAATACTAGAAGCCATGCACTGCACCTATTCATTTGGCAATTCAGTTGTAAATTTTCTCTCGAAAAAATAAATCTTCCAAATTTGTTGAGTTTCTTGCAGAAATCGCCTACTCCCCCTCCATCCATTTTGTATGATCACCAGGCTTGTCTATGGGATTTTGTGTACACATCTTTATTACTTGGTTAAAACCTGCTCTAGCATTTGATGATTCTCTGTTAAATTTGAGATTCATTTTCATGAATGGGCCGAGCAATTGATATAATCAACGATACAACATGTAATTGTAAATAAATTTGTAATGCTTGATTTTCAGGAGGATTTGTCTTGCGGAGGCCTTCCTGACGGCTGACATTGTATTGAGTACCTTGCAGAATGTATCAGAAGGGATGGTAGTTTACCCAAAAGTAAGCAAATAGCAAATTCAGGGTAGAAGATTATTCTATTAAGGAGACATTTAAAATATCATGTTTGAAGCATTTAGTTATCGTTTCTGCATTGTTTTTTGTTTAAGCCTATGGAATCACACAGCCACGCGTCTGTCTGTCCATCTGAATTAATGTACATATCCATTTTATGGGTTATGTCCATATCCATTTTATGGGTTCATATCCATTTTAAGGAGATCCAAGCTGGTAATTTGTTCCCAATTCCTATTTCCCTTCATTTTGGAAATCAGCTTTTTTGTCATTTTCACCATGTAGGCCCATTGAATATGGAATATATCAGTTGAATATATTAGTTAGCGGTTAAAACTTGCACAAATTGTTGCATTATCTTGGCATATATTTTCAAATTCATGTATGTGTGTGCATTGACAATTTTACATTATATAAGTGAGTCATACAGAAAGGAAGAAAGCTGAATGACAAATTCGAGGAACATTCAAAAATTGAATTTTTTAAAGCCATGGAAGGTTTGGTGAACAATTTTGATATGCTGTATGGCTTTAGGTTATTAGAGATTATACTGATCAAATATCATTTTAGTAGAAGTAGTATGAGTAGCACCTCAAGGTTTATCAACATATCTTCCGATGCTCTTTTGGAGAGAAATGTCAGGCCCGTAGCCAGGATTTGCAAAAGGGGTTCAGTTTTCAAAAATTTCCAGGGGGGGTTCACTTTTTACAATTTTGGCCCAAATATGGCTACAGGCCTGAATGTGTTCTAGACATGAGTAGAGGGACATTTTATTTTTTGTAGGTGATAGAAAAGCATATAAATCAGGAATTGCCTTTCATGGCCACTGAGAATATGATAATGGAAATGGTGAAACGTGGTGGTAATAGACAGGTAAACTTAAAAAGGCATAGCGAGAATCTAAAATTAAGTAGGGCTAAAATCAAAAAGACAAGGCAAATATTTTGCTTATATAAATGACACATTTTTTTGTTATAACAGGACTTATTGTTATAAGATGCACTTATTGTAATGTGACAGATTTGTTGTAATCAAGAAAAAACTCATCAAAAATCACTGACTTGACTTCCTCTTCATTATATAATAGATGTACTGTACATATTGATGAAGTTTCAAAATCATTTTACATTATTGTAGGAATGCCATGAAGAAATCCGCCAGTTATCTCAACAAGCCGCAGCTGTGGTTAAAGAGCAGGGCGGTGACAACGATCTTGTTGAGCGTGTAAAATCAACAGCATATTTTGAGCCAATCCATGCAATTTTGGATTCTCTCCTCGATCCATCAAGTTTCATTGGAAGAGCACCACAACAGGTATCCAATGATTCTGATACATTACACTTTCAAATTTCATTTAAATTCTCAAATTTACAATGTACATATAGAATTTTTGAAGCTATATTTCAGGTAAAATACTTTTTTTAAGCACTTAACAGGAAAGTGAAGTGAGTTCCAATGAAGTTATAACTTATTTAAGAGATAATTCTTAGAAATGCATTCTGCAGATATGCAAAATATAAAAAAGAATATCATACATGAAAACTCTCTTTACTTCCTAGCCTAAGATAAGCTTCCATTCGTAACTTGTGAACTTTTTGCTCAACGTTTTTTACAGCAAAATCACCACTTTAATCTTTCATTTGATCTGTAAATCCCCAATATTTTAGGCATTAGTCTTACTCTTACAATATGCCCTTTCTTAAAGAATTCCACCCCCAAAATAATAAGTCATGAAAATCAAAATGATCATAAATATTTGCATTGAGATTAATGCATAATGCGTAACATTATAATTCATAATTCAGTGTATTTTAGATATAGTGGGTTAAATATTTTCAAAGATCTTTCTATGTACGAAAAATTCCCAAGACAGTGCTATTCTACAACATAGGGGGGGGGGGCAAATGAGGCGGGTAAAATAAAAATATCAGACTCCGATGATTTAAGCATTGCTAGGTGAAGCTTAAAATGAAATGACCATTTTGAATTTTTCTTGACAAAATTTGGAACTCTTCCCCTCTTCTCAGCACATTTCCAGATGAACACCCTGACATAGATAGCATACGAGTGACGCTTTCTCAGGTTTTGAGTGGGAAGGATTTCAAGGACCTTTGTGATACCAATTATGTCTTACTGTGTTATTCAACAGGTTTCATGACTAATCAATTTGTAGTAGATAAGTAAGACATCACAATCCAATTAGTCTAACCGTTTGATTAGCCAGACCATTGCAGAGGTCAGGTCCATGATCACATTGTCGTCACAATTTGGCATTACTTCGCTGATCTCTCTAGTTTTCTAAAGAATCCAAGAGTAAGTTCTGATTTTATTTCAAATGGTAATTTTGGATTTTCCTTGTCATAGTCTTTCTGCACATTTTCGGGAAAACGAGTCTCAGTTTTATCTGGGGGTTTCATTTGACAGTATTTAGGAACATTCCTCAGGAAAATATACCTACTGGGCTATTGCTAGTTCTGGAACTTGGTAATAGATACATATGTACATATATACATATTAAAATAGCACATCATTTTGTTGCATGTATTTCACTCTACTATACCTTGCATTTGGTGTTCATGAGCAACTCATTTGGCTTATCAGTAATGATTATGTTATTGTGTTTATTTGTGTGTTCCTTATTAATGATTTATAGGATGATTGACTGTTAGATGTTAATAAGGTACTTTCAAAAATATACTATAGACAAACAGAGTATCTCATGCATTCCTAGGGGTTAGGTATAGTAAAGAGGAGGGAAAGCCCCAGAGTTTAAAGATGACAGACATAATTAAGTCTCTTGCTTACTACCTTCGTTCGTTCGAATTTTCATTGGCTAGTTATCAAATACTACACTTCGACTGGATGTTTTAATTGATACAGGCATATTCCGTACACCTTTCTTTATCTTGATTTGAAATGAGAAGCTATGATATTGGTTAGCACACCAGAAATGAACATAATATTATTCGAAGCGTATTTCGAAACCGCCATTTATGACGTCATTTGTTTGTCAACTTTTGACCAATCAGCGATGATGTCATCAAAATACAGATTTACATTATAAGCGTATGTCATCTTTGAACCTTGGTGTTTCTCCCCCTCTGGGTATAGTAGAGTGTATTTGTTTGTGAAGATTACTTCTGAACTTCAACTTCATAAATGCATCAACATTTTTGATCCGATTAGCTGGTTGATTAACTAGAAAAGTAGGTTTTAACCCTTGATGATTCTCAGGTTTACAACTGTGTTCTTGTAATTAATTATTTTGGATAAATGTTGGATAAGATCTAATCCGATTTTGTTCATCAATACATCTTCAATTGTTTTGGAGATAAAGGAAATTTTTTAGATGGCCTCAGTTTGGCTGTTACCTCCTGTTGAAGAACAATTTGCTTGATATTTGGAAAGTTATGGTCGCCCGCTGGTTCGAATCTCAGACTCATTGGTTAGAATCCTAATGGTTTGAATCCCATTGTTCCAAGTCCCGATCATCCAAATCCCATTTGCCGGAATCCCAATCACCCGAAAAGATGTAGATTTATTCATTAAGACTTACATCCCCTTTCAATTCGTCTTTATCCGTACTAGTCCCTTTAGGATTAAAATATGTATATGGGTGTGAACAGAGTAAAAAGGATAGTTTTAGACATCATATGTTTAGCTGTATGATCAGAATTTGTTTTTTGTTTTATCTTCAGGTTGCCCATTTTCTGGATGCAGAAGTAAAACCAGCTCTAATACGTTATAAAGACTCCTTAGATTCTATATCAGAACTGAACTTATGAGGACTCCTTCAACTATGAATAAACTGATTTAGGCGACTTACTGGATGTACACACAGCACAAGATTGGAAGTACCAAAATACAATATCAAACATTGACTCTCTATTAACTGATTTAGGCAACTTGGCAATTGGACTCACGCATAGAACATCTGAAGAACAGGAAAGCCTGTGTTTGTGGAATGCCCTTGGTTCTGCCAAAAAATGCGACTTTCAGAGGTTATGGTATCAAAGGGAATTTAAAGAAATACAATATACAATATCAAATACTGGCTCATTTCTGAGCTCCTTAATCATTAGCTAATGAAAACACAGAACGAAATCCTGTGCTCATTGGCTGAAAATGTAAGTTCACCCCAGTGGGGATCGAACCCACGACCCCTCGCTTTCCAGGCGATTGTAGAAAATCAATTTTTTGTTTGGAGTCTGAATGTCGCTCATGTATGATATATTTATATTTAATTCTCAACCCCACCATGTTATTAAAATACAGAATCTCTGGCTACATGTGTATTAATGACGAGCCGTAACCTAAAACAAATACCAAACTCTTACTCTGAATGGCTTTTTGGGACATAGCATTAGAAATTCTAAAAGTTGTACTTAAAACATAGAACTACATTTTGAACAATAAAAGTATTAATAAAAAACATATGAATGAATAGTTTAAGTATTTTATTTACACTGTACACATCAATTATAAACAAGGCATTAACATGCAAAATGTCACCACCTGTCATTTGTTACAGACACCAAATTCAGACCCACTGAATACTGCCACAATAAAACTGGAGATTTTACCATGGTGACATAATAATATCCACTAAATCGTTCCATCAGTCAACATGTGTTTCCTTTATTCTTTTGTTTTGAAAATTTGGTGACACATTTGGCGCAATTGCTACATTGAAATGTATATTGCATCAAAATGCTTGGAATATTGAATTTGGCAGTTACTTAATTTGGTGGACTTAAACAATTTGGCGAATGCGCCAAATAAAAACAGCCACTAAATTAATTAGAAGTATGGTAAGCAAGAAAGGTCCTTGGTGAGTAGTGCTACCAAGATCAGAAAATCACCTAATGGATTGTGGGTAATATCTCATTACAAGGAAAAATGTAATTAATAGGCCAAGAAAAGTGTACTTTTCTAGGAAATAAGACCAAGGCTAAGATTCACTTACATTACATATTTTCCACTTTTAAGCGGTGACAAAAAATGTCATTAAACCGTCTTGCATGAGTTTTATACACAAAAGGAGTTCAAATGGTGAAATGAAGCCTGTGCATTACAAAATGATAATATTAGCGTGGGTACATTTCATTCGACCAAAATAGTGAAATTAAGCTGTGTTCAGTACCGGAGTATTAGACACTCCTTAGTCTACCTCTAGTCATTCTAAATATCAGAGAAATGAGCCCGCTCTAAACCTCAAACAATTTTCAAAAATGTGGGGATATTATGACCACATTGGCCCATGTTTGTGTAACAGAGTCCAAATGAAGATTGTTTACGGAAATGCACTTCTGGTTTATCCTCTTACAGGCATCATTCGGGACATTTGCATGAATTGATTATTCACATAGGGTGACCCACTATCAGTGACCTCCATTATTGTTAAGTCCGTATTGATTTAGTAATGAGTCCAATGCAGGGTCACGGCCACAAAATTTACGGAATACTTGACTCGCTGGAACTCCGCCCCCTAATGCCAGAAAAGTATCGCGGAATCTGAAATAAGGTACATATAATTTCAAATAGTAATTAATTACTGGACTATTTAATTTTAAAATGCCTAAAAACCAGTCATTTACCAAAATATCCTCTTTTTAGACTTGAATGGGGTTTTTATAACTCCAATATCAACATTTTATGACTTCTCTCTCTGGCTAAATAAATACTGTTGTCATATCAACAAATTGTTGCCATACCAACAAATTGATGCCTATGAGCCAATGAAATCGTTAGTTGTATAATGATGTATTATATAACTGTAAAGTGCACCTCCTAATTGAAGATGTAGATTGAAATAAATATGCTTCCATTTATATTGCATAATTACATAAATCTAATACAATGTTTCTTGGACTATTAAATTGCTTGCCTGGTTGTTACTAAAGGCAACAAGCCCTGCTGTACAAGTATAGAAATGATGAACTAAATTGACCATCTATAAAAAGTTGTTTTTAAAGTTATGCTCCCACCTTTTGCCAACTTCGGCCACTTCTTTCTTGTTTTCAAAACCAGCAGCTTCAAATTGGCTGAACACATCTGCCGATATCATCTGCAAGTTAAAAAATTAAAAATAACTTTTTGTTTTCACATAATTCAGAATCCAAGGCCATCTGAATCAATATGATTGATCAAAAATTAAGAAAAAGCGGTCCTTCACTCAGTGGCAGAACCAAATCCAATTCCTTTAGGACACCCAATTGGAAATTAGGACACCCAATTGGAAAAAATATGAATGTTGTGATTGGCAAAATGTTTTCCAAAATCAATCAAATATAGTTTCATAAATTGTTGATTCAAAAACAGAAACATTATGAGCTCAAAATTGCAATTTTTACCCAGGCCTTCCTCATTTGTAATAATGTAACACAAAATTTTTGCAAATAAATAAACAAAAACGTAAGCTTAAAAAAGAGGCTTGTGAACCTTCTTTAAATTCCACAAGCCTGTATATCAAGATTAAGTACGGGAAGCATTCTCACATGAGTCATGTTCATGTGTTCACATGTTTACCATGATACATTCTGTCAGGAAATGAATCTCCAATTTATTATCAGCTTTTAATTTGTTGCTAAAGATAAGCATCCATAGAATTTATATGTATTAGGTTGTTCCATTCTGTCTTGAGATTACAAATGCATTGAATTGACAAGAATAGAATGAGGATGCCATGACGTTTTCATCGAGAAATTAATATCCTGTCTATTAACAACTTTATATTTAGTGCAAAAGAAATCAACAACAGAAAGAATGGTCAAACCCATTTTGATAGGAGCCAATCAAAAGACCACAGTATAATATTAGAAAGAAAAATGCATTCATTTCTAGATGCAAAATATTTTTATTGTATATTTTGGATTTCTTGGTGTTTTAAGTTAACCCATGCGTCGTCTCTTGTATTTTGAATTTACGATGTCTCTTGTGGCATCAATAATAACATTGCCAACTCTTTAAATTACAAAATGAAACTAACTATTTGTAAAATACAAAAGTTTTGTATCCAAAATATTCCCAAATATAATAGATGTAAACTTCTGAATAAGAAGATTCAAGATTCCCTGTTCTGTGTCCCACTGGGTTAACAGATGCTGACTCCACTACCCAAAGAATGACGCCCTGACCATTTTTACAAAGGCCCAATACATATCTACAGTGTTTCAGGCCTTTGTTCCTTTGATCCATATTAAAAGGCCTACTTCCTCTTGACCTTGACCCTTTGACCTTGACATCATTATTTTGACAATGAATGTAACTGGCAACAGAACTGCCTTTTGATATCAGTCTCTTAAGCATTCTGAAGCACGATAAGATTTTTATCATAAGATGGTCTAGCATGAAATCCATGGCAATGAGATTTGAAAGATTTATTCAATTCAAAAATTGGCCTTGCCTTTTTACTGTACTGCCTTGTTTCTAGGCCAAAAGTGTGTTCATTTTAGAGGAGTTTTATCAATAAAACACACAGTGATAAATATCGCTCTTATGGCCACCATGTAATTTACCCCCAACATATCTGAAGCCTATTGAAATTTTGGCACTAGTCTGCTCTTGTGTCTGTATAAATTTCAAGTCAGTGCGACACAAACACGCACTTCCATCAGCACAAGATGACAACATAGCACTTTTCAAAGTGCAATTGAATTAATTTGTCATACCTCTGCCCATTTGTAAGAGTAGTAGGCTGCGGGATATTGGTCTGAGAATATCTGCGTCATAGAACAAGGGTGGAAATCTTCTTCATTCAGAGGAACAGGGATGAATTCTGGCCATAGTCGCCTCATTATATCTGCCCAGTAGTCCTTGCTGAAATGAGTACATATGTTTTAGTAAAGGAGAAATACTTTTATAGTGGAGATTTATTACATGCTTGTAATACCCATTGGTCTCTATGGAATATCTTAACAATTCCATAACAAAGTCTATTGACACCCTGTAAATTCAAGACCGAGAAATGTAAATAATAAAAAGAATGTATCATTTAAGAGTCATTACTCTCAGTATGAAGTAAGCTTTAAGGACAATTTTCAGTTTGGAGAACCAAAGACGATTTTCAGTTTGGAGAACCAAAGACGATTTTCACTTTGGAGAACCAAAGACGATTTTCAGTTTGGAGAACCAAAGACGATTTTCAGTTTGGAGAACCAAAGACGATTTTCAGTTTGGAGAACCAAAGACGATTTTCAGTTTGGAGAACCAAAGACGATTTTCAGTTTGGAGAACCAAAGCCGATTTTCAGTTTGGAGAACCAAAGACAATTTTTGGTTTGGAGAAGCAACAACGATTTTCAGTTTGGAGAACCAAATTTAACTGCATATTTCAATGTTATCAATGTCGTTTTCATATTTTTACCAAATTTTGAACAACATGTAAGCATATCATGAAAAAATCATTTGAATATGCTTATTAAAAATATTGAAAAACAATGTGTTTGCCTTATGTTCAGCGTAAATAATTAACTGATATATGAACAAGGCATTAATATGTAAAATGTCACCACCACTTGTTATAGAAGCTGAACACCGGATGCTGGATGCCAACCGCCATCACCAAAAGATTGAGCCCGTAACAATGTGTCATCACTTTTGGCGGTGACATAAAAACTTAGCTTACCTAACATAAACTTCCATATCGTAGGCAGCAAAGTAAAGTTGACGTACCATGTCATAGCTCGACATATGTTTTGAGGCTGAAAAGGAACAAAAATGTTAAGATAAACTTTACCCAGTCCTACCCTTTTTGCTTTTCAAAACATGATCATATATTTCCTGAAGAGGATATTCACAAGGAGGGATCAGATATGGGTTCTATCCAGGGGGTATGAGATCTGGCCCAGGCTATCGGGGTGGGATTTCATATTATTCCTCAAGGATAGAACTAGTATTCAATACTCACTAATGTGTGACATTTCTATCTCATGATATCAAATGTAAAAAGACACACATTGATAAATATTTATCACATGACATCAATCATGATAAGACACACATTAATTAATATTTATCGCATGACATCAATCATGATAAGACACACATTAATTAATATTTATCGCATGACATCAATCACAACAAGACACACATTGATTAATACTTATTACATGACATCAATCATAACGAGACACACATTGATTAATACTTATCACATGACATCAATCATAACGAGACATACATTGATTAATACTTATCACATGACATCAATCATAACAAGACAAGACATACATTGATAAATACTTATCACATGACATCAATCATAACAAGAGAAGACATACATTGATTAATACTTATCACATGACATCAATCATAATAAGACACACACTGATTAATACTTATCACATGACATCAATCATAACAAGACACACATTGTTTAATGCTTATCACATGACATCAATCATAACAAGACACATATTGATTAACACTAATCACATGACATCAATCATAACAAGACACCCATCGATATATATTTATCACATGACACCAATCATAACAAGACACACATCAATCATAGCAAGACACACATTGATAAATATTTATCTCATGACATCAATCATAACAAGACACACATTGATAAATATCTATCACATGACATCAATCAATCAGATATGACAGTGGTCTGCTCTTCCATTTGTAACATTTGATTCATGTGGCACACACCCACACATCCACATACTCACCCATCAACACAATACGAAGACAATATAACACTTTTTTTAAAGTGTGAAACAAATGTCAAGTTGAACGAAAAAGTGGTTTTCCTGGAATTTTTGATGACACATACACACACCATCGGCACAAGATGATAACAATATAAGTGTGATAAAAGATTGATTGCTGAAAAATCTATTGATAAAAATTATGATTTTATTGTACTTAGATAACATAAGGGATGAAAATATATAAAAATATACCTACATTCTATAATTTGTTGTATCATTGTATCAGGCATTGACTTCCCTGTCTCGTGATGTTTACATATTCTCTTTAATGTACTTGGCTGGTACAGTAACCTACAGAGAAAATACATGTCTTGGTGAACACCTCTATATAGTGGACACCTGTGTATTGTAAAAACCCTTCTTAGCACATACTCTAAATTCTGTGTAAAAGTACCCCTTGCAAGTGAACACCTACCTACTAGAGGTGTAACTCGCCAGAAAAATCCAACTCGAGTTCAACTTGCCAAATATTTCCAAAACTCGAGTTCATTCATTTCGTCCAGTACATATTGTAAACCCAGGTATACAAAATTACTGTAACTTCAAGCAGCAAGTTTCTCTGGTTAAGTCACATCTAAAAGGTGTTTAACATGTTGGGGCCATAAGAAAGTGTGGTATTCATTGCAGTTATCTCATATTTCAATCAAAAATGATCTTGTATAGACGTCGCTGCATACGGTAAGGACAAGAGATCGCTAGAATCTAACCAAACAATATTTTAGAAAACCCAGAAGGGCCCCTCAAATTAATGAATGGTTTTCCCGGATTACCTTCATTATTTACACTTAAGACTGCTGGTTATCGATCTAAAGTTAAGACTTATGATCTTAATTTAATGATAGATCATTTTTTTTATGTAAAAGTCGTGTAAACGACATGAGAATAAGGGCACCATTTTTATTCAATTTTAGTGACTACTCTATTATCACCCGTTGAGTTCCTTCGATAGTCGATCTTTTTCTGATTTTTTTGGTGTAACTCGATATTTGTTGAACTTTGTGAAGCTTTGAGAGTGTTTTTTAGGTGATGAAATATGGCAATCATTGGTAAATTTATTCCACTAATGAAGTAATGTTGCACGATCTCTGGGACCCGAATTCATTTTACATGCTTGCAAGATAGGCGAAACTCGCGAGTTGACTCGAGTTATAGCTAGCTCGCGAGTTGAAATAGATTGCGAGTTTCTAGAGGACAACTCGAGCCGATGTATAGGCAGCTCTGACGAGCTGTACTCGAGTTACTGACTCGGGAGTTACACCTCTATTACCTACAGTGAACACTTTTTGTGTTAACTATACACAGGTTTTAATGTATCATAACTTAGTCATTAGAAAATCAGTCAATGTATCTGAAATCCTTATGTCATATCTGACAACTACATCCAGCTGACAAGCTGTAAGAGCAATCTATGGTATGTAACTCACATTAAGTGCAATATATGTATATTTGACCAGATTTTATTTAAAGGAATATTCCTTGCCAGACCCTTTCTCTCTTGATATGGTAGCTATAATCATATATATAGTTTCCATATTTAGCAAAACATGGGAAAATGTTTTAATATGGTCAATATTGATCATTTAAAAATCTAGTGCTTATTTCCAGTGAGCTGCCATCTTTTAAGATTTCTTGCAGGAAGTGATGTCATCAACTCTCAACTTCTATAACCTTGCCCATAACAGTATAGGAAAGTAGCACAAAATCACTTCTAGACAAGTGATCATTACTTTCTGTGCAAAAATATTTTCAGGGCTTGTCAACTTAGAATAAAAGAAGAGATTTTCAGAAGGATTAAATAAGATACAAAGTTGAAAAAGAATATTTAGCTGGTTTTGTAATTCTTAATAGCTCCTCACCTAATGCTATATGCAAAGTTGAGAGTCGATGACATCACTTCCTGTGTGAAATTTTAAAAGATGGCAGCTTACTGGAATTGAGCATCACATTTCTAAGTGATCAAATTTGACCATATCAAAACATTTTTGCAGGTTTTGCTAAACATGGCAAGCATATATATGGTTATAGCTACCATATGAGGAGAGAGATGGTTTGGCAAGGAATATTCCTTTAATGAATTGCATCTAGTGGTAAAAATTGCACAGAATTCCTTTTCGGACTGAATTCACATTTTCATGCATAATCAAGGTTTATATTATCATTTTTATGACATGGCATTATTTACATGAAGAAAAAAGCTCATAAGGGTTGATATAAGATACAAGTCCCTCACCTTAACTAAATGTATTGCACAAAGTATTTTATTAGGACGTACCTAGTCATTAGGGTTGAGCAGACCTGTAAGACATCCCACTCAATGTTCCTTTGACCACTTAGCTCACTGTATGGCACCTCTGTTAACATTTGCTGCAAGCCATGGCCAAACTAAAAATGCATTAGAAATAATAATTAGAAAATATATCGTCATATCTCTGGGGAGTTGTGAGGTGATGTCACAGTTATTGAATGAAATGAGTACTTGTTTTTCAATGATGAAAACATTTGTGCATAGTTCATGGAAAACAGTAATTATTTGAGCATAATTGGTAACAACTCGGAAAACTAATCAGAATCCTGGAAAAAGTTATCTATACATGTATATTTCTTAATGAAATATACACTACCGTCCATAAGATTGGCAATAAGAAGTTTTCATTGGATAGTGCATTAACGCCTATCAATCTTAGTGCATTTATTGATCATATTTATTAACAGCAATATGCATCATATTTTTACGATATTACCATAAAGTAGTTCTTGTATCATAACAATAACGCGATGACATCACGCCAGGTTTGATTTAGTCCACAATGTCCTTAATTACAATATATGATGAATAAATGTATTTTTTATTTTTTTTATTTATAAATTTATTCCAATGGCTGTGCCATACTGGCATTACTAGCCATGTCTTTATATATATAAAATGACATATGATATAAATAATATATATATAAATAGATCAAAAATACAATATTAAACAATTCCTATGTATGTGTGTGACTAAAAGGGGGTTTGTCATATCACCAACCCAACAATAAATAGTGATCCAAGATGGGACTTCTGGTTTCCAAACTTATGGAGGGGAGTGTACTTCACTATTTACTTATAGAGGGGAGTGTACTTCACTATTTACTTATGTAGGGGAGTGTACTTCACTATTTACTTATGTAGGGGAGTGTACTTCACTATTTACTTATAGAGGGGAGTGTACTTCACTATTTACTTATGTAGGGGAGTGTACTTCACTATTTACTTATAGAGGGGAGTGTACTTCACTATTTACTTATGTAGGGGAGTGTACTTCACTATTTACTTATAGAGGGGAGTGTACTTCACTATTTACTTATGTAGGGGAGTGTACTTCACTATTTACTTATAGAGGGGAGTGTACTTCACTATTTACTTATAGAGGGGAGTGTACTTCACTATTTACTTATGTAGGGGAGTGTACTTCACTATTTACTTATAGAGGGAGTGTAAGTATACCTCATGAAAGAGACTAGAAAGCTGTTGCATTGTTAATAGGGCATCTCTGCTAGGAAGTGGGCGTGGCAGGCTCATATTTAGATATGAGAAAGGGGTGGTACCATAACTGTCACTCCTCTCTAAAATTACATAAAATTTGCATATATTTCCATAATGCATAAATCACAAATCATCTGATATGGCTCTTTGATTTTATGTAACACACGAAATCATGTGTCATCTGTTTTATCGTGTGTCATGTTAATCAATTCAATATTTTCAATTTTCAATGAATTCTAAAAATCAAATTACTGAGTAATAGTAATTGACAGAAAAAAGTAGTTGACAGAACAAAGACAAAAGTAAGGCATTTAGTTCACATTCCTAATTGTATTGAAATGACAAACAAATAAGCATTTAAAAAGGTATTTGAAATAAAGTAGCTTTCATATGGTGAGATGGTTAGAAACTTCACTGGAGCATTGTGCATGTCCATCTATTGGATAAAAACTAAACAACATTCATTTCTTTTGTCATTGATGCAATGTTCAAAGTTTAAATAGCTTCTTTAAAAAAATTGAAAATTGAAATTGATCTGAGATCCCATTTGGGCATATTGAGATTGCAAAATTGAGAGTGATACCTCTTCCTGTTTCCATCCAGCTGCCTGCCAACTTCTCCCCTGGCCTTGCATACGCATCCAAGTAGAATGTGGAAATGTAATCACCTGAAATTAATCATGAACAAGTAGTATTTTACAAGGGGTGTTCAATAATATAATCATGAAGAAGTAGTATTTTACAAGGGGTGTTCAATAATATAACCATTAAGAAGTAGTATTTTACAAGGGGTGTTCAATAACATAATAATGAAGAAGTAGTATTTTACAAGGGGTGTTCAATAATATAATCATGAAGAAGTAGTATTTTACAAGGGGTGTTCAATAATATAACCATTAAGAAGTAGTATTTTACAAGGGGTGTTCAATAACATAATAATGAAGAAGTAGTATTTTACAAGGGGTGTTCAATAACATAATAATGAAGAAGTAGTATTTTACAAGGGGTGTTCAATAATATAATCATGAAGTAGTATTTAACGATGGGCATTCAATAAGTAACAACAGGTTACCTTATTTGTTGCCATGATAATCTTTAATAATGATATGTTTGAGCCTATAACATATCAAATGTGTGAAAATCTTGAGGTAATTGCAAATAACAAAATTGTGACAATTGTTACAGATGCCTCTGCCTTATGGTGGTTGTAACAATATGGTACACATGACCTCTCTTGTTTCAATCAATTAAAGAGAAATAGAGATGGGGCAAGAGAAAGGACAGCAAGGGTGGGATAGAGGGAGGGAGAGACAAGGGGGTTTAGAGGAGACCAATGGATGGAAAAGGGAGGGAGAGAGGGAGTGAGATAGAGGGGGGGAGTTAATGAGGGAGAGGGAGGGAACAAGAGGGTCTGAAGAACAGAGGGGGAGGAGTCGAGAGAGGAGGGAGAGGGGATGTAATAACTTACCAAAACAGTATACCAGGTATAGTAGGGAGTTAAAGCTTGCACACAAAATGGAAACGCCAACCTATATGTATGACCAATTACCCATACAAATGCATCGCTTAAATATTTTCCATTTGTGAAAAACACTGCAAGCTTAAACTCCCCCCCCCAAATATTAAATATATACAAACCTGTGTTAGAGTCTGACACTTGGAACACCTGAACATCTGGATGCCAAACATCTGTATCAGCAGTCACATCCTGTAAACAGACAGTATTCTTACAATGTACACAAACACAATACATTAACAAGGCATTAACATGCAAAACATCACCACCTGCAATTTGCTACAGATGCCACCTGCAGAATGCCGAACACCAACTGCCCAACACTGTCCAAAACTAGATAACGGCAACTCCGCGGAGTAGCAAATCCCAACGAACAAAATATCAATTAGCGAATTCCAATCAATTATACTCATTACTTTGGTTAAAATTGAAAAAATTAGATTTTAGAATTGCGAATTCCTGCAAAGCAGCCATTTTGAATTTTCTGAGATACAAATCTGAAAAATAATACCATAATTGTGATCTACTCCAAAATTCCTTCAATTTGAGTATAATATAGCCAACTTTGAAGGGATCAAAAAATTATTGCGAAATCGTACATTAGACGGCCATTTTGAATTTTACGAGGCTCGAATCAGGAAAAAAATACAATATTTGCAATCTACTCTTAATTGCCTTTCATTTGAGTATATTAAAGCTATACTTTAGAAAGATCTAAAAATAAGCGAAAATTTCTGTTTTCCTTTTCCCCCCATACACGGCCCCTGGTGGTCAGGATGAAAAACACGGAATATATGTGAAATAGATAAATGTTGTGAATATACTACCAAAATTTCAAACAATAATATTAATTACTTTGGTTCAGAATGAAAAATTTATGATTTTTGCGAAAAAGTCCCGTCATTTTTAAAGCGGCGGCCATCTTGAAAAAATTTTTTTTTGCGTAAAACTAAACACCAATATACATCTTTCCACTAAATATGAAGAAAATCCGTCTACTAGTATTTGAGTTATCTTCCGGACAGACAGACGGACTGACTGACTGACTGACGGACGGACAGACGGACGGACGGAGGGCTTCACTATATCCCTACCGAACTTCGTTCGTTGGGATAATAAGCTGGAGACTAAAACAATATGTCACCAAGATAGAACAACTCCCGAGCAAACAGTTTTTGGCTCATATGGTCAGCCTATGGAAGTTCCCACTCATCTGTCTTTTTCCATCAATTTACCAGTCCATAAAGTTAACACAAGATTAAATACAAGATTAATCAGCAATGGGCATTACTTGTAAGTCTATGTTAAGAGAGAATCGCAGTGTCAGCTTTTAAAAGCATAAATATATGTTTACATTATATTTGATCTAATTTTCATAATTTCTACATTTGGTGCCTCGTTTTCTCATTCATGGCATATCTAAAAGTTCATTCATTGTCGAAGTTTTTATCAAATTGCAGCATCTTCCAGAAACTTTTTTTCCCCTTTTCCAGGAAAATTCCAGAAGTTTCTGATTCAAAGAAATATTCCAGGATTAGTTGAATTTCTACATTCAAATTGCAGCATTTTCCAGAAACTGTATTTTCCCTTTTTCAATGAAATTCCAGAAGTTTCTGATTCAAAAAGATAAACCAGGATTAGTGGAATTTCTACATTCAAATTGCAGCATTTTCCAGAAACTGTTTCTTCCCTTTTTCAGAAAATTCCAAAAGTTTCTGATTCAAGAAAATATTCCAGGATTAGTTGAATTTCTACATTCAAATTGCATCATTTTCCAGAAACTGTTTTTGCCCTTTTCAGAAAATTCCAAAAGTTTCTGAATCAAGAATATATACCAGGGTTAGTTGAATTTCTACATACCTTAAATGATATCTGGAAAAGTTCAGAGCAGATTTCAAATAAGCCTTCAAGTACACTGGGAAGTGGGAAATACTGCGCTACCTCATTGGAATCTAAACTGGAAATAGACATAAACAAGATAATGGAATGCCAGTCAAGAAAACAAACAATACTTCAGGTGATATAATAATACTGTAGTGGTATGCATCAAAATGACACAATGGACAACTAAATAGATAAATAGTAAATATATAAATAGTAAATAGATAAATAGTAAATAAATAGTAAATAGATAAATATAATAAATATATAGTAAATAGTAGCCGGACAGAACAAGTCATTCCTCTTTCTTTTCCTGATAAGTTTTTCAATTCTCAATAATTATCACAGGATAAAGAAACGCACAAAATATTTTGTTAAATTCATAATAAATTACAGGGATTCTGCTGTATCGAACACTTACTGGAATAATTCTTTAGCTTGTTGTTCTCTCCAGTATGGAATATCCCAGGCTTGTAAGTTGTAGTCCCCACCCCGTGATAGGGCAAAATCTTGCAGGGTAGCTATCTCATCCACAGCGAATGGCTTGAATACACTTTTGCAACTGAAATGAATGAAACATTGGTTACAATGATTGTGCAACTAAGCCTTTCTGAAGAATTCACTTATGGAGACTCCAAGAGGGTTATGTTCAAGTCATGTATGTAGATCGGGTTTAAACACACTCACATGAAGCACTTTTTAACCATATATTTAATAATGATAACCTGATTGGGTTAGAGACTAAAAAAGCACTATTTAGCATTCCTACGTTTAAACCAACTTAGATAAATAATTTTCATCCTAAATCATGAGTCAATTTTTATCATTACATTGAATTTCATAGGTTTTTTTTTGGTTTTTTTCATAGTTGAGAAGAAATTATTGATTCTGCCCCCTTCCCAGCAACCTATCTTTAAGGGGGTCACAATGTTTGAAAGGTACAAAATGGAAAGTAAACAAAACAAAATTTTGACCTGAAACTATATTCATAGAAAGGCCAAAATACATGTTCATTTTAGGGACAATGTTCATCTAATCCTTACCCTTCGGTGATCTCCCCCCAATTTTATCTCAGATGGGTGCAAAATTCCCATTTTCACAATTTCAGACCAAAATTGGTCAATGTATGCCAATTTTTCATTATTTTTCTCATGATCAAGTGGGTGCTGGGTGCGGAAGGTTTTTCTCAGACCTGAAATATGCCCCCCCCCCTTGTTGGTTTCCAGATCCGCCCTTAGGTCCAAGCCTATTTTCAAAATCTCAGGTTGGTGCTGCACCCACTTGCTTTAATGCTGGGGTGATCACAGCCTTTGATATTACAGCTAAACTAATTCTAATAAAAAAAAATTATTCGTTTTACTTTTCTATCATATACAAATGTATAAAATACTTCAGGGTACATGAGATAAAAGAGATATCAATTTATAAGTAGTTAGTACACTCTAACAACTGCTAGTTATCTTAAATTCAGAAGAGGTCTTAGAACCTTTAAGGACAATACACTTGAATAATACTTGAACAAATATTAACAACATAAATGTTCCGCTATAAACTGTCTAAACTGTTACTATTGAAGTAGTTCAATGTTTAAATTTCAGTATTAGAGTATTCTTGAAAATTATTACAACTCTATATTCAATAAAATTAATATTTATTTGAATAAATGAATATGAAAATATATTAACAAAACTATAATATTTAATATTAACTTAGACATACTTTAAAAAGAATCAGAAGGGATAGAGATCAGAGTTGGGGGGGGGGGGGGGTAAGTTCCAAAAAATTGTCACAATTTTGAAATATTTTTTGCTTTCATCATTTTACATAATGCCTATTTTCAAAAGAAAAACTGTTGACATTTTTAGGATTATCTGTCAAATATGAATCAAATGAACTAAGACATTTCTGCATTCTAAATTAAAATAAAATCTGAATGAAATTGACAATACAGTAGAACCAGTGTAAGTGGAGCACACTTTGGATCACAAAAAGTGTTCAACTTGGGAGGTGTTCCACTTACAGAGTGTTCATTAACAAGTAGTAGATAGACCATTGGACTATTAAAACACTGTTCCACTTGTGAGGTGTTCCACTTACAGAGGTGTTGGACTTAGCAGGTTCTACTGTACTTCAATTCTATTTTCTGAAAATGGAATTAGGATTTTAAGGAAAAAACTGTAGCAAAAGCCTGAATACATGATCAAAACGAAGTCTATCTTTAACCATGAATTCACTGATATGCAACAGACATATACATGATTGTACACTAAAATACATGTAAATGTACATCATTAGTGGAGCTGCATGAAAAGGATTAACACATTATAATTGACAATACTGTGCTCTTGATTATATTACTAAATATAACCTAGTTATAACTTGGTGTTCACAGGATGGCTAAAGATTACAATATTACCTTAACAAATGGCAAAGTGAAGAGAAACAGGCTCAGGAATGCAATTATCGCAGTTGTATTAGCGATTATAGCAGTTGCCATAGTGATTACATTAATTGTAGTGTCGCTACAACAACAGACAGATCCAGGTAAAAATGTATAATAAAACATTACTGTAAGCAATTTTTTATTTTAAAAATAACTCACATTTCCTCTAAAATGTGTACTTAGATTGAAACTTTCGAATCAAATGTGACAATATATGTAACATATACAAGGGGCGATCAATTAATTTCTCTATCTAAGCAAATATTTACCTGGATAGAGAACTACTTACTAAGCATACCCCCACCCCCCCCCCCCCCCCCCCTGGCCAAAATCTCTTCCAAAATCATGCAGTTTTTTACCATGCTGAGCACTTTTTAAGTGATTTCGCCATTTTTGGAGCAAAATTGTCAACAATGAACCTCCCCTGGAAATCTCCCCCCCCCCCGACTGAAAGCTGGCTACGGCCCTGGGGTTTTATCTAAAACTATGTCATTAACATTTTATAATAATGCGGAAAATCCAATATGCTATCATTTCATTTCATTCAATATGACTTTTAGCATTTACTTTAGCATTTACTTCTGGTGGTAACATAAAAAGATTTATATTGTAGGGTGTTTATTAAATTCTTGATTTATTTACAGCGTTTGATTCAGCTGGGGATCCATTAAAATATTTCAAACTGGATGATGCCATGAAGGTCACATGGTACCATGGAGCCAATAGCAAAGCTCAGATCCAAGAGGCCCTTGCGGGGAATTACAAAATGATTGAAGGAGATATAGTATATAGGTACCAGGGACTGACCAATCAGACATCAGAGCTTATAATGGCCCACCCGCCAAATATTGACAGCGACCTGACATTGAGCGAGTGGTTAAATGACATACTCAACAGAAATGACAAGGCACCAAAACTTGACTTTAAAGTAAGAATTGTTTAATTTTCATAATAAATTTGATTTTGGTCGAGCCTCGATGTTTATGTACTTGATCTTGATTGGTCAAGCACAGACTTTACTCTTGCGGAAATGAACTGAAAACTTCCATTGACTCAAAAATGGTCTTACCCTCAAATCTAAAAGGAGTTATTCTGAAAATGATATATCATATGAAAGCTAAATCTGCCTTTTGTGCCATGTATAGGGTGATTTAAGTCTTACACCATCGTATTACAGAATGAAGAAGTCGTAGCCCCATCCCTACAGATGTTGAAAGCCAAGGGGAAAAAGGTGTCACAGCCAGTGTGGGTGAATGCAGATCTAGTAAAGGGGCCTGGGGGAGATGCTCCAAACTTTAATGCTGCAAGGTAAAACTGAAACTTATCTTTCAAAATTGGTCATAGCAGCATCAACTTTGTGGCTTCAAACTTTGCGTGGGGCCTTTATCTATTTGATAATTGGTTATAGTGGTTTCAAAATTTGCATCGGGCCTTTATCTATTTGATGATATTGGTTATGATGGTTCAATATGGAATTTGAATGTGTAGCAGAGTGCAATGGCAAAGACCACTGCAATCAGCATAAAAATACGTAAATGTACCTAGACTATAAATCAGATGAAAAATTTCAGGTTACACAGATACTATATAGTAAGTTTTGATGACAAGATTTATGTGACATCCACCCACACACATACCCCAGGCCTGTCAACTGTCCCAAAATTTGTGTATTTTGTCATGCATTTGCTGAAGAAAGTCACCCTTGTCATGTGAATCCCCATTTTTTCTGATTATTGTCATGTAAAAAATCTTCATAAAAAATGAAGGCTCAGAAACATAAAGAACAATGGAAAAACTGGAATTTTCCCACCAATTGCATATATGTCACGCATTTCCTCGAATTTTTTTATCCCTACCCCCAACATTTGTAAGTCACTCGTTTTAGTGTTCCCAAGTTGACAGGCCTGATACCCAGCAAAACAAGGCAATATGATGAAATCTTCTTGTATACTGAACAGGTTCTTCACAGCCGTCAACACACATTTCCCACGTGTGACTTTGTCACTTGGATGGACCACTAGTCACGGCTATAACTACACAAAACAACACATTGAATCACTATGGCAACTCATACAGAATGTGACTCAGCCAATAACGTTCCCAGCAAGAGCATCGTCATTCAAATATGCCTGGACACATTTTAAATGGCTGCTCGGGAAATCTAATGGGTACACTATAACTGCATGGACACCCGCGAGTGCAGAGGTATCATGGGAAGGTGCCGATCCTTATGATTTACTTTACGTCAGGAACGATTGCGATAAGAAAAAGATATATTACGATCTGAAAGGTCCAAAATATGTCATATTTCAACAGTTGGCTGAAACGGCAGGTAGCTTGTTTAATTATCTGCCCGGACTAGCGGCAGAGAGAGATGGGGTTAAAGTCACATGGGCACATGCAGCAAATAGCAAGCAGCAACTTAAGAATGCTCTTAACAGTAAGTAAACATCGTCAGGGCTGACTAAATCCAAGACAATCTTTCTCTTGAGATTATCAGAGACTGATTCACACTAGACAAGTCTAATGCCATTATATGCTCAAAGCATAATTGTTGTTGCATATTGCAATGATGCTATTACATGTATTTCATATTATTCAATCCAATTCTATATTTAATCCAAGCCTAATTTTGTTTCAAGGTGAAGTTATGATGCTTGAGGCTGATGTTCTTCTAAGGGGCCAGGGAACAGCCAACCAGACAGACATTCCAATAATGGCACATCCTCCCCTGATTGATAGTGATAACACATTAGAAGAATGGCTGAAATCTGTAATACCCTCAAACAAGGGAATTAAACTGGATTTTAAATCTATTGAAGTATTCGAACCATCCCTCAAGATTTTGAATAACTCAAAAACAAACCTGAAGAGACCAGTTTGGATCAATGCAGATATACTTGCGGGTCCTAATGGTAAAGCACAACCTGTTAACGCTACAGAATTCAAGCGCCTCGTTTTGAAATATTTCCCAGAATGCACTTTATCAATTGGTTGGACAACAGGTTATAACAACTCTGGAGTGAATGAGATTTACACAAGAGGTATGGTACAAGAAATGGCTGACTATGCCAAGGAGTTTAAACAACCAATCACATTTCCAATAAGAGCCTCCCTAGTCAAGGCATCATGGGAAAACTTGTCGTACCTTTTGGATCAGTCTCGCTCCTATACACTCACTATATGGAGCTCTAAGAATGATAATGTCAACTCAGATGACATGGTGTATGTCAGGAATAATTATGACATCGATAGGATTTATTACGATTTACCTGAACCATTGTTGTCCGATTTCCTCAGAAAAATAAAGAAATAACAAGGCATTAAAATGCAAAATGTTGCCACCTGTCATTTGTTACATTTGTTACAGGCAGCAAATGCTGAGAACCAGACACCAAATGCCAACACCATCCACAAAAAAAGACTATAACAAAAATTGTGAAGAAATATCTCAAAGAATACAAGTTTGATGTAAGATTGATTTGTAGTGCATGTGAAGTACTGAGACCGCAATATTTACACTCATACCAATGAATGGCACAAGTGTGAAGAACCACTCATATCTGCCATCTATATGAGCAGCTATTCCTGAATTTGCATTTATTTTGAAATATAAAAGAAAAATGTCCATGACATTTGTCTTGTTTGTTATTTATGTCACGGACATCAATCAAGATTCATCATGAATATTATTTGTGACTCGATCAAGCCAAAAACATATTACCGTATTCTCTGTAATTAGCGCCCAGGGCGGTTAGAAAATTGAAAATACATCATTTAGACCATTCTAATTAGCGCCCATGTATGAAAAAATCAGAAATCCCGGGGAATTTCATGTATGGCAATTTTTCTTGTCAAGAATGCTCTTATTTTCAACATATTTTTAAAATAATGATAAGTATTGTTATTGGAGAGAATACGGTAAAGATCGCTTAGACAATATTGACAGTGATATTTGTCTAATTTATTTTCGGCACGCCCACTTTGTCATTATCGACCATTACCTTCAATTTTTCTACTAGAGACTGTTGGATATCGATCAAAGTTACACCTTTTCTTTAATTTGATGACAGATCATCATTTTCGTGTAAAAGTCAAGAATCGTTAAAAAGAAACTAGAAAGTTCACGACCTTGACATGCCGATATTTTGGACCTGGGCAGAAATTGAGAAAATCCAGTTTGTCTAATGTCGAATCATTATGCTATTTTAACATTTATTTCATTCATTTAAAGCCAGTATTTCGAAACAAAGCTGGTCAATGCTGTACTTACCACAATTTCACGATATATTACCAATAAATGTAGCATTCGATGGAAAAGAAACGAACCGACATTTTCAGTTTAGTATTTTAGTAAGCCTCGCTTTGAAATTCGAAATATCGTGGACCGTCCCAAGGGGGGGCTCAAGGAGGATTGGCAATCCTCCTTGGGGGGGGCTAATATACTAGTAAATAAAAAATTACTCAACAATCAACATAGAAACGTTTTGAGGTGCTTCAAATTTTTTATTTGAATTGAACATATATTCCATACAGCTAGTCTATCGCCCTGGCGACATGGGATCGTCATCCTCATTGTTACTATTCTCATACTTAGATACTTCATCATTATCTGATGAGTTGTACATGTCTTCATCAACGTCAAATCTTAAATTCTCTACTAGTTGACCAGCAGCATCTATGGAGCCTTGGCAAAACCCCTCAAATGGATCATCACCATCATCATCATCATCATCATCATCCTCATTGTTAAATAGGAAATCATCTTGGGAACCATCCATGGCTACAGTTAGCCCACACTTAAGAAATGCTTTCCTGATAATCTAAAAAATAGAAAATATACCAGCGTAGGCTATTAAACTTTTTATTATATTTTAATTTAAATGAGGAGTGGTTAAAATGGAAACATTTTAGGTTACCTCTGGCCTGACTGAATCCCATGCACACTTTATCCAGCGTAGGAGAGTTGGCCTGTCTGGTGGGCGTCTGTTGCCTCCCTTGGTAAGATCCACAGGGCCATCCACCAGCCACTCATCGTACTCATCCCGGAAGCGGTCTAAAACATCAAGTTGTAGCAATTTACATGTGGCAGTAATTCTTTACTGTCTGGCATTTAATACATGCATAATAGTATTAATCATCATACTTTAATCATACCTTTGAATGGTTTATTTATGCTGACATCTAAGGGCTGCAAATAACTCGTGCAGCCTCCTGGGATGACAGCCATGTCTGTATTAAAGGCATTCCTTGTGGCCATCTTAACCCCAGGGGTTATATGGGCCCTGTAAGAATCCCACGCAAGAAGTCTTTTATCCGTCTTCTTCCTCCAGATATTCTTTAGGTAGTAGTGGCACACGCTCTCATTGCACCAGCTTTGGGGTGTCATTAGAACCTGCACACCAAGGGGAATCTCTTTGGGTGGTCGTTTGCCTTTTAATAAAAACCAACGGTGGCTTCTTGGTGCCGTCACCCATACAAGTGAGAAGAACTGACATCCTGAAATTAGCAAAATATAGAACATGCGAATTGCAAATATATAACACGGGATCAAATCTAAATCCCCCCTGACATTTCTGAAAAGTAGTCCGCTCAAAATTACAATAAAAGAAATGCCCCCCTCAATATTTTATTGGTTTTTATGACCGTAAATAGAACAGAGATTTTATTACGGGGACGGATCAAATGTTTACCTTGATTTCTCGTGGCCAGTGCTAGATACACTGACTGTCTTCAGGCCTTTAGTGTCAACCATCGAATCTCCCGGCATGTCTACCCAGACTGGGGTTTCGTCCATATTTCCTATGTTAGAGATATCATAGTTTCTGTGTTTTCTCAGTTGGTTTATAAAGCGTAAGTAGCTATAGATTTTGTCGTCCAACTCAGACCTGGACTTCTGGGCTACATGGGTGCTTCTGCGAAAGGACAAGTTGTTCCTCTTCATGAAACTTCTCAGCCAGCCGCAGCTGGCTTTGAACTGCTGATTACCATTAATTTTGTGTTGCCTAAGGGCCAACTTCTTAATCATTTTTCCAGTCACGCGACCTCCTATCAAAAAAGAAATTAAAAAATAATGCATTTGATGAAAGCAAAAGAATGGGGATTGGATTTCCGATGTATTTTACTACATTTTAGCTTAAAATTAATACGGTAATATCGGGAGGGGGAGGGTAATATAAAAACATGACTCACCCTTTTCTCTCCTTCTAACGATTTCACTTAACACCCACTTCTCTATATCTAAGAACTCTACCCGCCTCCCGGCTCCACTTAGACATCTTCTCCTGGTGGTGTATTCTTTGCTTTCTTCTTTAAGCTTATCTTCCTGTTTTAGCCATTCCCGTACACACTTCCTATCAACATCAAACTCTTTGCTTGCTGCATTTATACTTTGCACTTTAGCGTATTCACAAACTTTTAACTTGAACTTCATTGTAAAACTTCTGATCTTTTGTCCTTTGTGGCTGCTTGTTGCTCTTTCACCTTCCATGTCGTTGGATTGACTGTTGGTCGGGACTATTAGTGCCAAGTCTTTGTTCCAATTTTCAAATTTCTAGTACCTCCCATTTTCTTACCTGTTCAAGTTGACATTTGATTGACACAATTCTGACATTTAAAACAAAGGCATTTATGTTATCTTACCTTATTTGGAGTATACCTGTACCTACCTTTTCTTTGTGACTCTTGATTGCAATGCTATTAGAACAAAGACATGTACGATTTAGTTACCTTATTTGGAGTCAAGATTAGCCCAGACGACAAATTAACCATATCACCTGATTTCTTACGTTTGCTTGATCCGTCCCTATTAATTTTTGGCTATATGCGCAGAAGACATGCGCATTGGCGAATTCATGTGCTGGAAATGGCGACGGGGAAGGAACTTGAAGCATTCACATTTTCGTCAGTTATTAGAGGCTATCATAACTATATTGGGACATGCAATGCATCGGAAAATACCTCAGTATATTGCCGAATAGAGAAAGATAATCCCTTCGACAAATATGCAACACAAGTGCTTGAAAATAACAATATAATTGGCCATGTTCCGAGAGAATATTCAAAAGTTTTCAATTTTTTCCTAAAACGCGGTGGACATATAACTGGCATTATCAAAGGTAAACGCCAAAACAATGGCAAAGGACTAGAACTGCCTGCTAAATATACATTCCAAGGAAACAAGGACGATATTTCTAAACTTGAAAATATACTGGGGAAGTGTAAACTTCAACGTTAGCTCAGGTAAGTGGCAGACTCCTGTATTATCGCCCATCTGATTTTTCCATAAAACTGATATTTTCACATTCCTCTGTCTTTCCTCCTTATTCTACCAAATTTATGAAGCGGGATGGGCGCTTATTAGAGAGTGGGCGCTAATTACAGAGAATACGGTACTTGTAAATCATGTTTCAGGCATTAATAAATCATAAATCATGTTTCTTCCATCAATGAATATGTTTCATCTATTCATAAATCATGTTTCACCCATTAATAAATCCATCTATGATGTCTTACCTGTCAAGCATGTTCATGACATTCTCGATGCTTCCAGCCATCTTGGTTTCCATGGACATTTGTGCAAAGTTCTCGTAGCCGAGCAACATAGCAATATCCCTCCTGTAAATGAATGAGTAATAAAAAATCAAGCAATATTTTTCAGCTACAAGGGCTCTGACCCAAATCATTGTCATATATACATACATGTACATCATACAAATCTCATCAGTTTGGTCAAAAACATTTGGCTTCGGAAGGTAGAGATTAAAAGGTGGATTGGATCGAGTGGATTGGATTCATGTAAAAGGTGGATTGGATCGGGAATCTTCAAAATGTGGAATTTCTTATAAAAAAAATTCTGTTGATCTCCCTCTAAACAATTTCCCTCTACAGTATTAGAGGTCCCTTTTGAAAAATCAGAACAAAGCAATGACAAATACATACACCAATTAGTTCATGGAAACTCTAAGTATTTAACCGCTTTCCCTTGTAAATCAACTTTTGTAAGACATAGATCTTTAGAAAAAGAAAACCTGTCATTCAAATTGATGTGTGAATGTACACAAAACATTTCTGGTATGTTCAGTTTGGATTGAAAACAGATGATATGGATCTTCAAACCAGTCTGCCTTATGATTTATGAAATGTCTCAAATTACACTTGGAATGAATAAGATCATGTATCAGAAAGCGGGTACCAGGTCATCCTTCTAGCCCACCCAAGCAAAATAATATTACATCTATTATTTGACATTGTGCAAGTGAAGAGAGCACCAATCTTCCTAAAGGGAGATCAATAGAATTTTTTAAAGGAAAATCCATATATTGAAGATAGCCAATCCAATCTACCTTTTACATGAATCAAATCCACCGATCTAATCCACCTTTTAATCTTTACCCTTCGGAATGGCACTATTTCGGAAAGGTTCATAACAGAGTGACTGCTTGTATTAGAATGCAATAAGTTTTTCGTCTAGGTCTATTTGGTAGTGAAAAGCTCTTCAAAACTCTTCAATGAGAAGGAGTGAAAAATGAATATCTTTCGGCGCAAAAATTGAAAGATGAATGTTGTCTTGTGCGGCCAAAAGTTGTGAAAGGTTAAGATTTTTTTGTTCCGGAAGCAAACTGAAAGTTGAATTTTTGTTCCATGTTCCAACCCGAGAGCCTAAATCCCAAATCGGAACAAAATCGGGGATCCCTGACACCTCTGTATAACATTCACCTCCCAACTAAATAGATGACAAGTAATTTCATATTTTAGTGGAATACAAACCTGTACATTCTGATATCTGTAATAATTTTATGGTTGGATAAGTTTTGATCAGTTCTAGCATCAGTTGCCCTTGTGTTGTAAGCTTGCCATACATTCCAGCGCATCATCCTGTCGGGGCAGTGTGTCAGGAAAGTCTGATAGATGTCAGGTTGCAGGGTCACCTTCCAGGGTCCCACATCTGGACGGGATCTGAAAATAAATGTAAATATCTTCATAACAATTATAGGGATCTAAAATTTTATGAATTATTGATTAATTGACTGAGGCATGCTTAACTGATTAATCTTCTTGACTCTCATTAACTGTTATCTCAAACAAAATATCACCACCTGCCATTTGATACAGATACCAAACATCACAAAAAAGTTGAAGCCTATAAAAATATGTTGCTACTTGTGCCGGTTACATAAAAATTAATCTTCAATATCAGAGGTCTAGATAAGATGTCACCATTCGCCAATTGCGAATATTTTTAGCACCTGGCGAAGATATTGATCTAGATATTTGCAAAGTTGGCGAAGATCTTTTGCATTTGTACTGAACCTACTAGAGAAACAGATATATTATAGGGGGAAATTCTTTGTCGTCAATGTTCATAATTTCATCCATGAGATGTAGAGACGCCAGAACTTGTTTTTGGGTCAATGTAAATTTGACAGTGGATCATATTTGCAAACTTGTTTCGTTCGTTTTTCTGTTGCATTCATGCTGTCGTGCCAAATTAAAAAGATTCTAAAAACACTTCGAATAATAATATGGTGAGATCTCTGGCGTGTGAACCTATATCATAGCTTTTTATGTCACATCAAGATAAAGAAAGATGTAAGGAATATGCTCATTGATTAAACATCCTAGCCATGTGTTTTATTTGAAAACTAGCCAATGGGAATTCAGACAAACCAAAATGGTAAGCATTACCTCTTGCAAAGACCAAGGCCTGGGCATTGAGGTCTTTACACCTAGATTAGTAGGCAGGGCAGCCTTGGCTAACATACAGTAGCGTTAGAGGGACCATGACATGTGAAATTTGTTAGAAGTATGCTTTTTATGTCATTTGATAAAAAATATTTTGGCTAATTATTTTTCAGAGTGGCTAATAATTTTTTTAAGGTTATCTGGACCCCTGTCAATACCAGCCAAAAGTTTAAGGAATCTGTCAATCAATTATTGATTAATTAATTTATTTCTGAGGTTGGTGACCAGATATACTATTGGTGCATATACCACTTATAACCATATTGAACTAGCGAGGATTCAAATTTTCACCATAATTGTTAAGTCAGTATTTTTACAGTTTCAGTCAGTTTTTATTTCAAGTCTTAATACATGTAATGTGTACAATGACATGTTACATGAAATCAAACCTAGATACCAGCCTTTAAATTATCAGAGCCAGTGTCACCTACTTGTTTGCAGCCATTGCACGTAAGGCATCCTTCGGGAAATCTTTCATCATCTGAGGCGAACCAATCAGCTGTGAGAATAGATTTGTGCAGATATGAGTTTTATTCCTGGAATGAATTAAAGTGCTCGATCATTTTTGTGGCAAATTAGACTTTTGACGGCAATCTGCCACAACAATAAAATCTGTAATCCCAGTTCGAGAGAAATCATGAAAGTGCCACATAACAATACAAGTTGAAAATTCTATTTAATTTGGTATATTTTTAAGATTTACACCAGTTACAATAAGCAGGATGGGAATATATATGGTCATGAAGTAACCCACGCTCAACATTCATAAGAAAAGCCTAATATGGATTGCTTCCATATCTGTTTTTTGCCTATCCATTAAAATAGTGGTCAGTAAAAGTATTCTGAATATGTGACGTTGAATTTAATATATTACTATCAGTATCTAAACAAAATTAATAGTTGTAATTAATATTTTATGCAAAATTCAAGTATAATTGTATTGGGTATTTCAATTGTAGGATAATGAAAAATGTATTAAAAGTAGCAAATCTTACCTAAAATTATGTCTTTCATTCGATAATTTCTTGAGAGTTTCTACAAAACGTTTCCTATTGGTTCCTTGTAGTTCAATTCCGTTAAGTCTTGCCTCAAGTAGATACATGTCTACCAGTCGTTCTTGGAAGTTATTCAGGTTTGACCTGTCTGCACCTAGCTCCTGTAACAAAACAGTTCACTCAATACATTACTCAAAATACTCAATACACGACTCAAAATCTTATTACTGGACATATTATTCAAAGTTTTACTCAATTCATACTGACTTCACAAATGAATTTTTGATTATGTTCAGTTTGATGTATAATCAAGTTGGAGTTAATTATGTTTTATTGAATTATAAATAGATTATTTAAGGAATATAATTTATTTGATATGACCTTAAGGATAAATTTTGGTTTGGGTAAGACTTATATCGATGTGCTAAATAAGTTCAAGGTCTAATAAAGTCTAAGGAAAAGCTCAAGGAAAGTGAAATGTTGAGACCATAATTTGGATAAAAATCAAGCCATTTTTGTGCAATTCAATTCATTACTCAACATATTTATTACTCAACATATTTATTACTCAACATATTCATTACTCAACATATTTATTACTCAAAATGTTTAAGAAAATGTTTAGAATATCTCTCAGCAATAGACGTTTCCGATAAATCGTGCCATCTTTTGATCCATCAGAGAAACCACAATATATTGGCTAGATTGATGATGTCATAGGTTGTATCTTTATAAAATTGGCTTAAAGTTGATACCATTTTTGAATGGGCAGTTTGATACCTACAGCCAATGACATCATCAATCTAGCCAATAAGTTATAGTTTCCCTGATGGATTAAAAGATGGCACGATTTATCGGAAACGTCTATTCCAATACAGAAGTATTTGTAACAAAGACGTATCATAGCTTCACAATTCAAATAAACGACACAGTGCCAGCATTTCTTGAGTATATTCATCGAAAATACCAGTACACATTTTGAAGACATCTGCCAATGACTATCTGAATTCAGAAAAGCAATGTAGATTTCCTTACTTTTACTGCATTATAGAGTGGTTCACTTAACCAGCGTTCGTTCTTTGCTCTCTCTATTTGAGGGTGAATCTGAAATTGAGAACTCTTGTTTGAAAAACTGTTATAATATACATGAGGAGGAAATTAGTCCGATCATTAGGTAATAGATCTTTCAATATATCCTGCCATACATATGAAAAGAATAATTTCAATAACTTGAAGAATAAGTTTGTGGAACAAACATTTACATTACATGAGCCAGTGATCAAATGCATAAAATCACCGAAATGCCATATTTCTTAAGCCATATCCTGCCCACTATTCAAAATACAACATTTTACAATCCTACTTTGTTATCTCATTTTTATACAATTTGAGACTTAAAGCATTCCTATTTACATTCCTTGTGACATATGTAGACATCATGATGAATGGTTGCATTGTTACAAAAATGGGACCTGAGTGGTCCAGCATTACTTCATGAATATACTGCATATCCCGTAAAAACAGATCCTGACTTACTCGTGAAAATGCATGCCTATAATCTTTTGTTCCTTTAACGTAGTTAAGATTTTTTGTTGTTCTCCAGGCACAGCTCATAGGGACTGAGATGCCCTCTATTGGGTCTAGGACACTTTCAAACGTCTTTTTGTAATTTGGATCTGCAAAATATGGGTAACATATCACTTAAATAGTATGCATTTGGACTGGTTGAAAATTAGTAAACATTGAACTAAATAAATGTACAATTAAATAAAGGGAATTTCATTCTCTGTTTTCATTTACCAAAGGTAATGCAGGACTCTTGCTAGGATTATAGACTGTGGTACACCTTTAACATTCTGGTACTCATTTTAACACTATGGCACTCATTCTTTTGATCAGTTAAGAAAAAAACAGAAGACAGTTATGTACCTTTCAATTTCTCTACCAGTTCTCCCAACTGAGTCTCATATTGGATAGCTAACTTGGCACCTCCTGATATGCACTTTTCTGGGGTTATTTCACTGAATACTGGCAGATCGTTTGTCCTCATCACAGAGTTCGTCTCTGGGGTGTCGGGAGGAACCTCCGGCAGCCTGCAATAACCCAAAATGAGAGTGAAAATGAGAGTAACTTGTTCCTCCTTTAGGCAAGAACAAAGGTATACTAGTGTTCCAATATAAGAGCATTAGCAAGAGACTTGTTCCTTTTTAGCCAAGAACAAAGGCATAGTTAGATACTAATTATCTAATGTAAGAGCAAGAGACTTGTTCATCGATAACAAGAACAAACTTACAATAGATTGTGTTCTACTGTACCTGCAAGAGACATGTTCCTCTTTAGCCAAGAACAAAGATACATATGAGTGCAAATGGTGTTTTCTTAAAGCAAACAAAGACTTTAAATGTATGAACCATTGAATCTTATAGAAAGATGTGTTATGATAGCCACAAATTTATGGTTAACCCTTACTATTTTTGGTGGTTAACCCATACTATATGTGGTGGTAAACCCATACTATTTATGATGGTTAACCCATATTATTTGTGGTGGTTAACCCATACATATGATACCGTAATTATACCCTTCATCTCAAATGTATATATTAAAGATTTAGTGATACAGATAATTACTCGTATCTATAAGAAATGTGAAATACCTTGATTGATCGCGATATGGTACTAGCCAACATAATGAAACCCTTGAAAAATTAAATCAGAGCATGGAGTTGAAAATGGACTAAAAAATTTGTTCAATTAACCGTATCATACATTTTGTTGAACCTAGGTAGCTAGTTAAAACACATTTGGTAACATTCAAAAGATTGTCATAAGTCTGTTGTCCTATGGATTCTAATTTTGGATCTAAATATACGATATACACGTCTAGATTAGAAACTTCTAGTTTACCATTTTGTACTAAAAATCCTTCATACTCAAATGTATCTAAAACCTCCCTAAGAAAGGATTTGTTCATTTTTCTCGACTCTATCATGGGTTTTCAAGAGATGGGCTCTATACTTATCTCATTTACATTCAATGTCAAAATCTGATTTTTTAGATTTGACAAGGAGAAATAGTGAAATGGACTTAAAAACGATATAAACTGATTGTGACTGTCATACTTCATCTGTGATATTTCATATTTTCTAATCACAATTGCAACACATGATGGCTTGGTAGTTACCTTTATGATTTGCCATATAAACTATTAAAGGCGGGACTTAGGTCATGTGAATGGTTCAAAGCCATCCAATAGTTTGAAAGGCACCACCCACTTCATGGGGGACTTCCAAAACAAACAAACCCTGCACAATTTTAGTAAGTGATCAACAAATTTATTTGTGTGTCAGTCTTGCAAACTCATTACTAATGATAACCCGTAAGACATTTGAGTTGCTTCACACTTAAATGGACTACGTGCCTAAGTGCTAGGCTAAGGGAAAAATGAAGCTGGAAAAAATCTCAGAAAAAATCAAAGATTTCGTAATACTCTGATTTTGTTCATAATATAGTTAGATTAACAATAATATTGATCTCAAATAAGCTTACTGACTTGAGGAAATACTTACAATACATAATACTGGCCAGAACTGTTCCTTAGTTGTGTTTTTGCCCAAGAATTAGACAAGTTACAAAATCTGCACCGAATCATGGAGGCTGCCATTTTGAATGATGCATTCTGGGTATAATCATTTCACAACCGTTTTCTTCTATTATTACAGCTCTGAATCAATAAAGTGAATAGCCAAATCGATTGATAATATATTTGATATGTTGTGTGCATCCCTTAAAACCTTTAAAACGGATTAATCTGGTTACATCGAAACCGGAAGTAGGGCGATGACGTCATGGGCGGGGTAAACATTCTCGATCATGGCGGACATCATCATGTCTTGCTGTGGCTCGGAAGATACCCAAATACAGCGACACAAGAGCAAAATGATCGACAAACAACTAGCCAAAGAGAAGATACATTTCAGGAGAACCGTAAAAATCTTACTTTTGGGCTCTGGTGAAAGTGGAAAAAGTACATTTTTGAAACAAATGAAAATCATCCATGGGAAAGAATTTGGTGATCAAGATATTTTGGAATTCAAAGTTGTTATTTACCAAAATGTGGTAAAAGGGATGAAAGTATTAATAGACGCTTCTGAAAAGCTGAACATACCTTATGGAGATAACGAAAATCGTACTCACGCAAAACATGTTTTCAGTTACGATAACAACATGAAATTAGATGAACAGAATTTTGCCGAATATGTGCCTTCGATAAAAAGTCTGTGGAATGACAGCGGAATTCAAACTGCCTTTGATCGTCGCCGTGAATTTCAATTGGTACGTAGATTCTTTATCCCTAAAATTGTGAAATAATTATAGTAGCGGACAATCATTGTCCATTTTCCAGTTCAAGTATAGTGCTGATATATAATAATTAAGGGTGCGTTTTCAAACTAAACAGAGTGCTCCTACCAAAATGAATTTGCCTACATACCCCTGAGACTCTTATCTGATAGATAGAATGCACAAATAAAACAAAAGTTTTGCTATTATAGGTAAAAAGTTCTCTTGAAATTTCGAAGTGATTTTACCTGTTAATTCTGTCCATGGTCAGCCATTTTTGCGGAAGATACACTGAAACGGAAACTCCATGAAACGAAACGAAATCACTAGAAAAAATTTGGCACATATTGTGCGCATGTGCAGCAAAGTTTGAACCAATCATATTATTTGATTTTTTGCGCACGTGAATTATTTGCTTCTGAGCACTTACAAGCTTACCACAATAAACAAACCTGGCAGAGACTACCCTTAGCCTACTTCATTTTGGGGAAATTTCAGCTCAAACTCGTGACAAATGCATAATGCATACGCTGGTGTGAAGCCTTGGAGACACTAATTTTGGTAAATATGATTTATGGTGTATACTTTTCTGCAGTTTGTGGGAGTTTGGGACATTAAATGTTAAAATTCAAGAAAATATGCCAATTAAACGACTGATCAATTAATATATACCAGCACTGTAGTCCTGCACTTGTATACTTTGTTGGTGTTAGGGGCATGAATAAGTGACAAAAATAATAAACCTCAATAAAAATTCCTGAGTATTTTAGAAAAATCGCTCATCTGTCAAGATGGCGGTAGGATACAGTAGAGGAGCCTGGATGTATCAGTAGATGAAAATGTGTAAAATGCGAGTTCAGTGTTATGGGGTGATAATGAGATACTAGCAACAATGACTCTTGGCTTATTAGATCAAATAAAACATAAATGTAATAGAGGTTGAGGTTCAGTGTGCGGTTGACCAATAATTACATTTGGGAATGAGGTTTCATTAGTTTAGATACCTTGAGGAATCATAGAATAAGGAAATTTAATGTTGTAAAATCAACTTAATTTAATAGCTGCACAATTATGTTTTCAAAATTCGCGAAATTAAAACTCATGAAATTATTCAGGAGTGGAATATCAAAATTCTGGACCTAGCTATATGATGCATGTTATTGTTATAGGTGTTATTGTTGGTCAGAAATTTGTTTCCTTGATAAGGTAGTTCTGCTGTTTCGAAAAAAGGGAAATGTCTTTTAGACATTTATCAAAATATTTTGATTTTGAATAATTGTATTCTTGTATTCTATTCATATTGTGCTATTTGGAATATTTATTCTTGGAATAAAGACCAAGATTTTATGATTTATGACCGAAAATTTTATTCTGGTCATTGTTAAAAGACTGAAATTGTGTAACGATTGAGGTCTTTGGCAATGGCCAGAATAAAATTTGTGGTCATATATTTGACATAAATCATAAAATCAAGGTCTTTGTTACTATTCTAATATGATAAACAGACAAGAAACATAACAATTGCATTTATGAATTTTAGCGGTCTTACATACTCCAATATAGACCAGTTAATCAATTGTTCTAGCTATTGTGACGTCACGTATCATATTAGAATTGTAATTAATACTAATTATCATAATGAAAATTACATATCTTAAATCGATATATATACTTTAAATCTTGAGTACATGTACTTGCATATACATGTATATTGTATATACATGTAACAATACTCCTGAAATATACATGTACTTGCATATACACTGTATGCTCAACCTAATTCATTTTATCTTGTAATTTCCTGTGTGACATATCCGGATATCATTTCTATCATGCAACTGCAAGTCATGATACCTCAAATGATTACAGCTTGCTCTGTTCCAGTACCATTAATTTCTCAATGTTGGGTCACATTTCATTTACAGAAATGATTTAGATTACTGGTAGCATGCCATATTAATGAATGTTGGGACTATATAAGATAACTTTTGTCCAGGATACTATGATAGTGCAGTGATCTCCCCAGCATTAAAGCAAGTGGGTGCAGCACCCACCTGAGATTTTGAAAAAATAATGCTTGTACCCACTTGAAAATGAGAAAAATCATGAAAAATTGGCATATTTTGACTAATTTGAGTCTGAATTGTGAAAATTAAAATTTGCAAACACCTGAGAAAAATTCCTGGGGAGATCACTGTAGCGTATTATAAAGACTAGAAATTCATTGGTGAGTGAAGGTCTTAGGTGCCTTTATCCACGGTAAGGAACATTAAAATGTGATAGGTTGTTCTATCTATCATTTATGTTTAGAAATCAATAAAGAATCTAAAAAGTGATCTGTTTAATACTTTTGAATAGATATCTAGAATTAAGCATACTAGACTTAAGAATCACCTTACACAATATACCCCTTTCATTTAAAAATAGATGCAACACTGATGTAAAGTCTCTTCGTGCTGTTTTAAAGTATGTTTACTTCTAAAAAAAGTTTTAGCCGTTATACAGCTGTCAAATAGCCAACAGTAAATTAATATTTATCGTAATAAAAATCAGCTGTTGATCTCATGCATACATTCAAGTTGCTATCATATACTAAGTCAGGGACCCTCATCTATTCTTATGTTGATTGATTACTTAAATGAATTAAATTTAAGTACTACAGGGTGATCCATAAATAATGTGCCATACTGTATGTGTCAACATTGACTTGTTTGAGTATACTGTAGTATAGTATTAAGATGTAAAGTATTTATTAGATGTTTGCATAGTCAATAATTTGTTAATGAGAAAATAATTACTCCTAGGTAGGACTAGGAGTGTACATAATTTTGAAATATTTCAATCTAGTAACTTATTTCTTCTCGATTGACAAAAAAATCAACAAGGAGTATGTTGTAATTCATGTTAAATAATTAAACATCCTTATTTCTTATTCAATCATGACTGTCTTCACGCCTTCTATAAACTGTGAACAAAGTTAACATTTCACCCGGGTATGTATTTGTCAAAAATACCCCTGGTAATACAAGTAATGTATTATGTCATTACGATGGACCATAGTAATAGCGGATCATTAAATGAATATTCGAAAAAAAATTTGGTGAGTTTTCATGTTCGAATTGCAATATAGACCTCAGAGCTGGTGTAATATTGATGAATACACCCCTTAGGGCTAGGCACAGAGGCCTTCAAGCCCCTCACTCCCTTCAGTCATTTGGGGTACAAAAAACATTTGTGTCGAGCCCTGCGGGATGTATTCATCGATATAACACCTGCTCTTTAGTCTATATTTTTTAATTCCAACACATTAAGATTCAGACACAAGATGGACAGAGGAAAAGTTATAAACAGTGTTTTACAAGTACAGTGCCTAATTATAACTTTGGCGATGTAATAAGATGTAATATACAATTAAGGTAAATAGAAAAACTCGCGAACAGTGATTTTGTGCAATATTGTAATTACAGCATTGGCAATATAATTAGATATCATGCTGAAACATGTCATAACCATGACTATTCAATTGTAACACATCTTTAAATTGTAGATTGTTAAACCAAACAGAAAAAAAAGATTTACTGCATCAGTTCATAATCTTATTAAAATCATAATTCTCAACAGGACCTGCTTTAAATCATCCATGTGAAAAATTAATTTGCGCCAATTCTTGATCATTTAGAAAAGTGCAAAATTCAGAAATACAAAATTTTTTCCCTTAATTGGTAAATAATATATTGTGGCAATTTAGCCCCGTTTTTATTGCATTGTATTTTGAAAAAGTGCTTTTTGTCATTGGGCAGAAAGGCTACCATAAATCAAAATTCCCGGATTCAGTCAACTAGAAATATTTATTTAGGGGCAGACTAGTGCGAAGATCTGATTAGGTTTTGGGCATTTTGCAATCAAATTGCAATATAGATTAATAGGTGCAAGTCTATATTTCCTATTTCAAATGGTTGCAGCACCTATTATTTTCTCTTTAATTCTCTATAAACTTCATGAACATGAAATATGGGGTATAGCTACCATTTTTGAAAGTTTGATGTTGCTAAGTTGCACTAGGGCTACCATATAGGTGGCATTGAGTTCGCTTGAGTCACTTTTAAAATTTGTCATTTAAAAGTTGTCATTTTTCACATTTAAACTTTATTGTATTTGTCATATTTTGTCAGAATCATTCCGTTTTAGTCAGTCAAAGCATTTAATGCAACAAATGGTCTGTTATGTTCCATTGTTTGATTACTGGTTAGAATAAGTCATGTTTACTTGAATCTATTTATATTCAGAATGAATTGTCTATTTCTGTCTCTTTCAAAACACTTGTCAGTCAAATCAATGTTCCAAATTGTCACTTGCAAGCATTTATTTGTTACATTCGTTCGTTTTTAAATATCCCAAGTCACATTTAATCCCATTTTTGGAGCCCAGGTCACCTTGTCACATACCCCCTCGGGGAGCCCCTACACTCTCACCCACTTTCCTTTATCTCGCCTACCTTATAAGAATAATGGAATTCCCTAACCTACAATTAACTAAAAAAACATGAGACATTTATAGCTGAATTATATTTTGTACATGGTATAATTATACACTTCCTATATTGCTATGCAAAACTTTTCCTTATTATACTCACTAACACTTCATTAACGCTACATTTTGACACCCATGGGAAATGAAGTCAATTTCATAAAAGTTCCTCATATTCTTTAAAGGTTTTCAGACATTCTATGAAAACTCTTCATAAGGCACCTCAAATACCTTTGTATAGATACTACTTCTGGCGAGATACAAGGAGTTGATTTAATTATGTCATATTTGACATCAAGGTGCCAGTTCAAAATTCTGGACAACTGGATCACTGTTATAGGTAACATTGGCACGTCTCCCTAGCAACAGTAGGAGGTGGTGTCCCTACTTGCAACTTTCAAAAGATTTCCACCCTTCTGAAAACCTTTTTGCACCCACTGGTAATAAGTAAAAAAATTGAAAATGGCATATATTTGTCAACTTTGGTGAGAATAGTGAAAATGAGGTAATTTAGGTAAATGAGGTAAATTGGTAACTCAAGGTAAAAACCCCTTGGGAGTATAACATTTGAGAAGTAAAATTCTAAGCTTGAAAAGGTGTGTTAAGAGTTTTACAGAATTTACTTCTTGGAATTGTGGAAATAGATATTTGGATAGCAAAATGTTGCCAAGTATTTATGTGAAAATACCCACAATCTTAATTGTTTAATATGTTTATATTAAGAGTAAATTCCTACACATAAAATGACAACTCGATAAAATATATTCACTATTTACTTGCCTTATTTAAAAGTTTTGAATATTTTAATTCTCATGCATTTTTCTCAACCATTTCTATACTTAATTTTTTAGTTTATCGCTTAACTTCTTTTCTGTGCAGGTTTTACTTTTAAAAAGGACAACTATATATTAACAAAATTAGAGGAAAGTCAATTCTGATGTTTTAATGTAACTTCGGTTATCATCTTGTTTCAATAAACAGTTCCCTGTCAAATGCTTGACTTGAAGCTGCATAAAAAAGAAATAAAATATTGATGTTTTTACTGCTCTGTTAAACTTGAAAATGCATATCACATATACGAGAAACATGAACCAACAAATCACTTTTTTCTTTATCTTTTTATATCAGTTAAACAAGCTGAATTGAACATTCTGGTGATTACAGAACGAAATGTTGGACTTAAATGTAGGAGTTGTGAGGCTTGGTAGAATAAATATATAGCTTATGAGGCTGTGGCAAATGAGGGGTTTTGAGCCTTGGAAAAATAAATATTATAAGAGTTGAGAGGCTAGGGCAAATAATGTAAGAGTTATGAGACTATGGCAAATAAATGTTATAAGCGTTTTGAGGCAAAGGCAAATAAATTTAAGAGTTATGAGGCAAGGGCAAATAAATTTAAGAGTTATGAGGCAAGGGCAAATAAATTTAAGAGTTATGAGGCAAGGGCAAATAAATTTAAGAGTTGTGAGGCAAGGGCAAATAAATTTAAGAGTTATGAGGCAAGGGCAAATAAATTTAAGAGTTATGAGGCAAGGGCAAATAAATGTTATAAGAGTTATGAGGCAAGGGCAAATAAATGAAGAAGTTAAGAGTTTTGAAACTATGGCAAAATAATGATTATTTGAAAATCAACTACATGTACCGTCATAGTAGATGTGATTAATGTAATCATGTAATTTATACAAAAAAAGATATAGAAAAAATAGTTTTGAAATTAATGTTCATACATGTATTTGCAAAAACTTCTGAAAGGTATCTTATGTTTCAACCAAATTCTAGCAATTTCTAGCATCTGAATAATATATTGTTATTAGATATTCCTTTGGCAATATTTCCATATTAACTGCACTGCCTTTGGCGCTAGAATCTAATTGAAAAAGAGGAGAGTTATCACTGTATGTGACAAATCTCACTTACATACTTGATTAGCGTGATACAAAGCAGAAGAAAATGAGCAAAATCCTGCTATCATATCTAACCTCAATAGAGTTTTCGTCAGAGATTAAAGGGAGAATGAGATTTAAAGAATGGCCTTTTGATTCAGAGATAATTTGTTCATGGTCAATATATCATTATAAGGCCGGTCAGATGTATATGTTACACATGATTTTGTTATCCCCTATACCTCTGATTCTGCGTGACAGTCACTCTAGTCGTGGGAACAGTGAACACCTTTTCTATTTTTAAGAAGTGATTGCATATTGTTATGTTTACCTAATTTGTTTTTCTACCAGAGGTCAGTGTCAGTGTAACAGTTTTTACTTTTTTGTAACCATTTACAGGTAGTGACATTTTGCTTATTCCTTTTTACGTAATTGTATCGACTCCCATGATATGAAAACCACTATTTATACACTTCAAAATGAAATCACATCAAAAATGAGCACTTCAAAATATGATACAAACACCTCAAAATGTGAACACCTCAAAATGTAATTGTAGTTTTTGTTATCCAGTTGACTCAAATATTGTCACAATCTCGAAATATGAACACTTTTAGAATGTTTTGCTGTAATAATATACTAGAATAATGAGAACAGAAATTGTCGAAGCTGCATACATGATGAGGTTTTGTTTTTTGCATTCAAATATAATGCAGATGGAAATGTCACTTGATGCCTTTCTAATTCATCTTTTACTAATTAATATAAAACTGAAATGTCAGAGCTTTTAGTTTAATGTTCAGATAAATAGAAATAGATTCTATTTAAATTCTCAATTTTCGGATGAGGTGTTCTGTATCATAATGATTTACAAGATTGATGAATCTAACAAATAATAGATACAATTTCATTTTTATTGTGTCAAATGAAGATTTGTCAAAAATAGGATTTAATTAAGAGAAAAACAATTTTTAACATGTTAAAATATTTTATTTTGTACGTTCCATCCATCTACACTGTACTAACAATCATATTCGATATAATTTCATCATTCGTACCTTGCAAATTGCATCTATACAATAAAGCTATAAATAGTATTTCTTCGAATTAAGCAATGGCTCTAAATTTAAAGATACAAGAAATATGCAAGAGACAAAAATAAATTCAAAAAAGTCACAGAAAGACATGAAAAATATACACTAGAGTTGCGACCACATCGTTACATTAGCCCGGCTGATTAATGACAGAATATATTCTACAGACTGTAATATTTATACTGACTCTAATCAGGAAGTATTAAGAGTCTGGCCTCAGGTGACAATACTTGAAAATGTTCTGTTTTGGCATTATGATAAAGCTAATAAAGTGTGTAAAATGACAATGCAGGTGTCTTTTAACCCTCAGGTGAATATTCTTGATTCTAGATCTACCCAGGATAGAAAATAGGCAAAAAATACCATTTGACTTCATTTGAACAAATTAATCATAAATGTCTGTATGATGATATTTTTGAAGTGTCTTATCATGTTTTTTTTGCTTTATATCAGTTTCTATTCTTGCCTAACGTGTATTGTATTATTTATATACATGTATAATTATGTAATGTTGACTCAGACATCCTGTGTAAATATTACAAAATTCCAGATAATAATCCAAATGTCTAGCTCTTGTGGCGTCAATTGCCATGGTAAAAGGTGGGTTGGATCGAGTGGATTGCATTCATGTAAAAGGTGGATTGGATCAGGAATCTTTGAAATATGGATTTTCCTTAAAAAAATTCTATTCATCTCCCTCTATAAAGATTGGTGCTCTCCTCACTTCGACAATGTCAAATAATAGATGTAATATTATTTTGCTTGGGTTGGCTTGAAGAGTGAACTGGTACCCGCTTTCTTATTCATTCCAAGTATAATTTGAGACATTTATAAATCATAAGGCAGACTGGTTTGAAGATCCATATCATCTGTTTTCAGTCCAAACAGAAACCAGGAGAAATGTTTTAGGAACATCCACACATCAATTTGAATGACAGCTTTTATCTACAGATCTATGTTTATTATGTCTTACAAAAGTTGATATACAAGGGAAAGCAGTTTAATACTTAAGGAGTATCTATCAACTAATTGGATTTTATATTTGTTGTTGTTGCTTTGTTCTGATTCCTCAAAGGGGCCCAAGTGATCACAAGATACTTTCGAGGGAAATTTCTTAGAGGGAGATCAACAGAAAAAAACTTTAAAGAAATTCCACATTTTCAATATTTCAAATCCAATCCACCTTTTACATGAGTCAAATCCACTCGATCAAATTCACCTTTTAATTTCTTTCACAATTATGATCCTTATAGCATGTAACAGTCTTGGTTTCTGGAACTGTTCCATACAGGCAATGGTATCTTCTTCTCACAACTTCCACCGAGTGTGTATAACAATTACTACGTATGCATTGCCTGTTACTCCACTCACTCCAGCTTGACCATTTACAGTCTAAAAAAGAAAGCGACCGTCGCTGAGCTTGTATTTGGTAATGCAAATAATGGCTACCAGTTTGATTTCAATTTGATGGCAAACTCATTTAAATATGAAGAGTACCTGCTGCGCTTCCCAGTAGCTGCAACCTATCGCATCAAACCCAATCGCTGACTTAAAAAAACGGGTTTATCCACCTATATAGCAGTAAGTAACGGTGACCTACAATCTGTTCACCTTATTCCCATTCAATTCAAAATGGCTGCCATTTTTCATAGAAAAATGTAATCTTTGATAACCTGAATGTTATTTGATGGATTTTGTTCAAACTTTATATGCTGATGCCAAAGGACAAAGGAACATTGCTCAAGAAGATATTTTTAAGATGGTCTCTAAATTTCAAAATTGTGTCAATTTTTCATAATAAAACATAATCTTTGATAACTAAAAATCAACTCTTTTGACCTTTCGGATGTCATTGAAGGTCAACCAAAGGTCAAAAGTAAGGTCAGATTTGAACTCCTGCCAATTTGTAGATTGTGGTCTGGAGTCTAATAAGAAGAACAAAAAGAAGAAAAACTACAAAAACTATAGGGCCATGAAGGGCCTCCTAATAATATCAATGAAATTAATAGGAATAACCAAATTGGGTATAGAGCTTTTAATCTTTGCCTGGTACCTGATCTGCCAGCTGCCCCCTTTTCACCTCTCAGACCATTTGCTCCTTGACTTCCCTTTGCTCCCCTCGCGCCAGTAGCTCCTGGACTTCCTTTTTCTCCTTGCAGCCCAATTACTCCTCGACTTCCTTTTTCTCCTTGCAGCCCATTTGCTCCCGGACTTCCCTTTTCTCCTTGCGGCCCAATTGCTCCTGGACTTCCCTTTTCTCCTCGTGGCCCAATTGCTCCCAAACTTCCCTTTTCTCCCCTGGGCCCAGTTGCTCCTGGACTTCCCTTTTCTCCTCGCATCCCAGTTGAACCCGGACTGCCCTTTTCTCCTGGTAGACCATTTTCTCCTTTACTACCGTTAACACCAGTGACACCAATTGGCCCCTTGGGTCCCCTATATCCTCTCGCTCCCCTCTGACCTTTCTGCCCAGATTCACCTTTCTTTCCTTTTTTACCTGGAAATCCACGTTTTCCTGGTTGTCCTTGTTTTCCTTTGCAACTCTGAGTACATGTATCATCTAACTGTTCAATGAGAATCTCACTTTTTATAACATCTCTTTGTAAAGTTGCAATCTCTGTAGCTTGTTCATCAAGTTTACTATGGAGTTTCTCAATGGTTGTTGAAAGTTGGTTAACTGTGTCAGAAAATTGCTCACAGTCACATGGGATACTGGCAACTGCAGAACCTTCAACACAAGTCACAAAAGACAGTTCCATGCTAAATAGCAGCATAAATAAACAAAGTACATAGTGTAGAATATAGCAATCCATTGTCTCCTGATTTATTATGTGTTCAACTTCACTCTCCCTATCAAGTGAATCCTCTAAAAGTTGTCAGTACTTATTCTCACAACACATAATGTGATGTTTATATAAATCAAGGGTAACATTTAACCTTCTGATATATTTTACTGCCAGCATTTGAAAAGCGACATTGTTCACAGAGTATTATAAATGACATGATGCTATTTGGGTATAATTCATCATTTGTTCTAGATTTCATAGTGTCACTTATAACTTATTTATTTATGATGTTATTCATGATACTCACACATGTCTCAATAGACGGAATGTGAGTAGAAATAATCTTGATATTTGTTGTTTAATATGCAAAATTTAGTCAAAGTGATATCATATTTGAAATAAATCTGTTCAATAACATTTAAAACCTTTTTGGCGATTTTGTTTTGGATCACCCTCTTGTCTTGAACAAGTAATTTTATATTTGATAACTTCATGAATTTTAGCATTGGATTCGACTTCACAGGTTTCACTAACAATCCTAGGACTTTGTATTGATATGATGGGCCAACTATTTAACTATTTGTTGCATAGGACTAGAGGATAAATACACACATCATCAATTGTACTAGTACTATTCAGTGAGAAAGGGTATATTAAAATGCATTAAAATGTCTTCTAAATTGTATAACATCTATCCTTTATTTAATCATGACATTTTTGTTTTGTTTAACAATGGTTGAGCTCACCTTAGCCTTTGCTCCTTTAGAATCTAAATAAAGAACATCTGAATCATGTTTTGGAAGATTTTCTTCAGTAGTATTAAAGCACTCTATTTTTGCACTGACAAGTTGAGTCTTTCCAAACCCTTAAAACATAAGGTATATAACCCCCAAACCTAAAGGTGTTTGACCCTTTAACATAATATAAGGTACATATCCTCTAAATCATTAGTTGTATGACCCCCAAAAGCCCCAAATCAAAAGTTATATGACCCCCAAATCATAAGGTATATGACCCCAAATCATAATGTATATAACCCCTCATCATAAGGCATTTAATTTTTATCACTCATATTTTTGCGTCCTTCCATATAAGGTGCCAGACTCCCCCCCCCCCCTTAAAACATATAGTATAAAGGGATCTGAAACCTGTACCTGATAGACCTATTTGGATCTGGACTATTAACATACCAATAACCTCATTTCAAAGGGGCATTTGGCCCTTGGGCCAAGATTTTACAAATTGCCCGCTGAAATGAAGTTACATACATATTTTTGTTATTACCACCTAAACTCGTTATTTGTATTGATCAGGGTGGACAATGCCCACCATTGCCCACCACTATGGCTCTACCTATTACTCAGGTTAATTTGTATAATAAAAGGCCATCTAAAGAAGCACTAATACCTTGAGAACAGGCCTGCTTGCAGGTGATGATGATAACAAATATTTCGACTTCCAGTATACATAAACCTGAGTTTAGAGTCATTATTAAACCAAACAATCAGATTTGAGGTCAAGTTTACTTATCTCCTTATTGCAAGATTTACATCACTATTGCTCAAGATTATTCCACAAAAATCAAATATCTTGGGCTAATTCTGTTTACTCGTAATCACAACTAAGATCCAATAATTTAACCAATACTTTTGCCTATTGTTTTCGTTAAGTTTCCCCTGTTGTTAGATATCCTAATGAAACATCTGAAATATCTGGTGGCACTTCTATATAATTTTTAGTACAACAAAACCTCTTCAAATTGAACACCACTTGGACCAGTAAAGTGTTCAGATTGCCAAGTGTTCATATTTTGAGGGTGTGTGCTCCTTCCAGTTTGCTGATTGGTTGAGAAAGGGTCAGCGTTATAGATTGAAATTATTTATAACCCGGGCTGTATTATGAGGTTCTTAACATGGCAGTGTATAACAGATTGGAAAAATGGGACAGGAAAAGCATTTAGATTGAGATATGTTCTGATTATAGAGGTGTTCATATATACAGGTACACTTTGCATTCGTTCGACTTCACTTCTTTAAAGAGAGCTTCGTCTTAACTCTTTCAGTTTACAATAAATCTGTGATTTCACAGACAGATGGGATCGACCAGGCATCCGTCCGTCCTTATATGTGGTTATTGTCTCTGACATAATCGTAGAGTTAATGAGCTCCCTTTTAGCATGTGTTCCTTCCAGTTCACTTATTGGGTCAACGTTGTAGATTTGAAATTATTACCTGGGCACCACTCTTGGGGGCGGGGCTGCTAAACTGTAATATAGTCTAAACGAGGCAGTTTATAACTAGACACTGCGCACATTGTAATATACAGGTTTTACTGTTTTGCCTACATGCTAGCTTTTATTACTTATCAGTTCCACTCCTTTTCACTCTATTTTGCATTTTAATAAGATTATATGACCACACATGGTGTTAAGTCAGGATCAGATCTTTTTGCAAAACTGTAACTAAAAGCAGGTTTTAGCACTGGAATGTTTAACCTGTCTTAGATATAGAATCCTTCATTAACTATTTTACCTTCCTCATTTAGACTTTGAATCCAGAACTCAATATGAAAAAAACTAAAGATCTTTCGCTGTATCTTGTACTTGACATTCAAAATTGTGACTCAGATCGTCATAGTGATGTATTTCTTCAATTGGTTTGCTTCCAAAGCAAGGAATTAACATGAAAAGCATGTTATGTTATGTAAAGGTGAATTCTAAATCATATGTTTTATCTATGAATGGAGGTATAGAGCCTTATACAAGGCAGTGATAGATAATACAGATAACCCAAGGATAAGATGTATGAGATCATGTTTAAAATACAATACAAAAAGGAAAGAGTTTACAGCTTTATGAATGGTCATACTATCGATATGTATTATGTACTAATGTAGAAGAAATAGGAATCTATGTTATTTATTGTTTTTGAGAAAAAGCAAATTTTGAATGTGTTAAGAAGTACGGCCATGAAATGTTTAATGGCTTTCAAGGTTTTGGAAGCTATTTTAGAAATATTTACTTCTGCCAAATAAAGATTAGATTCCTTAGATTAACTTCGAGTCAAATGCAGGAAAATGGCTCAGATGAAGCTTTCTTTTAAGAAACAGAACCAAATTATTCAGAAAGAGGTAGCTATTGTAGTGAATAAGGCATTGTTCCTCAAGGTTAACATGGAACTGTCATGTATGATAGCACTTCAGGCCCGTAGCCAGTGTTCACTTTTTGGAAATTTCCAGGGATTCAATTTTGACAATTTTGGTCCAAAATGGCCCAAATCACTTAAAAAAGTGCTCAGAATGGTGATCACTGCATGATTTTAAAATATTGTTTGCCCCCCCCCCCCCCCCCCCCGAGACCATGCATGGTATATTCTAATTTTTCAACTTAGTATCAAGGAATTTGGTATGGGTCAAAATGGAATGATGGACCACTGGACCAGGTCTATCATTATCTCATATTGGAAAAAACTTTATGGAGCTCACGTGAATATAGATGTAATGTTTACTTAAACAGTTTGTGTAGGGATCTTCAGGAACTGCTTGATTTGATTGCTGACTTTATGAGGTCATACTAGCAATCAGAAAGGCCATACTAACCATAGTCTTATAATATAATATTCATCATATACACCTTTAAATTGTTTCTCAGAGATTGGGCCAATATATCAGTGTATTCCATCTATGGTGAAAATATAAATTATAATATAATTTATAATATATAAATATAATGATTACTCCATAATTTTTTTATTAAATTCATTTTTGATAGAAATTTCACAATTTCACTCTTTATTAAATGAATATTTAAAGATAAATCAAAGAATGCAGGACTAGTCCCGAGAAAAAATACCTAATTTCCTGAGGCAATTTATGAATAAAAAGCAATGCTTGTCTTCCCATAAGAAAAATGTCCGATATCCTTAGGTTGCAAATATTTCAAAATAATGGATTGAACAGGAAATAAAGAATACAGCCAGGCACGCAATAATCTTGATATTGTAGAAATGCCAAAAACTTTAGGAATTATGGAAATATAGATAGAAAAGGCATTGAATCGGCACATTTGGAAAGACGTTTCTCTGGTTTGAATGATCTCTTTCACTGACATAATAAGAATTTATCTTTATTATACGCCTATTATAAGAATAAACACAATTACTGAAAGGTCAAATGTAACCGTAATTTGATAAGCGGAAAGAATTTCAGTTGATATAATATATCTTGTGATTCTCTCTATTGCCCTAAAGTGGGAAATGAAGGAATGATGGACGAATATTTATCAGATATATGTTTTTAAGATAAATGATAAAAAGCAGAAAATTGCTTTGATTTATATTATTTCTTAAAGTATAATAGTTTTGCATGGAAGATACTTTTACAATTTTTTTTTTCAATTTCCCAAAAGTGAAAATTACACACAAAAATAAATAAATATAACTGGCACACCATTTTTTATTTCCCATCTGTTAACTAAAGCTGTAAAAATTTCTAGCTATCAACATTGTCTTCAGTCATGTACTATAGGTTATTTTCTCCTTTATGTTATTTAGTGATACATTGAACCTAAGTGGTACAGATAATACGAGATAAAGGTATATATACATGCTCTTTGATTTAAAAAAAAGTGTATTTAAGGACAAGAACTCTACTTTAAAGAATTAAGTCAATTGGAGGTCCTAGTACTGAGGTACAGTAGAACCTGTGTAAGTGGAACACCCTTGGGGCCACAAACATTGTTCCACTTGGGAGGTGTTCCACTCAGAGAGGTTCATTTACATGAAGTAGATAGGCAACGGGACTTTAAAAACACTGTTCCACTTGTGAGGTGTTCCACTTACAGAGGTGTTCTACTTAGCAAGTTCTACTGTATTTAGATATTTACATACAGTTTAACCCTAGAGTTTTGTTTTTTTGAATATTCAATTGAGTTCAAATCAGATTTTAGTTTTGTACTATTTCAGCATATCAAGGGAATCTAGTCTTGCTTCGAGACCCTGAACCCCCCCCCCCCACAATCTACTTTACACCAGTGTTATGTTGGAGAGGTAGGTGGGGGGTCCACTGTCTTGGGGCAAGACTAGAATGAATCCAGCATCTCCTTTCCTAGGAGATCACTGATCTTAGTTTAGATGGTGTTCATGAGGTTAAGACAACATTAGAACTAAACTATGATTGTACAGTGAAACCTATCTAACCTATCTATGCAAACACCTCTGGGACCGACCAAAAGTGATTGAAAAAGTAGGTGTTCACATTTCAATAAAACATGTAAATCTAGAAGAAATAGCAAATTTGGGACTGAGAAAAAGTGTTCACATTGAGAGATGTTCAGATATACAGGTTTCACTGTGTGTTCATTTTGTGAGGTCACACATCCTAGTTCCCTACATGAGAAAAATGCATATTCGGCGCAGAAATTCGATTTGAAAAAGTTAAATTATGTATGAAATCCTGAATTCCACAATAAATTCTGCAATCAATGGCTTCATCTGAACCACTGGCAGTTCTGGGGGGGCAGAAAAAAAATTGGGCCACAAAAAAAATTTGGGACAAAAAAAGGCCTTAAGGTTCCAAAAAGAGGGCCTTTTTGGTCATTAATTACAAAATTTGGGCCCACTTTTGGGTTGAAAGGCCCCCCCTCCCTAGTTGGTTCCCAGATCCATCCCTGTGAACTATCATGAAATTGCATGGAATTCATATTTCATGACATATTAGACATAATCTTTAAAAGTGCAAAAGCTGGAAGTTTGAGAACTGTAAACAGATTTCACATTTCCCCTTCAAAATCCTCACAACACCAGTTTCTTGTGACTAATGACTGTCTGAGATGTCAAGGTGAGTGACAAATATGAGATGAGATGAGGTGGTTGACTGGAAAAATCATGTTTTCCGTGGAATTCTGTACGAATAAATCAAATTCTGCAAAAATTCTGCGTTTTTTCTGCGTTGACTGGGAATCAGGGAATTCTAGTCTGTGTTAGGTGTACCACTGTACTGCATATATTCTATTCAATTTGATTGACAATGAGATAACACTATTAAGTTAAAGTTAGTTGTGAAAAAATTTGATCCTTATGAAAAAAGATCTATAGCTCCCCTTATTTTCAATAAAGGGACTTGCAGGCTTCATGTGGGTGGCACTATTTAATTTTTAGAAAAGTGTGAATTGTGTCTGTAGGCTGTATTAAACTGAGCTATCAGTCTCAATTAGTCTTAAAATAAATTATAAAGATGAGGAAATAGTTTTTGTTTTGTTCAAATTGATATACGAACCAAGGCCAATTATTGGTTTTTCATTCTGAAAGGTTTTATGGCTTTTTAAACCGTTTACCACAATTTATAGAAAAAGCTAAGAAGGTTAACTTTCTAGTCCCCTGTGTGGCCTACCACATTTTCTTGATCATTTAAAGAACCTCAAAACATTGTTAAATGATAAATAATTAGCTATTATGGATGATTTTATTGTTTGTGTGGTTTAAACCATCAAATGAATAATAGAGCAGAGATACCTTTAGTTTGAATATAGATATTTGGAAGTTTTAGATGTACCATAAAATAGCAGGGTTTATATGGCACTGTTTGAAGAACATGTACAGTATATGAAACATGTAAAATGATGGTCTCCTATTGATTATTTTCACATCACTGGACTTTATTTTCCCGATAGAGTATGAAGGCGTGAGGAAATAAGTTGTAATAATGTTTAAACCAATTAGGTGGTAGACAACAATTCCTTGGGGTCATATAATCATACGTTTATATTTAAGTTCTCTTAAATGCGAGTAAAGTTAACCTCTTTAATATTTGAAACAGGCCCAAGATTCAAGAATGCATTAATAAAATGTATTAAAATCAGCCCAGTTGCCAGCTTTGCCAAGGGATTCACTTTTCCAAAAATTTCAGGAGGATCATATTTTACAGTTTTGGCCCAAAACCACTTTAAAATGCTCAGAATGTTGAAAAACTGCATGATTCTGAACAAATCTTTTGCTATTTCTCCATCTTTTCCATCCATATTGAAGTGAAAGTATTTCATACCAAGTACACCAAGGCACTTTAAACAATTTATAACATACTCCTGGGGCTCAGATTTGAAATGTGGAGATTAATCTTCGCATGGTTTGGTAAGTACCCGTAGCTTCCCATTTCCATCCTAATGCAATTACATCATAATCCCCCATTGTGAAAGTCTATGTCATCCATCAGTTGCTCGTAACTACAGAGTTGCCAATAATTCAATGCCTTCTGTATTTCATCATAATTATTACTTCAAACTTCAGGGTAGCATCTCCTAGTTCTCATCATGACAAAACGGTCAATCTCTGTAACAAATGGCAGGTGGTGACATTTTGTATGCTTAATGCCTTGTTTCTAAGATGTCAAAGCCTATTGCCCAGGGGCTAATAATTATCACTACCCTCTCTGTCTAGAGCAGGCAATTAATTTTTTGGCTCACATGGTGAGCTATTGCAATCACTCACTTGTTTTATAATTGTGATCGCAATGAAATCTTAATGACCCCAAATGGAGCCACTTTGACTTTTCGTGTAAGTTTGATAAAGAAATAAATTCTGTCTACTGATGAAGGTTGAAAGTTATGTTAAGTTGAAACTTTTATTGACCAATTATATGGCCAGATCAAAGATTATCTTTTGCAAGAGTTTAGATTAAGCATCCAGAAGTAATATCATTTTTGAAAAGGGTAACGTTGGCATGATTTTTTAGAAATTAGTTTGCTGATTCAGGAAAATTCTGACTTAAAGTAGATTGAGATTTTTTATCTGAGCTCATATTTCAGCTAGCGGCCGTATAATAAAACTGATGAAGGTGATATCATCTGGCTGTGTTAATATCTAAAAACAGAGACAATACGATGTGATGCGATGCGATACGATATGATACAATACAATAATGCCTGTAATGCAATGCCCTACTCTGAATTTTGGAGCCTCTTTCATCGTGCTCTGAATATAAGACATAAGCATACATTAAAACATATGTGATTACCTAGCTACAAAATGTGTTCACTGTAGGTAGTTTTCACTACAGTGAGACAGTTTTATACAGAAGTCAATAGAATATGTGCTGAAAATGAGTGCAGTGATCTCCCCAGCATTAAAGCAAGTGAGCAGAGCACCCACATGAGATTTTGAAAATAGGCTTGCACCCATCTGAAAATCCATTTGCACCCACTTGAAAATGAGAAAAAATCATGAAAAATTGGCATATTTTGACAAATTTTGGTCTTAATTAGGAAAATGAGAAGTTTGCACCCACCTGCGAAAAAATCCTGGGGAGATCACTGGAGTGTTTACTTAGACATGTTTATAACATCTAAGATCCAAAAAGAGTAAGCATGACCATTAATGAGTTTCATTATACTTATGAAATCAAAAACTAATGTGTTTCTTTTTCCTGTTTGCAGAGTGATTCGCTGAAGTATTTCCTGGACAATTTAAACAGAATTGGTCAGAAGGTAAATATTTTCACACTTTTTGGGGTGTGATATATTGTTCAGTGTTTGTCAGTCGTAGCTCAGCATCTGCAACAATTTGCAATAATTTGGCGAAATTTTTCTTCATTTCATTGAAGTAATAATACTAGTAGAACAAATGTATGTTATTATTTTTGATAATGTTAGCAGCAAAATTTTATTGATCAGCTATTATTTTACAAACAAGATTCATCATTTATTGCATTAACAAGATAAATGATCCAATCAGATTGCTAGAAATTTCATTGTCGTTGAATAATATAAGAATATCATATGGTTTTGAAAAAATATCATTTATATCCATGAGTGGATATTGATATCTTCATGAGTGAGCGCAGTGAATGAGTGAAGATATTTGTATCCATGAGTGGATAATTTTTGGTTTTTGAAAAACCATAGGATTGTCTGTTTGTCCCATGGGAAATCATCATCAGCGAAAAAAGTGGAAAATATAATTTGAGAAAAAATGTGAAAAAATAATTGAAAAAAATTGTGAAAAAATGTTGAAATTTTTTTAAAATATTTTTGAAAATAATTAGAAAATGTAAAAAGGATTTTTTTTGAAAAAAATTCGAAACCATCAAATATCACTTTTCAAACCATCCAATATCACTCTTTAAGACGTAATATTCGATAGTTTAAAAGTGATATTCGATGGTTTTTGAATTTTTTGCTAAAATATGATATCTTGATCCACATATCAAATACAGGGTTCTCACTAGTCTTTTAGACTCCGGAGATTCTCCGGAGTCTTATGTCTTAAAATCTCTTGCTCCAGAGTCTAATAGCTTCTCCGGAGTCTAAAGTGTTTTTTCCGGAGTCTAATTTTACATTTTTGTCACATTATTTGCGATAAAACTCTTGAGAAAATACATAAAACTGGATACAAACAAGAAATAGGAAGTCAGAAACCTTTTAGAAATAAATATTGGGATTAAAATAGCAAGATAATCTTAAGAAGTATGGTGAAAAGTATACTAATAGGATATCTCTGATCTCACATGGGGGAGAAGTAGTTGCGTTATCGCGAAAAAAAAGTAGTCACAATACCGCTAAAAATCCAGGGTCTAAAAATTTCCTGGTGAGAACCCTGCAAATATATCTTCATGTGATATTCGATCTATATCCTTGCAACCATGTGATAATGGGGAATATTGATTTTCATTTTCAGAAAACAACCTGTTTTATAAAACTTTATTTTACATTCTAATATGATACGTGACGTCACAATAGCTAAAACAATTGATAAACTGGTCTATATTGGAGTATATATGACCGCTAAAATTCAGAAATGCAAAAAGTTGTTTTCCTTCTCCGTTTATCATCTTAGAATCGTAAGACCTCAATTTTATAATTTTTGACAAATATATGACCTCAAATTTTATTCTGGCCATTGCCAAAGACCTCAATCGCTACGCAATTTTGGTCTTTTAACAATGAACAAAATAAAATGTTCAGTCATGTGCGCCATAAATCATAAAATCCTGGTCTTTATTAAATAACCTGTGTTTTAAAACGCTATCTTGATTATTTTTCTTAGAAATTCTGATATCCGTTTTGAATCTCATGGTTGTCATGAAAAATTTATCAAGATATCCTGCAACTAAATCCAGCTTTTCCTTCAGATATTTCCTTTCAAAAAAACAACATCCATTTATCTACTCGTTTTCTTACTTTACTTTGCAATAATCACCAACTTATTTTTGTATTCCAGGACAATATTTAGAGGTCATGTTATATATTTTATGTTTTTACGTTCCAATTTTTCTTGCTTTATGGCTCATTTATTTTTTCTAATTAATGAAATCCAACATTTTTTACTAAAGGGGCGATGTATAGAGAATAATAGAATCCTGGATGAACGGATAAAGGGCTTATATTTTTTCTGGCATCTCTTATCTTTTATTATCTTATTATCCCGTAGTATCTTTTGTTATTTCATTGTGTTCTATTGTATCATGTTATTTATCAGATGTAGTAATTTCATTTTAATGATGTAATGTCTCCTTAGGGAAATTCTCAAGGTGAAAAAAATGTCACCATGGAGGGAAATGTCACAATTTAGGAAAATATCACCGTGAATGAAAATGTCAAAATGGAGGAATAAGTCACGATAGAGAGAAATGTTACAATTTAGTAATTTGTCTCAAGAGAGGGAAATGTCACAGTAATCGATTTCATAGATTGGGAAATTGGGGAAACAGCAAGAAAACAAGTAAACGGGCATGAACTTCAAACATCTCTCATATTGTATTAAATATCAGAAAATTGAGCAATCCATATAGTTTGAATTCTGTAGTATATAATGATCTTTTGCGATTTTTCAATCTGGTGTAGAATGCTCATGAAATCATCAAGGGATTTCCTCTGAAATTGATAATTTATCAAATTGACATGCTCAAATAGAGTTAAATATGTAATAGCGGAATATCTTAAGGTCAATTACCTTCCTATTGAGAAGTCAACTACATTGAACATTTTTTATGATTTTTTGTATACATCTGCATCATAGGATATAATTTATTTATTAAAACAGATTTAGTGTATTCTTAGAATTTCGAGGGAATCAAAATAATTTTTTAGACTTGCAATTCCCAATATTGGTGATTGAGGAGAGGGGGTTTCACTTTTACTTTGTACGTTGGACCATATGTTTGAGAGTCATGGCCTATTCACTTATGGCTAGTTATGTTATCACCACAAGTTCATGGTGTTTGGCATTCAGCGGTCTGTGTTCAGTATCTGTAACAAATGGCAGGTGGTGAAATTTTGCATGTTATTGCCTATATGTAGCTTTTTAAATGTACATGTACAGTCAAATATGATAATAGATAATTACCCTGACATCCGGGGTTATTTATCTAGTAAGATGAAGATCTCCTATAGAGCTGTAAATTCAAACTCCTTCCAAAGGGTTCCCATGGTCTTAGATTTGAATTTGTCCTGCCAAATGATCAATTTTTAAGATTCATGAAGACCTCTCAAAAAACAGAACCCAAAATAAACATAAAAAATGTTACAAAAATATATTCTAATTTTTTTTGTTTCAGAACTACTGGCCAACCAAACAGGATATACTGCATGCAAGGAAGGCAACTAAAGGAATTGTTGAATATGATATTGATATAAAAACCATCCCCTTCAAATTTGTGGATGTCGGGGGTCAGAGATCGCAGCGACAAAAATGGTTCCAGTGTTTTGAGAGCGTCACATCAATTCTCTTTCTCTCCTCATCTAGTGAATTCGATCAGGTCTTAATGGAGGATCGAAGTACAAATAGACTCGTTGAATCGACTAACATTTTCGAAACAATTGTCAATAACAAATGTTTCGCCAATGTTTCCATTATATTATTTTTGAATAAAACAGACTTGTTAACGACAAAGATCAAACATAGTAACATACAGCATTATTTTCCCGATTTCGAGGGTGATCCACGGGACTTGGACATCGTTCAAAATTTCATGCTGAATATGTTCGATGCGAAACGTCGTGAGAGGTCCAAACCGTTATTTCATCATTTCACCACTGCCATTGACACAGAGAATATTAAGTTTGTGTTCCAGGCAGTCAAAGATACTATTTTACAAGACAACCTTAAATCACTAATGCTCCAATAGTAGAACACCGATGCGGACACTTCAACTGGACACATCAAAGATATGATATAGAATCAGTGCGGAAAGTTATTAGTTTTAATCGATGCTGTTGTTTCCCAGACTTTATAACATGTTACAGCTTGACTCATCAACAGCTTGACACATCAACAGCTTGACATCGTCATTTTGATCATCCTTTTTGGAAGACATTTTTATACTTCATCTCACTTCATTGGACCATATCATCTGGACATAGCAGCTGGACACTTCAACTCATCTTAAGGTAGCTACAATGGACACCTCAAATGAAACAAAGGTGGACACATCAAATAATATAATTGACACACCAGAGAATACAAAGTTTGGACACCTCAACGATAAAAATGAGACACCCCAATAATTGAAAATTAGACACCTCAACAATAAAAAATTGGGCACCTCAACAATTGAAAATTTGACAAATAACAAATACAAATAACCTTTATGAGCTATATTTTGAAAATGTTTAACACTAATGAGTACTTCACTGTTTCTCTTGCCAGTGTTTATCTCAGTGTATTTATCTTAACTAACATTTAACATGACATCATTCTCACATTATTACTTGATGTTTATGTATTTACAAGAAAAATGTTAACATTTTGTATATTGTGACAAATCGCTTGATGACTGAGAAATTCGCCCCTGCAAAATATTTCACATTTTTGACATCATATTTATTAGTTATTACTGATCCTACGGAGATGTTTTAATTCACTTAAAATGTCTTTATTTTATATAGAATATTGTATTTTTTCAGTGTAATATAGTTCAAGGACATCCTAAATAACCAATACTGCTTTTTCACAACAGAAAATGGGAAGTTTAAAATTTGTGATCATATTTTAAATCAATGAGTGAATAGTAATGAAGAATAGCAGCTAATCATTTTGGTCACATTTTGAAATACAATTTAGAGTGAAAAAGAATGGAATCTGCAAGGATTAGCGAAAACAGGCATAGTCAAACTTAAATGAGACATTTGGCTTCCCCGTGTCTTGCTCATGGATTCTGATTCAACCATGAGTAGTTTTTGTATCAGGAATTGCAAGAAGTTTTGAGATGTTGTTAGTTACCATTTCTGTGAATGGTTGGCATCAGCATGTGGTATATGTTACAAAGTATTGCACTTGTTACAAAGTATTGCACTTGTAACAAAGTATTGCATTTGTTACAAAGTATTGCACTTGTAACAAAGTATTGCACTTGTAACAAAGTATTGCACTTGTAACAAAGTATTGTACTTGTAACAAAGTATCGCACTTGTAACAAAGTATTGCACTTGTAACAAAGTATTGCATTTGTAATATCAGCCACATTTTTCATGTTGATTCCTTGTTTATTTTTGGCTTTTCTATGTGTCAGAGTGTTATCTGTCCATGTCAAGGAGTGTCATGTGTTTATGTCACAGAGTGTCATCTCTGTGTGACATAGTGTCGTTTCTATGTGTCACAGAGTGTCATCTCTCCATGTTACAGAATGTCATCTCTGTGTGACATAGTGTCATCTCTATATGTCACAGAGTGTCATCTCTCCATGTTACAGAATGTCATCTATATTTCACTGCATGCTGAGTGTCATCTCTGTGTCACAAAGTGTCATCTCTATGTGTCACAATGTGTCTTTATTTCACAGTGTCATCTCTATCATATCTTTACAACACAGATTGTCACTTCAAATACCTTTTTCATTCTTCCATATATTAATTCACACTTTCCAGTCTATTTTAAGAAATGAAACTCATTGACGTCATCATTACCTAAAAATATATTTTCATCAGATTATATTGTCACTTTGACTCTTACTTTGCTCTTTAAAATGTTACTTGAGAATATAATGTATTGAGGCTGCAGTTGTTATTTCACATGATAAATATACACTGACTGTGCTTCATTCAACAAAAGTCACCCGTTATCTAAATTTTCTGTCTGGTCTTGGCTATTTCACTCTATTTCTCTCTAAAATTTGAATGAACTGCCTGATTTTCTTGGATTTCTATACAATTTAGAGTGTTAATTACATGCCTGTTTATATATTCCTTGCTGATTCCACTCTTTTTCACTCTATTTTGCATTTCAAAACACAATCCCTGTGAAATTATAGCTGAGGTACTGTAAGGTAGTATAATACATTTTGAGCGAGTATTGTTGCATGTTGTTTTTTTCAATTCATTAATTCCCGAGTTCCATAAATAATTAAAAATCTTCCTCCTCAAGTAATATTACAACATGAACAATAAACCCCGCCCACTTTTATTTAGGCATAAGCAACAGTAAGCATATTTGAAGGTCAATCTCAATATGTAAAAATTGATAGAACCTCTGAGTAGACTTTCACATGAGGTGTTCATCAGGAGGTGTTTTTGAGGTGTTTAAATAAAAAGGGTTCGTTCATGTATATTACAAGACCTGGTGTTAAATTGCGACATTGATCTAGGTTCCTCTGAACTATCCAAAGAGCAACATTTGAAAATGCACAAACTAATAAACATGAGGGAAAATGGGTACTTTTACAAAAATGAAGTACAAGAAAGAACAAAAATGAGTTTTAGGAACATGCCGTCGTCTCATGTCAAGTGAGAAGAAATTGTATTCAGAACTGATACAATTACCTGTTTATTTAAATGCAATTGGTCATATTTTCTGCTGTTGTGCAATGATATTAGTAGTGTAATTGCTTGCCTTGACAAGAGACAGAAGCTAGTATTTGAAAATGATCATTTCAAATACTATGTTATTTATTTGTATTTTAACTCATTTGTGCTTTGTATATGAGATTCCTTTTATGGATTAAAGAATACTGGAATTGAGATTTATAAATATGTAATTTAGTTTTTAGTACAATGTATGATGTCTTCAATCATGATCTAGGTCAGTAGTGAGATCTTAGCTATACGTTAGCTACAAGCCCTTGTGAGCCCCCCCCCCCCTCCCCATTACACTCCAAAAAGGTGTGTAGTCAAGAAGTGGGGGAGGGGGTAACACGTACTTGTAGTTAGACTAGTTACACGTTTTTAAGAGCATTTTAATGTGAACGCGTAATATTATGACCCCAGGGATTATTGACCCCATCTCAGTTGTTTTTTCCAGGGACCTAATTGCAACTATTTTTCTTATACCTTTGAACTCAATTGGCCAAGTAAACGTAACAACCCCAAAATGGTTCTGCACATATAACCAAAGGTTTTCTTAAAACGTGTAGCTAATCTTAAATTTTAATCAGAAACCCCATCAGAAAAGATCAAGAGAGATTGCATTATTTATGATTATTATAAACTGTATTGTGCATTTATGTATTTTACAAGGTGGTGTCAGTTATTTTCAATTGTCTGATGAGTGATGTCATAATTCTATATGCTTGATGTCAGGTATTCTTGATAATCTATTCAAACTGTATACTAGATTTTGACACTTATTATTTTTGAATTGTGGTGTCGTTAATTTTTTTTATTAATGTTGCTGAAACATTGTTTCATATATTCTCATATATGTCATGTTATACGATGTCATGAATATGTAGATATTTGACACCATGTCATAAATCTGGAAGACCTGTCTTAAGATCCTAGACTTGCCATAAAAATGTATTATCGAATAATGAATATATGGAGAAGGAGATAATACAAGCTTATGATCTAATATCCTTCTTGCGTTATAGCAATTATATATAGGAGCAGACCTCGAGGCAAATTATTCGTGGAATAATGTCAATTTCAGTATGTTTTTATCATATTTTAATCCACATTGCACCTGTACTCTATAAAGCCACAATGTGCATAGTTTAAGGAAATTTGAAAATTTTTACATTTTGTTCAAATGGATAGCACCAATGCTATTATTTCGGGTGAAAGAGCTGCAAAAAATGAATGTGAACATGGTATCGATATTTACGAGAAATTGCATAAAGTTTTCAATTACTACATTAGCCCAGTTTGACGGGATTTCTTTTAGATGTGAATATTTAAGGATACATGATGAGGAAAAACATGAATATTATTTTTAACTTTATTTACCCTTATGTTCCTTAATTCCCTATGGCTTAATGCTGATGTATTGCCCTGTCATGGGTTGAAAGGAATTATTATTTATGCAGCAATAGAATAATATTTTATGGCATTTGTAGGCTTTTATTGCACCTTTCTAGATCTGTGATAGTCTCCAAGAGACTGGAGTTATTTCATTATATATTTTCATACTCCTGATCCCATTCTGCACTCAGTGCAGTCCAGTAGCATACTTGTATTCCAGCACAATCAACCATCTTTCAGCACAACCAATTTATATTTCAGCACAACCCATCCATATTTTGGCACAGCTCAACATCTTTCACCACAACTTTCAGCACAATCCATCCATATTTCAGCACAACCAATTCATATTTTAGCACAGCTCACCCTTTTTTCAGCACACTTCAGCACAACTCGCATTCTTTTCAGCACAATCCATCCATATTTCAGCACAACCAATTCATATTTAAGCACAACTCACCCTTTTTTCAGCACACTTCAGCACAACTCGCATTCTTTTCAGCACAATCCATCCATATTTCAGCACAACCAATTCATATTTAAGCACAACTCACCCTTTTTTCAGCACACTTCAGCACAACTCGCATTCTTTTCAGCACAACCCATCTATCTTTCAGCACAACTCCATTATCATCAAAACAACTCCATTATCATCAAAACAACCATTGCTCCATTTAATCAAACTCATTATTAGCTCATTCTAAATTACCACACCCATCACTTAAATAGAACCCCACCCATCACTTAAATAGAACCCCACCCATCACTTAAATAGAACCCCACCCATCACTTAAATAGAACCCCACCCATTCCTCTATAGTACCCCACCCATCATTTCATCACTCGCTGTCTTATAACTGCTACTTAATATCATATCATGAGATAATAAATATCTTGCTGTTTCTCGCTCAAATTTTGTATATAGTGTATATATAGATATCATTATTATTATTATATATGAAGGGAGTATTTCAATTCCAAATAATCACCCTACATTGCATTCTCATCAATGCTTCAGTACAATATAGGTGTTTCAATGAAATGTTTTATCAGTGGTTTTTTCTGAAACTGATCAGATAGTTGGAAGTAAAGC